ATTGTGAAGCCGCTGGACACGCCTGAATTTTGGAAGTAGCGCGTGCCGTAGTAGAAGATGAAGTTGATGCCCGTCAGCTGCTGCAAGGCCTGGAGGGCCATGCCGGTGAACTGGCGCTTGAGGATGGGCGGGCGGAAGCAGTCGAGGTAGGTAGCCTTGCTGAGGCCGTTTTCATACTCGAGGTTGGCCCTGATCTCGCTGAGCTCGGCGACGACGGCGGGGTGGTCGTTGGCCAGGCGGCGGATGCGGGAGAGGGCGGCGGTGGCCTTGTCGAGCTTGCCGGAGCGGACGAGGTAGCGGGGGGTCTCGGGCAGGAAGATCATGCCGAGGAAGAGGATGAGGGACCAGGCGAACTGGACGGCGATGGGGATGCGGTAGGAGCCGGAGTCGGGGCGGTTGGAGGTTGCGTTGTTGACGACGGCGGCGAGGAGGAGGCCGATTGTGATGGCGAGCTGGTAGGCGCCGACGATGGCGCCGCGGATCCATTTGGGGGCTGTTTCGGACTGGTAGAGGGGGACTGTTTTGATGATGTTTTGTTAGAGAGATGGTGACGATTGTTGAAGGGAAAGGAGAAGTTGTAAGAGAGGAGGTGAGGATCATGATAACCTACTCAGAGCAGAGATTAAACCGACGCCAAAGCCGGCAAAGAATCGACCAGCGAGGAACATGGGGATGGCGGTGGCAATCGTTTGCAGCACGACACCCAGGTTGAAGACCCAGGTCGAGATCATCAAGGCAGGACGACGGCCGAAGTTATCAGACAGCAGAGGCGAGGCAAGGGCGCCGAAGAAGGTGCCTGCTGAGAGGATGGACACGATGGCCGACTCTTGGGAGGTTGTGATGTCGAGGTCGCCGCTGGCGTTGCGGTAGCCGGTGCTGAAGAGGTCTTTCCAGTAAGGCATGGCCATGATACCGCTGATAGTGCCGGTATCGTATCTATTAGGAATTGTTAGCAAGATGAACTCAAGATGGACCTGTATAATGTCGAAGAGGACTCTCTTGACTTACCCGTAGAGGACACCACCAAAGGCGACGAAGAAGCCCATTGCGATGGCGGGCCATGAGGCACCGGCTTCATCGTTGGGTTTGGGAATCTTGACTTTATCAAGCACACCCATTGTGACGGAGGTAATGTTGTTCGTCTCAAGTATGTATCTTGTTAGGTATGGGAATATGGACTCTTGCAGGTTGATGTAAACCTCGAGCAGGAGCCTGGGAAGCCTCGTGGATGACTGTGGGGATAAACAAGAGGAATGAAAACTCGCGTTCAACTGACGAGGGATCCAACAGACCTTTTATAGTTGAAACACACCAAAAACCTTCTTATACGCCCAAGAGGACTTCCCATCGTCTACGTTAGGAGGCGAGTGCTTGGGTTGCGGGGCGAAAGCAAACTAGTCCACCGATGGGGTATGCCTCAAACCTAATGATGCCTTCCGAAGCCATATATGACACCGTGATTGGCAATACAAAGGCATTCTCCTGGAGGAGTGGAGCGTGAGTGACTGCCCGGGGTTCGAAGCTGAAGCTATTTTCTACGATTGTGGGGGAAGTTTGTGGAGAAGGGCCAACCAGGCGTCTGGTCCAGCCCCGAAGTGGTCAAGTTCTTGGGAACTCGGGAGCTGGGAAAAAAAAAAACCTGGAGATACCCATGGAGAGACGATTTGGGGTGTTTTTTTTACAAGGGGGGAGAAAAGGGCCGTAAAGGGGGTGAGATGGGACTCTGGAATAAGCCTTGGGTTGAGGCTTTTGGTGGCGGGCGAGGCTGCGTGGCGCTTTGGAGAAGCCGTTTATAGTCTTTCTTGGATTGTACTAGTTGAGTAGATTGTGTTTTGGGAGATTTACAAATGGAGAGCTTGTCGAAGAGGGCTACATCGCCTCATGCTGCTCGTCTGAGGTCTTCGGCCTGAACTTTGTGAGAGGCTCGAAATATCTACATCTACATCTACATTTCAGCTGCAAGAATAATGGAGCCAGTCCGTTTAATCTGCGGAGAAGAAAAAATGACAATCTAGATGGTTTCTGGGGGACACGCAGCAAGGGAAGTTCTCAAGCTACGTTGGTGTAAGTCTGGTTGTATAACCGTGTGCATTTATAGCCACCCATACTGTACGCGTAACAAGACAACGAGAAACAGCCACACCAGTTTATAATTCTGCTTCAACGCCGAGAGCGGAAATGAAAATCGTCTTGTTTTAAGATGTTCAAGCGATTATCCAGAGAAATATTTTTCTAATTCCTTCTTGCTATAATTCAATAGCGTCTAAAATCGTCTGGTCCGCGCTCGTGAATCACCAAGGCGGAGGACATGCTGTACTGTGTGCCGTATTTGTGTAAGCCATTCCCGAGTTCGGGATTCACAGAGTCAGCCACGGACAAGGCCGTTTCGCATAGCTCCGCGTGATTAAAACAGCTACTTAGTTAATTTGTCATTAGAGTAGATTCAGTCTGCTTCCAGAATCTATCAACGTGGCAGAGAAGAGGCTTCTCTTTTCCTGAATATCATGTCGTCGTCGGATTGTGATGCTTTGCTGAACCTTGATAGGCAGATATGTGGACACTCGGCACTTGGAGCAAAAGCATCACGGAAAGCCATTTTCCAAGATCCACGCTAGACTTTCTCAAAAGGGGACCTTTCTAGCCTCTTGACAGAACTCCACCATCTTCAGTCCCGGCGCCAGAGCCTTTCGTAGCGGCTCCACTCGTCAAAGACTAGAGGAGAAGCACTAGATCCCGTGTTTGGGGAAGTAGTTGAGCGGAGTTGAGAATATCAAGCCTAGTTTCCAGCTTCTCGGAAGATTTGAAAGCGAGGAGAAATTTGCTGTCATGTGAGCATAAAAAGGTGGCCATTGAAGCTGCCGAGGGGGTGATTCAATCGGTGAATGTGTACGAAACTCCTACACATACATGGTATATTTCTCAATGGCTGTAACTTTAACCAGCCAATGTCGTTATCTTGAGTGGCTTGTTGTATAGGCTTTCCACAGTCGGGCCGTGACCGAATTCTCTATGCCACGTATCTTGGAAGATGAAAGATAGAGCCTATGATGTGTTGTGGGCATGAAAACCGAACTTGCCGGGTGACAGAGCAGGAATTCGATGTTGACTTAACAACAGTGATGGTGGATGAGTTCGATGGCTGAAGCATGGCATCTCCATTAACGTGGATCATTTCCCACAATTTGCATCCAGAGAGTCGGAAAGAAGCCGCAGGAGCGATTCAAGATGTGTAATATCGAAACACCCTTGTGCATATTGATTTCAGGGTAACTTGCTGAACCACTGTCAAAGACACGACGTGCCGCCGCCACATGTCCATTTACAGGGTAAGATATGAGCGGATATCCCGGCTGAACCCAGATGTGTCAATGCCACCATGAATGAGAGAACTTCATATTGTTCGGAGTGATTATCATGACTTGCATGATAAGTGATTTATTTAGTCAACACTACGAATTAAGTCCGTAGCCCTTAGTGCAGATAAATTCACCGCCCACATTAATACTTGTACTACGCATGCGGGGTATGATTTGAAGCTGGATTCAGGAATCTCGTTCCTGAAAGCCTCAACTCTGCACGACTCTGAACGAGAGACGAGATCGAGATGCGCTTCATCCTTTTCTTGGCTTTGGCCATTGAGGGTGCTATAAAATTGGTGCACGCTACAGAGCATGCGAAGAAAGGAGGCCAACCCATTATCATCGATACGGATCTGTTCAGTGACGTCGACGACGTGGGCGCGTTGACAATTGCGAATGTTTTACACAACTGTGGCTTGGCGAATCTGAAAGGGATTGTGATCAATACACCGTCTCAATATGGCCCGTTGGCGGCAAGTGTAAGTAAATACGGTCATGCGAAAGCCAATGCCAAAGAGAAGTCTCACTAATCAGCCTTTGTCTTCAGTCCCTTTCTACTTATTTCGGTAACGATGTCCCCATCGCTGCCTTTCGACCAATTACGAATGATACATTCTTCGATAGTTACTACTATTTGTTAGTGATCCCCGGATGCTACACCTGGTGATGTATGAGCCGCCACCTAATTGTTCCAGATATGGCGAGTATGCCAGCAAATTAGCATATAATTGGCCTCGCAACATTAAAACAGCGGATTCAACCCCAACCCCAGTAGAGCTCTACCGTACTATTTTGAGTTCTGCCGATGACAGAAGCATCCACATCATCTCCATCGGCTTTCTCACCAATCTCGCCGATCTTCTCCGATCTAAAGCAGATCATATAAGCCACTTATCTGGCTCGCAGCTCATTTCCGCCAAAGTGAGCGAGTTGGTCGTGATGGGTGGGCAATACCCTTCTGGCTGGGAGTACAACTTTGGTGGTGAAGACCCAGAGAGTACGGCATATGTCGTTCAGCACTGGCCGAAGAATGTCAATGTCACTTACTCAGGCGGTGAACTGGGTGGTGATGTTTTCTCAGGGCAACACCTTGTGCAGCGGTGCCCTCCTGATTCTCCGGTTTTGAGCGCCTACCAATGGTACGTTGGCCGGGGCTCTACGGTTCGTTCGTCGTGGGATCCGATTACGACGCTGTATGGAATTTTGGGCCTTGAATGGGTTTCAAAAATAGGTGTTCGCCCTATGCTTGCGTATGCAAACGATTTTGGCTATAATAGTATTACAGCAACGAACGGATCGAATGCATGGGTGAATGATATGACGGTAACTAATCAGCATTGGTTACGGCTGGCTGAAGGTGTGACAAATTACAGCATGGCAGGGCTACTTGATGAATTCTACGCGCATGATCCATCCCTTCGGAGTTGCTTTCGGTATGGGGTACTCTCAGAGAATTTTGACACAGTATTGTAGATCATTTTCTTATCATAGACAGTGAAGTTCTTAGCAATAGACTTGATCAAATATCACAAGCTGTTATAAACTTCGTTTAGTCATTAATCAGTGAGGTTTACCCCGTCAGTCTAAAAAGCATATGATCCATTACATCGTAAATCACATTAAGAGACACGTTCTCCGCTCTCACTTTCTGGGAGCCCGGCCGTTGTAATCAACTCCTGCCTTTGCCGTGTAGTTAGCGAAGCAGTCATAGTCAAAGTCAATCTCGTCAATCCGCTTCTGGAGGATTGATACGACGTGGTCGAAAGAGCAAAGTCCATCGGCATTCTTTGGGCATCCATGATAATCTGAGATGGGAACAACGGCGTCATTACTGTGTATAACACGATTAGTACTCGGTATAACGTTTATTCAAGTCTGAGTACTCACACTAGGAATCGGATCTGTCGAGTAGGCTTATACGCGGGGCATTCCAAAATCTGGGTGGTGAAATGAGTGGCAAAGGGCACGATTTTGCTTGCGACAAAAGAGTTTCGCTTCTGGTTGCCGGACAGACTCAATGGCGGGCCTTGGAATAGTGCAGTCAGATTGAACGCAGTCAGAGTGTCGAGAACGACGACCTCATGGGTTGCATCGGCATAGATGGACTGGTTCAATGGGAAATATGTCTTGTTGTCGTCGTAAGTGATGTTCAAGGCGGAGTCAGCAGCAGGGAATGAGTGCGTGAAACGAGCGACGAATTCCTGGAGGTAGCCTTTGCCTTGGGCAGCGGCAACTGGAGAACCGGGGCCGTTGTTATAGTAGAAGGACTGGTTGTGTCAGTAAAAGGGGTGTTGTGAGAGACTTCATTGAACTCACTAGATCATAGTAGTATTCGTAGTTTAGGAAGTCTTCTTCAGTGAAGAGGTTACAGAAAGCCGAGTATCCTAGGGCATGAGTTTCGTAAGAGCATAGTTGAAGCATGGCAATGGCATCGGTAGCCGTCAGGTTCAGGCCAAAGACCTAAAGGGTTCATTATTAGCAGTTATTAATGGCTTAAGAGTAATATTTTTGACTCACTTGAGACTGCAAACGAGCAATGGTGCTGTTAAAGGCATTTAAAGCAAATTCCGTTGCCACCGTAGATCCAATGCTTCCGCGGCTTGCGATGTTAGAGTTGTTGCATACTTCATAAGGAGCACCCGAGTTGTTAAGGCCAGGGGACTCGACAAGAATCTCAATGTTGACTTGGTCCAAGTACTCAGGCACTCCAAAGAAGCCAGCGGCAAAGTTTTCAGCAGTCTTGACCATGCGGTCCTGGGATTCAGTGCGGAAGACGGGAATCGTGTTGGTGGCAGTGAAGTTGTTCAGAAGGTGGCCATATAACTGGCGATAGGCCACTCCTAGATTGAAGTTTTGGCTGCGGCCAAAGGGAGTCAGCAACTCTGCGCCGAGCTTATAAGTCCAGTCGGAAAAGAAGGATAGCTCTCCAGTGACGTTGAATCCTTTTGCTTGAGTCGCGTTGTGGACTTTTTGGGCAAATGTAGCTGGAGCGGCGCCGCTGGTGGGATATCGGGCACCGTGGCGGTAGAGAAGGTGAAGCTGGACAATGTTGCAGCCATCGGGGATCAGGGGACTCGCATCAGGAAGGCCGTAGTCCGCAGAGGAAACAGAGTACCAAGGAGAAAGATTGCCCCAGTATTTCGTAATGTCGATTTTCCTGTCGAATTTGCTCGCTCCCCAAGGCTGCGCTGCAACAAGCGGGAAGCTGTCTGAAGGCCCATGATTATAAGGATAGATGGGGGCAGTTTCAATAGCAGCGGGCTCTTCTCCCGTGGGCGTAGGGCCGGGATATCCTACTTTGGACTCTGGCGGGAATAATTTCGAGTTGACGTGTGCTTAGATGCGGCGGCATCATCAGCACTTTGTTTATTTTGACAGCTGTGTGGATGGATTTAGAGTAAAACTTACTACTAGAAGGGGGGTAAGCATCTGAAGCAACGGCGCCGGCAACGGATGAAGCCTCAATGACTGTGTTTAGACTCCTTGCAGAGCTAGCCTCGGCGAGCAATGCAAGTAGAAGCGTTGAAGTGAGCGTATTGGAATGCATTTTCATCACCTATTGCCGACAATTTACAATGATTCTACTCTGGTGATTTGTTGGAAGTTGGCCGATTGATCACATTCAGACACAGCAAGCTAGAACGATACTGCGATATTCTATTATATAGTTCGAGGTTTGATCCTCTTGGACCGTTATCTGATCCGTTCACCGAAGATCTCGACATCATACACCAATGAGGCAGAAGACTGACGGCACGTTGTAAAAGAGGTATAGAAATGCGGTATAGCTTGAAGTGAAGTAACTGCCAAATAAAAGAGTGGCAGATCGAATTCCAGGGCTGGAATCATAAGCTGTCATTGTCGGGTTTAAGATCCATCCTCCCACATCGAACATCACGCAATTACTGGCTCTAGCTATCACTATTCGCAGGGGTCTTGCCGATTCAGCCGAAGATCCACTGCCATGATATCAATTCAGCATCAGACACGGAATAATAGGATTAAATCGCCGTATCTCTTATATAGAAATTCCGTGCTTTACCCAGAAGGATCTCTGACATTGATTCCTGCAGAGAGAATGTGCTCGCCGACTATGGTCATGTTGCCGGACAAAAGTCCTCGTCTATTGTATCCGCCCCTCAACCTCATTGCAATCCTTCCCAGCCTCCATCACAACCCTTGGGCGTCAGTACATGTAGTTAATAGCTAGGGATTGTAATGCGGCATTTTGTTGGTACCTCACATGGACACTATTACTATTGACTTGGTAGCCTTGAGGAAGTGGCTAGAGGCGGATGGAAAGCATGGAATTCTCCCGGATTATACCAATCGCATACCGGCCATCCAGTATTTTCGGCACAATTTTTATGTTACCAAAGCCAAAGATGGGAGATATTCCCATTTCAACGACTAATCATGGTAAAAACGGGAGATGGAAAGACCAAGACCACACTGTAGACATATAAGACATATGTATTATCAAGTTTTTGACCAAATTCCCATTTTTAATTTACATTTTCTCTTATCAACCATCATTGAACTGGTAGAGCTAGTCGTAACTAAGCCACCTATTTTTCAATCTAGAAAAGCCTGCATGTAGCTACACATCGCCATTTTTTGTGAGAATGCGCCATAGAAAAGATTCCGGGCGCATGAATGGAATACACACGAACACCTTTTTGTTTTCATTTTTGACGATTTAAATTCCGTTTGCTGCCTTCTCCTCCAGAATAGATACGACACTGGGTGTCTCTTGAGAAGCAGGGACGGCAACCGGCTTCAAGAATGGGCTAGTTGGCCGGCTAGTGAGGAACTGTAGAGATTAAAGGGTATGGTTAGCCATCAAAAAGGTTTTTTGCTGCTACTCATGAAAGGGGAAAGAAAAACTTACATTGCTCGCCGCGCTCAGCATGGCGAGGAGGGAGCTTTGTACCACATCTTCGTGAATACCGACACCCCAGACTGTCTGCTTCATGCCGGTAGGTTTGCACTCGATATATGATGCGGCCTTGACACCTCGGCCCTCACCGATGGCGTGTTCCTTATAGTCGTGAACGTCGAGATCAATGCCGACTTGCTTGAGGGCGGCCGCCATACTAGAGATCGGTCCATTGCCCCGGCCACGCAGCTTAATCTCTTGGCCATCCAGGAGGATAACACCGTCGAAGATACGGATCATGCTCTTCGTATCCTGGGTCTTGCCAGATGCATTAGGCATGGGAGACTGTGATCGGTCGGGTGAGATGCTGTAGTCAATAAGGCTAAGGCGGTGGTTCTCGTGGAGGAAGTAAGTCGACTCAAAGAGGCTGGTGATCTCGTTAGCCAGAAGCTCGCGTCCAAGCTCCTCGGCGCGGCGCTGAACGATCTTGGAGAAGGCAACTTGAAGGCCGCGAGGGAGGTCGAGCTCCAGTTTTGCACGCAGAATAAAGGCACTTCCTCCCTTTCCAGATTGTGAGTTGACGCGAATGATGGCCTCGTAGTTGCGGCCGATGTCCTGAGGATCCAGTGGCAGGTAGGGCATTCCCATCCATGGGTCTTCATTGGATAGGCCCAGGTTCTGGCGGTTCTGGAATCCTTTCTTGATGGCGTCTTGATGGCTGCCTGAGAAGGCTGCGCAGACCAGACTACCGCCGTAGGGAGCACGCTGGTGGACGGGGATTTTGGTGCAAGATTCGACTACCTCAATGACTGAGTTCAAATCAGAGAAATCAATTTGCGGGCTCACGCCTTGTGTGTAAAGGTTTAGAGCCAAGGTGACGAGATCGACGTTGCCCGTTCTCTCTCCGTTGCTATGAAAGGATTAGTACTGTCTCGTAATCGCAAAGAGAAAAGCAACACAGGTAGTACGAACCCAAACAAGCAGCCCTCGACACGATCAGCCCCTGCCATCTGGCCTAGTTCTGCTGCTGCAATACCTGTACAACGTTAGCACCGCGCCGTACCGCCAGAGGTGGATATACTAACTGCATCCGCGATCGTTGTGAGGGTGCTGCGGAGAAGAGAATTGTTAGCTTCATGATGGTGATACAGATGTGAGAGGTGAAAAGGGGAAAGGGTATGACTTGCCAGAGACACGCACACACTCTCCCTGTCTCCAATGTTGGTGCTAAAATACTCTATCAAGTCTGCATAAATATTGGGGGTTGCGAGCTCGACTGTGGCGGGCAAGTTGAAGATGATTTGGTCTCCAGCTGCTCCATTGGGGCCCCACGCAGCTTTCACTGCGCGACACACCTTCAGAGCATAGTCAGGATCGGTATCGGAGAAGCACTCGGGCGAGAACTCGAACTGCCAATTCGTTCCAGAAGCCTCGGGGTTGTCCTTGGTCAGAGACCTGACGAGCTTGGTGCATTCGACGGCGAGCTCCAGGGTCTGCTCTTCAGTGTAGCCGAAGACGACCTGGCGGAAGCACTCGCTGGTAGCAAGGTAGATGTGGATGATGGCATTCTTCGCTCCGCGAACTGACTCTACAGTCCTTCGAATGAGATCGGGTCGACAGGGTGAGAGAACCTGGAGGAATACGTCGTCTGGCACGGCGCCGGGGGTTTCGATCAAGCGGCGAGTGAAGTCGAAGTCGATCTGGGACGCAGAGGGGAAAGAGACCTCGATTTCCTTGTAGCCAAGGGCACACAACATCTGGAAATAGCGCCACTTCTCCTCGCCGTTCTGTTTGTTGACCATCCCACCCATGTCAGCGATCGCTCGCACAAGTATTTGATGTTGGATCGAAGACGTACCATTGGATCGGGCAGACTCTGGTTGCCATCGCGGAGACACGAGCTTCGGAAGATGTTAGCGACGACTCATGCGCTGGAAGAGAGTCAGGAAAAGTGTTTGCGACGTACGACAGCCAGCGAGGAGCCTTTTCGATGACCTTGTCAGGCCATTGTCGGTTGGGCAGACGCAGCGGCTAGGCACGGTACGTTAGCTGACGAGCTGAAGATTGGACCAGCATCCAGAAGGCTTACCTTGAACGCCTTGTACTTCTTCCACGGTTCCTTGAGCCTGTAGATGACGGATTGCCAGGGTTAGCTCTGCATGCATCACGATAGCCGATTAACCAGGGCAGTTCCAGCATACATGACCATCTTGAAGAGTGGCGACGGGCCGGTGGGTTAGGCGGGGTGATGATGATGAGGGCGAGAAGGTGAGAGGAATTGCGCTGTCCAATGCCAACAGAGATGTCAAGGTGCAAGAAGAATAAATAAAGAAAATAAAGATGATCCGGGGTAGAGGCTCAAAAAAGATTCTGAGTCATACAGAAATGGCCTGAAGGTTGCAGGTTTTGGAGGCGAATTATTCAAATCGCATGGAAACTGCAGCCTCTTGAATTGAGGGCTCCCGATTCGCGGGGTGGCCCCACTGACGTCTTTTTGCAGGCTCCGACTCCGGACGTTTTTAATGGAGTGGACGCTGAAGGGGACGCTGGACCGGCAGCGAAAATGACATCGGCGATGGATTTGATGCTCCACTGACAGCGGAAAATAGGAAAATATGACTACAAGTCGGGTTTTAATTCTGGATTCATCTGATCTTCCAATCATCAGTATCGTCGTGCATAGAGGCTGTTTACAAGACGGCGCCCATCTCTCGGCACATCCGGCGTTCAACTAAAATGCCCACATACGTTGCATGTTGTGTGACTCTAGGAAAGTAAAGTAAAGTAAAGGGCGTCGCTAATACAACGTCTGGTGCTCCATACTCCGTAATTTAGTTTCCAATTTGCTCCAACTTTCGACTGTGGCGGGGTGTGGCTTTTGGAGAAAAAAAAAACAGAGACTGCTGCATCATGACCAATGTAGGCCCGTCATCTTGGTGATCTGGTCGGACACTAGCCTCCGGTTTGATCTCATGCACACCTTAGCTTTCGCTTGCTCATCTCGTGAAGTCGTATAAAACTATTCTAAACCCATATGCTATTAATCTCTATATGCCAATCTATGTCCAATCAATAGTCCCAACGTTAACGAATCGAGCAAGTGAACATTGTCAATCTGAAGCTCATCATGCTCATATCTAAACAGCAACCAATAAGCGCTCTATGCTTTTTTGTACAAGAACTGCAACCTCCATCGCATCGTTTTGACCGACCGATTCGAGTTTTCAGGTATTTTTATCTGATCTTCGATATAATTCGCCTTTTCTGATGGTGAGAATGAGGGCTGGGAATTCAACATTAGCCATGTTACAGAATTGTGTAATACTGTTCGACTTACTACAAATACCAGCAGCGACAAACATGACGCCAGCAAAAACTTGCACGTTGATGAAACCATCCACACCCGACTTTCTCAAGCTGAGACCAATTGCCTCCGCAAACGTATACGGGAGTGCCAACGTGAGGATTGAGAGAGAAATAGCTGCATATCAAGTGTTAGAATCTCATGTCTCACCCCTTCTGAAAGCTGTTCACACTTACCAGCAGGCGTCAGCTTCAAGCCAAAGATTGACACAGCCATGACCACAAAGCTGGCCCACAAGAGGCTGGGAAACATGCCGAGCAGGGCGTATACCATCAAACCCCCATATGATTTGCCGCCAAATATCCAAATAAAGAATGTAATCAGGGCGGAAAAGAATGTGCCCAGCATGGTTACTCTGATTGTGCCAAACCTATCACATGCGAAGCCAATAAGTGGGCGGCCAATACCGGTCGATACTAATAGAGCAAGAATATTAGCGTCATGGGTTAAACGGCATAACAAGGAAAAAAATTCCACGTACGGTTAAACATGGCAGACGCGAGAGAGCCTTGTTGTGCTGAAAAGCCAACCTGTTGAGCATATGCCGAAAGAGAAAAGACCACAACGACGTAGCCCAGACTGGCCAACCATAGCCAGCCAAGAAACAGCCAAAAATCAAGCATTTTGAAGAATTTCCACTCTAGAATCTTGACCGCTGCTTTGGGAGTCTTGTCATGTTCCTTGAGAAACAGTGCAGAGATTGTTATCACGACAAAGCAGATGATGGCCATTATTCTAAAAGTCCAGGCAATGCCTAGCTTCTGAATCATTGCATTTGCGGCCAAGGAATAGGTTAGGCCGCCGAGGCCTGTACCGCCGGTTGCAATACCATTTGCGAGAGATCGCCGTTTTTTGAACCACTGAGGGACCAAGCTGGCGGTTCCGGTGAAGCATATTCCCATGCCGATGCCGTAGCAGACTCCTTGGCTGAGGATGAGTTGCCATATGGTTTTCGAGAAGGATGCGGCGATATAACCACCTCTATCAGGGTAAATTAGTAGGATGTATTTATAATTATCAATCTTTTGTTATCGGTCGATCGAACGTACGAGATGAATAGTCCTCCGACTATAACGGTAATCTGAACACCCGCTTTGCGGTGCAATATGGTCGATACCGGCGGCACGAGAAAAGCTAGGTTGTAAACATGTTAGATGTTGTCATGTGGATCGGTATACCAATGGGTAAAGATTCATACCAACTGAAAAGCAGAGACCTCCGATAAAGGCAAACTGTAAAGGAGTAGCTCCCGGATAAGTGTTGCTTTTTAGATAGAATGCTAAGAATACACCAAACATCTAAAACCGCTTTGTTAGTAAACATCCCTCCGTATATTTCGTATATAAAAACTAGACACCTACAGAGTTTATTCCAAATGAATGGGCCAATATTAGACATACAGCTGCCACAATGACCCTACGCGCATGTTTTGTAAGCGGCTGATTGAAATGCGAATGACGTCCACGAAAACTTACCAGCCATATCCGCCCTCCTTCATCTCCTCCTCCTCCTGAGAGGCTTTCTCGGTATTTACCTGTCCATTTCGAGAACCCACCTCTGTAGAGTCGCTTTCGTCGGAGCTTTGCATTACACCAGATGGTGTCTCGAAATCTTTCTCAGAAGCCATCCTTTTGAGACAATGCTTTTGCACTGATGGTTATAGGTGGCACACTAGACAAGGACGGATGATTGGAGCGCATGTCTGAGACCTCGTCTACCACATCTTTTATACAATCGACTCACATCATCGTAACGATACTCCCTGGCATATCTCCGCGACCATTTCTTTGTTGGCCAACATGGAACTCTATCCCAGGCCAATTAGCGTTGAAGAATAGCCCCGGCGAGTAATGAGCCAATTAGATGAAGCACTTATCTCCTACGAAGTGGCTGCTGTCCAATCGGGGGAGCGTCTTATTTCCTAACCGTTCCCCACAATCCCCGGCCCCATATGACTCGGAGTTCCCTGTGTCACCTTCCGTCTTCTGATGTTCTCGGGTGACTTGTCTCGCACCTCAAATCCTATTATTCATTCTGCTCATCTTTTCTTTGTACTTTTGCATGATAACTCCGCGCTTCAAGGGACCACAGAAGCCTCTCAAATTCCGCATCTCTGTCGGCGACCTCGGGAAGAATGGAGGAGAAGCCGCCCAAAGCGCCCTTGGCCATTCCTCGCCGTAAACGCAATCGAATTCGAACTTCTTGTCGGCCTTGTCGCGCCAGAAAGTCAAAGTGCGATGGGAACCGTCCTTCGTGCTTGACATGTCTGAGCAGAGGTCTCCCTGATCAGTGTGTCTACGAACAACAACGTCCGGGAGAGCACAGGATTGTGTCGATTCGGTATGTCCGACTCTTCATAGCACTCACTTCTTTGTGGAAATGCTAACTTGGCATGACGCATTCAAGGAATATTCCACATCCATCTCCGAATAACACAATTTTATCTGGAAGCCCCGTTGCTGCTTCAAATCGAGATTCGCTTGTTGGACACTCCACCCAGCCCAAACCCTTGGGCAAGAAATGGTCGTCTGAACTTACTCGTAAGAACAGTACCACAGAAGCCTGTATTGAAAAGGACTCGGATTCAAAAGACACCATCGATCGAGATGAGGATGTATTCGGCCCACCCTCAACTTTTTCTTTCATCAATCGAGTCATCGCTACGATTGAACCGTGTAAATCAACATTAACTAATAGGTCATCGTTAAGCAAGTCAATTCTCAGAGATCCAATTGGTTTTGACGTCTCAAATGCCGAGGATGTAGGCTTAGATATGGACGACCTACTGCTACCAGAGAAGAATCTGGCAGACTCTCTTATTAACACATACTGGCGATATTCGCATCCGGTCTTCCCTGTGCTACATCGGCCAAGTTTTATGAACAAGTACGAGACTCTTTGGAAGTCTACGGAATCCTTTTCAAGATACACAGGCAATGATATTCTCCTACTCGCCACGATAAATATTGTCCTAGCTATTGGCTGCCAGCGGTCCGAACACTGTCCTGCCAATTGGAGAAAGAGGGATGCCGAGTCGTTATACAGACGATCAGTCCATCTGGTTTCCGCTGAAACACTGGATTCATACTCATTTGAGGTGTTGCAACTGTTTCTACTGAGAGTCATCTATCTCCAATATACGTCTTTTGCCTCGCGATGTTGGAGCACACTCGGTATTGCCCAAAGAGTTGCTTTTGGGCTTGGGCTCGATAAAGAGGCTCCCGAATCAATGGGCCAATTAGAGCGGGAAATGAGACGCAGAGTGTGGCATGTTTCAGCAATAATGGATAGGTAGGTATTCATCGCTTTGTATTATGCGCGTATATACTATACACAAGATGCGGCAACTAACCACGAGCGAACAGCATAGCATCATATACATTTGGGTGGCAAATGAATATCACCGTACCGAATCTGGTGTCTACACCTCAGCCAATCGACGATGAGTACTTGCAGGAAGAAGGAGAAGGTTCTCAGCCAGCGGACAAACCTTCTCGGCTCGACTTTTTCCGATACTATCGCCAGATGTGCGATGTTCCTCGCGACATTGCGGGGAACATACATCTTCTCGGTCAGAATTTAGGAGGACAACGCTCAAATTCTCTTTTGACACAGTATATCAGCGAAATTCCCAAATACTGTCTACACCTCGACGAGTTTCTCGGTAGCCTACCCAGCCACCTCCAGGAAGTCAATGAACATGCTGTGGAGGAGTGCTTTCAGATTCAAGGACAGATACTGAGGACGCGGTAATCTCAAATGTTCATTTGGGACGCACTTATTCTAATATCTTTTGTAGTTCAATTTATGTTAAACTTACTGTCCTCCGCCCTTGTCTTCTAGCAAGCGTCGCAAATCGGACAATACGCTCGGAGTTACGGAAAGCAAAGACCGGCAACCAAAACCTCACCATGGGACTGCTTCATGAGGTCAACAAGCTCTGTGTCACCACGGCGCAGACAGTCCTTGATAAAGTACATAAGAACATCCACATAATATACCGGGCATCAACGTGGCACACATTACGAGGTGAGATACCAACATGTAACATGTTTCTTTTTTCTTTTTTTCCCAATCTGACTGTCGACAGTAACATTCGGTTCGGCGACAGTCCTGTTGGCGGCTAGTTTAATACCAGACTTGGGCGTGGACCTAGACCAGGAGCCGAATAAGACTTCATGGGAACAGGCCATTGCCATTTTCCAATTTTACATATCATATGATATATCAGCTCAGGGGGGCATCCAAGCGTTATGGGATTATCGGCAGAAGTTTGAAGCCACCAAGAGGCGTGGAGAGCCACCACTGGATGGAACAGCACAAGCTGAGCCACAACAAAACCCTCAAAGTGGTGCCGCGACTATTGCTTCTGAAGAAACTCCCTTTAATATGGACAATATCTTTTTCGGAGTTGATACCCAAGGTCAGGGTGTGGACCTCTCACAGGCGTTTCATGATTGGAATTGGCTCGATTTCGACATTCCAGAATTTATGCTATCATAATAGGTACTTGCATTGTTCTTGTATATTTTCTCTTACTTTTTAACGAAATACACTATTGGGCCCATTCGAAAAGAATGAGCTGCAAAGCAATGCTAAAGTCATTTGATCAACTACTGTATATATCCGCATCATATTTTTATGACCTATCTAATGTACATGTGCTATACGGAGGTACCTCATACCGTCAACCGCCGGCATAAGGCAGTCATCAGGTAAAACATCTGGAAAACTAAAACTAAAACTACAATACTCAAGAAACTCCTAAAAATGGAAACTGAATCACCTCCTCCTTCTCAGCCATTGCCTGCAAATAGCTGGTAATCAGTGGATCGATGCCTGCCTCAAGCACTTTGCCAATCCACTCATCCATTGTCACTTCTTCAAAGACTCCGCTGTAGAGCTTCTCCAGGTGCTTTTTAAAGTCTGATATAGGGACTTTTACACCGCTGGAGTGGTGGATAAAGCGCACTCCTCTGTCTGTACTGTCTTCTGACAGAACGTTGGTTGCGATATCAGCGGCGGCGGCATGGACATCTTTGAGATCAAAGAATCCATCAAAGTTCGCAAATAGCGGAACTGCACGAGTCAATGAAGAATATTTCATGACACCGTTCACAGCATCTTCGTTGGGTGCTTCGTCACCCGTTAAGATGCAGTGTCTGTGGATTGTGACGGGGAGATGGGCTTTCTCAGCAAGGGTTTCGAGGAATCGCTCGCTCGCCCACTTGGCCACTGTGAACCCCTCTGCGCCATCTGTACGGGGAGTGAATCTTGACATGGACTCGGCCGCCGGTTGCATGCTTCCTGAGAGAAGAGCCACTCGATTTGATGAGATGAAGTGGATAGGGATGCCTCGTGGTAGAGCTAGTGAGGCTAGGAAGTGTGTGGAATGCACGTTGGGCACGCGTAGAGATGAGTAGTTGTTTAAGCAGTGCCCATTTGCACCGGCATGGATGATGCAAGTAGCCGATGTTTGCAGCTTCAAGCGCTCTGTCTCTGAGAGTCCGAGGGTAGGTGACAAAAGGGTGCCTTGGTAGTGGACAACTTTAGGATGAACTGGAAGCTTGCTGATCTGATCACTGGGGACGGTGATGCAGTGGACTTTCTTGACTGTGGGCTCCTTTAGTAAAGCCTTCAGAACTGCTGCTCCGAGGAAGCTCGTCGATCCCGTGAGTACAATCTCGTGCCCTCCTGCACTCAATGGAGTTGATGGCTGCGAGTCCTGTGTTATAGCCAGAATATGGTCTGGGATGGCAGTCTCCAGCTCCCAGTCGATGGGTTCGAATTCAGTAGCCAATTCGTCTCGTTTGTTGCGGAGATGGGTAGCCATCTTTCCGAGCGTGCTGACTTGGTACAGTTCGCTGATGGGGACTGAGATGTCCATGGAGTCCTTAATAGCACCTTGAAGCCTCATGAGTAGCAGTGAGTTTCCGCCGTGCAAGAAGAAGTCTGAGTTACGGTCCAAAATGTGAGGTTCGTTTGTATTAGGAAGAACCTTTTGCCAGAGCAGCAGTAATTCTCCCTCAGACAAGTCCAGGCGCTCGTTGGAATGGCTGCCTTCCGCTACTAGGACAAAGTCGAGGCTCGCGACTGCTTTCCTGTCTGTTTTTCCGCTGGCATTGGTTGGTAACCTTTCAAGAACTTGAATAGCAGCAGGAATCATGTATTGCGGAAGAGGCAATTTCGAAATGATGGCTTGTAGTGTTGCTCGATCCGCGGTCCTGTCCTTGTTGAGAACAACGTAGGCGACCAGAACGGCCGGGTCACCTTTGACTGTAACCACAACATCGGAGAATAGGCCTTCGCTGGCCTGAGCGAGAACATGCTCAATTTCACCAAGTTCGATTCGAAGACCGCGAAGCTTGATTTGCGAATCTTGGTCGAGTCTGCCCAGGAATTCTAGTGAACCGTCGCGGCGTAGTCTACCCTTGTCGCCTGTCCTGTACATTCTAGCATCCTTTTGGGCACTTTGTGAGTCAAGTACAAATTTCTCTGCAGTCAATTCAGGTAGATGAAGATATCCCGATGCGACACCTTGGCCACCAATGGCGATCTCGCCACACACACCAAGTGGTACCGCTTTGCCGCTGGAATCGAGAATTTTGACCGAGTAATTAGGCAAAACCTTGCCGATCAAACCTTCAGTTACTTGGAATGAGGCATTTATTAATGCTGGGGACAAATCTTGGAAGGTTGCCGCGGCAGTGATTTCAGTTGGTCCATAGCAGTTTGTAAGCTGCTTTACGGAGACTTGAGAGGATCTGAACTGATGGAGTAGTTGTGATGACACCACCTCACCTCCCATGCATGCTTGTTGCCATGAAGTGCAATTTTTGAGATATTCTTCACCATTTCGCAATAGCATGAGATACTCAGTAGGCGTAGCAATTGTGAATGTGACACCCTCCTTTTGCATCAGCTCAGAAAGTGCAATAGGGTCGCCACGTTTCTCGCGTGAGGCGATGACCAGTTTGCCGCCATTGGCAAGAGCTACGAATGTTTGGATGATGGACATGTCGAAGCCTAGAGAGCTCTGTTGAAGGACTACTTCGCGCTCAATGAGAAGCTCTTGGGTCTTGACGGCCAAGTGATTGGCGAAATTGGCCTGGGAGAGGACAACTCCTTTCGGTTTCCCCGTGGAACCACTGGTGTACAGGATAAATGCGGGTGCGTCTGCCTGTCCTTGAATCAAAACCTGTTCATCCTTGGCTTTTACATCAGATACGTTGAGTAATTGAGCCCTAGTTTGCGATGCCGCAATCAATTGCGTACCGGCTTCCTTGGTAGCTTCATGAACGATGACAAATGCAGGGTCACAATCATTCAGGATCGATATGTGACGGGCGGCTGGAAGGCTCAGATCCAGTGGGATGTAGACGCATCCCGCCTGAAGGATGGCAAGCATACAGGCGACCGAGTCTACAGATGGTTCGCATAGAACTGCGATATGGGCACCCGGAGATCCATCATGTGCGAGAATGAGCTGCGAGATACCGTTGGCTTCGTTCGATAACTGAGAGTAAGAAGCATCCCTGAGTCCATCCTTGACTGCAATGTCATTGGGGTATGCTCTCTGCACCTCATTGAATCTCGCCGAAAGTGTTGGCGGCCAGTCGTAAGAGACATCTGGCCCTTTGCCCAGTTCAATTGCCTGAGAGATGGCGTTACTGTCGAACAAAGGGCAGTCTTTGACTTTCATGTCTGTGTTTGAGGACAGTGTCTCAAGCAAGTAGATGTAGATGTCCATCAACGTCTGAGAATCCTCCACAGTGTAAAGCGCATTCTGGCATGTGAGCTCAATAAGACAGGTGCCAGAGGTTATCTCTGTGACCCCAAAGCTGATATCATAGGGATTCTTAGCATCCTCGACCTGAGTGAGCTCGATTTCGCAATCACCCATGGATGTCTTCAACAAAGCTCCAACTCGATAGTTGACAGCTACTTGGAAAAGAGGGCTGTAGGCTGGTGATCTAGCAACATCGAGGTGATCGAGAATAACATCAAAGGGGACGGCCGAATGGGCCAGACCCTCAAGAGCTTTGCGGGACGTATTGGCGGCAAGTTGACTAAAAGTACTGTTTTGATCTACCTGGAAACGCAATGGCAAAAGGTTCAAAAAGAATCCAACAGTTTCTGAAAAGTCTTCATCCAAACGGTTGGCATCAGTCACACCAATGCAAATGTCGTCTAGTGCCAAGAATCGTGAGAGGATAAGTTGAACGATGCTAAGATGAAAGTGGAACGGAGTTACTCTCAAAGCTTTGCTAGCTTGTTTGATGCGAGACACGAGCTCTGTATCGATGACTCGGGATTGAACGTGGCTGGCGTATTGGGTCAGCGGTTTACGTGCAACAACACTGGTAATTGGAAGCAGTTGCAGGGGCTCCGCTGGTTGGTCATGGAGTTGCTTCCAGAATTGCAAATCTCCAGCGAAATCGCCGCTTTCAATAGCTGCTTGCTGTTTCTTTGCGAATTGGATGTAGCTACTCGACGTTTTCGCCAATGGGCGAAGCTGGTATGCTGTGCTAAGATCACGCAGGAAGAGATGCCAGCTCAAACCGTCCATTACCAAGTGGTGATAGCCGAAGATAATAGTGCTCACTTCCGGTGATTGGACGATCAAAGAAACTCCAAACGTTCTTCCATGTTCCAAGTCCCAGTGTTTTGCTTTGAACAAAGCAATTTCTCGGTCTACGGCATCGTCTTGTTTAGACTGCACGATTCTGAGGTAGTAAGACGGAGATGGCAAGACACCTTGTTTGAGAAGACCAGTGTTTTCATCTTTGAAGAAGCATGTTCGTAACGATTCGTGGTGAGTCATCACTGAGTTGAGTGCCTGCTTGAACCTTAGGATCTGGAGGTTTCCTCGGATTTGATAGGTGACTGTGACGTTGTAGGTGGTTGGGTCATTGACGTAGTTCTGCGCGACGTACAACCGAGATTGGGCGTGAGACATAATGTCAGCTTCTTTGATAGTCTGGTTGAGTCCAAATTCTAGCACCTCAGCCTCATAATCAACAAGATTCGTCGAACTCGAGTTAAACGAATTTTGAGAGCACTCTTCATTGGGAGTATGAATGTCCGGGACGCTGATGGAATCACCCGATGAATGTGCGGAATCGTCTTCATGGCCGCTCGAATTGGACGCGGTACTAGCTTGTAAGGCTGGTGTTTGGATTGAAAGAAATTTACTGCTCTGTGAAATTGGCGCTTCTGTTTTAACTTTCAGAACTTCTAGCTGCTGCTCCGGTTTGGACGCTGAAATCTGTTTCAGCTTGAGGCCCAGGAATCTTCTGGTTGCGTCCTCGCACAACTGCGCTGTTGTATCACCTGAAAGAACCTTCAGGACTGGGACATCCATGCCAAGTTTCTTCAAGAACCAGCTCCTGATTTCGACAGCCAATAAGGAATCGACACCCAAGTCGATCAAAGGCACGTTGAGATTGATGCTGTTGGGCGACAGCTGCATCATGGCCTCCAGCTTCCGTCCGAAGATTTGCTGAACCATTTCAATCAGAGAATCTTCCGGTTCATCGCTTTGCAGACGCTGCTTGTAATCAGTGTCTAGAGCACGATCCTTGGAAACTTCATTGCTAGATGCTTCCTTGCGCATGAAATGAGAAAAGCGAGGGTTTCCTTCCCACGGTGGTCGCTTCGGCGCTTCGGGCGAGTCTACGAAAGGCTCCAGTCCGTAAACAGTGTCCTGGCTTGCCAAAACGCTCTCCGCAAACAGCTGATGTACGTCAGATTCTGAAAGAGGCAAGAAGAACATCTTGCGCAGATGATCTTCCATAGATTGACCTCTCCGGGCAACATAGCCAATATCGGCCACCATTCCTATATGCATAGCTGAGGCCGCAAGTCCGCGGCTACGACGTTGACCACAAAGACCTTCCATGTAGAGATTGGCGGCGTGGTAGTTTGACTGTCCGGGATTTCCGATGATACTCGCCATAGAAGAGAACAAGACGAAGAAGTCGAGAGGTGTATTGTAGAATACTTGGTCCAAGTTTCGGCTTCCATCCACCTTTGGCTTCAGCGTGTTTTGCAATACATCAAAGCTCATGTCCGCAAATAAACCATCTGACAGAACCATTGCGGCGTTGCACACTCCCGCGATAGGCGGCATGGTCTTGTTAATAGTCTCGACGACGCCAATAACTGATTCCAGATCCGAGACGTCCATGCTGAAGAGTTGCACATTTGCTCCGTGTGCCTTCATTGCTGGAACCCATCCAGGATCTTCTACGCTACCACTTCGGCTGGTGAGCGCAAGATGACGGGCGCCGTTTTTGACCATCCACTGGGCTAGAGAGAGGCCAAGTTCTTTGGTCATGCCCACCAGGAGATAGGTCTTCTTACTCGAGAATGCCTTGGATACATCCAATGGTTTAAGAGCTACGTCTAGTACGCCTGAGTCACTCCAGTCAATAATAAAGAAACTTGGTAAACTCTCAGGTGACGATTCGAGAAGGTTAGACACTGTCATCATTTGTGTGTGGATGAGATCAGAGTTGGACTGATGTAGATCGCTCAAGAAACCAGGCAGATCTTTGTGCAATTTACTCTGAAATTCGTGCAGAACATCAGATACGCCCAGAATCGAGGTATTTGGTGGCAAAATACTCTCTAGATTGAAACCTGAAGCATTCTGGAATTTGATAACGCAAGATGTGTCGAGCGGTAGCAAAAGCCTGTTGGCAGTTTGCGAGGCTCTTGGGAACAGTTGAATCCAGCCGGGCGACGAGTATTTGGGGCCCGTGGACACAAAGCGGAATTCTCTGTTCTTCAAATCGGCATCGGATTGTAATTGGTGAACTAAGGCCTTTGGAGGCTCGTAAAACAAGACTGTACCTTTAGTTGGCATTTTGCTGCGGATGAGATCCAAGAGGATATTGCATGCGATCGATTCCAACACTTGGGCGTCGCAAGGTACGTCACCAAGGCTGATAGCATTAGACGCATCCAAAGTAGATGAGCATGATGTGCTGAGACTAATCACTGTTTCTCCTGTGTGCGAGTTCGAACCGATGTTGAGGAACACAGGGTAATGAGCGTCATTGTACAGAGACAGCGAGTACTTGACTTGAATCTGGTCGTCCTCCATGAATGCACCTGGAGCGGATGAAACAAGCACAAATGACTTTCCTTCTTGGACAATATCGACGGCTGCGGTTTGCAGATCGAGAGTCTGCTTAATTGGTCGTCTGCTGGCATTGTGTCTATCATTCAGGGCCTTGTTTGGCAAGATTCGGGAGATGAGCATCTTTTCTCCATCATAGATCAACTCGGGCTCTACTTGCCAAAGGCTGTTGTCGCCATCGTACTCTGGGTGAGACAAGACTTCTAGCCTCAAGAAGGTCTGAGTGATAATCTTGGAAATGTCTCGAGACCGGACGTCAGTATCGATGTCTAGGAACTGGAGCTTCAGATGTGCCATTTCTGTCCACAGAGTGCGACCAACTCCAACTATCATATTCGCTTCTGGATTTTTGGCTGTTCTGCCTTCAGTGATCCAGAGGACGTTCTTTGCCGTGAGGAAGAGACTCTGTAGTCGCATCAATCTTTCCGGTGTCATGTCTGAGAAAACTTGCTTGTCAAGGTCTCCGAGGAAGAGAACAGACGTTCCAGGCACCAGAGTCGACACAGGCACATCGTCCAAGCTCTTGGCTTTAATAATTCGCTTCTTCCAGTGCGACAATGACTTCTGGACATCTGTAACAATTTGTGTTGTGAACAATGACTTGCCACCAACGATCAAGATGGGCTGCTCGCCTTGGATATCGTGAATTCTAGAGAGAGGGTTACGCAGCAGTTCAACTTGTGAGTCCGTTGCTCGACTCAGGACAAATGAAACTGAGTGTTGGGCCTCATCAGCTGTATCATAGAATATGGTATCGACGCCGGAGAATCCTGTCTCTTGAAGCAGCTCATCCCACTGAGAGGCTGTCAAAGCTGGCGACAAAACACGACCGTCATCACCACCCAACCACCATCCAGACAAGGCGCCCATGATGAAATGCGTTCTCAGAAGTTCTGGACCAGTCACTTCGAGCATGAGCAGAAAGCCGCCGGGCTTCAGGAGACTCCTGACATGGCGCATCGTATCGCCTAGCGTTCGGGTCGCGTGGAAAACATTGGCAGCAATGATGACATCGTAAGTGTTCTCGGCGAATCCCTGGCTCTGGGGGTCCTTTTCAATGTCCAAGACCTTGAACGTCATCTTGCCGCTGTGGTCACGGAATCTCTCTTCAGCATTCTCAAAGAATCCGGTCGAGATATCGGTGAATGTATATGAAGAGTAAGCGTTGTCAATTGCATCAAAAACACTTCTTGTCGTGCCTCCCGTACCAGCACCAATCTCCAAGACAACTGCCTGGGGATTCTTGAATGTGATCTGCTTCATAGCCTGTCCGATTTTGTTGTTGAGGATTGAGAAATTGTAACCTTCTACATAGAATCGATTGAGCATATCATCAGCTATCATCACCTCGAGAATTTGCACTTTGCCAGCCACGAGCTTGAGCAGGTTGTCGCCCACGGCACGTATCAGCTTGAGATGGACGCTCTCTCCATGTGTCTTGGTCAACTCTTCAATGACTTCAGCGGAATCTTCAAGCCACTCTGGCTTTATGACTGGATGGTCACCGTTTGCAGCACGTTCTATGAGCTCCTCTGCCGCAGTAGTCATCAGCTGGAGGTACCATGCAAACGTCTTGCGATCTGTGGAGCCAATATCGGCAAGGAATTTGCGATAATAGTATACAGCTGTGCGATCTAATGCCTCCATTAGTGGGATATCGTCCAAGTCCTCGATTTCTGTGTCTAAGTCCACCAGATTGAAGGACGAATCTGCGCGCCAAACGGTTTCAGAAAACAGGTGCTTATCGTTGGAGGCTTGTGGCTCAGAGACGGCTTTCATCTCGAGCCCTTCGATTTGCAATGTTGTCTGTGCACCACCTTTTGGATAAACGTGGATGTCGCCCTTAAGCAGCGTTGACGATCCCGTCGTAACAAAGCTATCTGCCTCCATCTCAGTCATTACGCCGTTGGAATAGGTGGCATGTGGGTTTACCGAAAGCCGGCCGACCTTCACTGGGAGATATGGCGCCCAGTAACCTCCACTAGCTGGAGAAGCAAACGAGACGTAAAGGGTTTGTAGTGCAACGTCCAAAAAGCCGGGATGCATAACGTAATTATTGCCCTTCAGATTTTCAGTCTCCCACGACGAAACTGTAGATGAGAATCCCAATGCCCTCCTGCCATCTTTGATGCTGCGGAAGACACCCAGGTATTCTTGGCCAACACTGGTCATGGACGTGTAAAATCGATCCATGTCGATGGGGACCAAGTTCGAAGCCGGCACCAGTCGAGGGGGCAGATGCTGAGTTTTGGACTCGCCAAAGAGAATTGTCAAGCGACCATAAGCAGCTTTCACAGGTTGACCATTGTTCTCATCGTTGCAGAAGTAGCAAGCGAATTCGAAGCTCAAAGACTCGCTCGACTCAAGCTTGGACTGCTTCTCTAGTAGTCGGGCAGTGAATAATGTTTCAACGCCAGCCGTACCCTCTGGAATCACCATGGCTCTATCCATGGAGATATCAGTGACTTCGTAAAGCTCAACAGCACGTTGATCTGCAATTTCTGCACCCGCCTGTAGAGCCATGACGATATATCCTGCTCCGGGAAACAGCACTTGGCCCTGGAACAAATGGCCTTGAATCCATGGCAGCTCGTGAAGTCGGACAATATTTCTCCAGCGCAACTCTTGGTCTGAGTCGTCGGGCGTCCTGCGACCGAGAAGTTCATGGCTCTTGTCATTGCGCAAGCGGTAGTTACGTGAGACTCGGGATTCTCTCCAATAGGCCCTGCGATGGTCCCAGCCGTAACTTGGAAGGTCTTTCAACAGATGTGAGGACGTTTGACGGTCAAATGCTTTGCGGTAGCCGTCAAAGTCAACGGCCGAGGAGCCAAGATAAGACCACACATATCCCAATGCGCCGGAGAAGGCTTCAACTTCGTCATCGCCACGTCTCATCAATCCTGCATAATTCGGGACGGTTCCGAAATATGTCTTGAGAGTTTGTTCAGCCGGGCCCTTGAGCGCTGGGTGAGGGCCAATTTCGATGGCAACATTGAAAGGGCCGCCGTGCCAAATCGAATGTTCTACAGCTTGAGAGAACTGAACCATACCAAGGAGGTTATCCACCCAGTATTGTCCTTTGAGAGGCTCAAGTCCATCTTCTAGCAGGTCAGTGTCACCACGGACGCTACTCGTCCAAATGCAATCCTCTCGGGGGCTCTGGATTTGGATGTCGCAGGCCAGCAGTGATTTCAGGTATGCCTCTGCGCATGGAATCATAAGGTGTGAATGATATGCTGTATCAACCTTTAATTGCCTTGCAAAAGTCTTGCTTTCATCAAAGTGTGCTTTAGCTTGCATAATGGCATCTGCATCTCCAGACAGTGTGACGCTGAGAGGGGAATTGCTGGCAGCGACCTTGAGGCGTCCAAAGTATTCAGGCTGGTTACAGAACCTATAAGCGTCTGCAAAACTGAGTCCAACGGCCATCATGGCGCCTGGCACACTCTTCTTCGCCAAGTGCGAATGGAAGCCACGATAGTATGCAATCTGCATCGCATTCTCAAGGTTAAGAATGCCAGCAGCATAAGTCGCAGCAATTTCACCGGAACTGTGACCAACCACGGCATCAAGCTTGACGCCAGAAGCTCTTAGTAGATCAACCAGAGCAATTTGCAACGCTGTGCAGATGGGCTGGGAGATTTCTGCTTCAGAAATGCGGGAAGTGCCCTCGTCAGCCAGGAGCTGTTCAGTAAGTGACCAGCTGGGAGCATCTGGCAGCTTGTTCAGAACAGCTTCGCATTGCTCGATCGAGCTTCGGAATAGATGAGATGATTGATACAGTCCACGACCCATGGAGGCCCACTGAGCTCCTTGACCAGTGAATACACCCAGAATACCAGGCGTCTCATTGGGATCAATGGGTTGAAACTGATTTCCTACAGTCTCCGGCGGCACAGAAGATGAATCCTCAACAAATCTGTCCATGAAGTCAATCAGACGCTGACGTGTCGCACCTGAAAAGAAGATCTTAGACGATAATGAGCTTCTCTTCTTCTGTAAGATCCACGACAGATTCTCAAGATCCAGAGAGGGATCTGATCGTATGCGATCCGCATAAGACTTAACAGACTCTATCAGCGATACACCGGAGCTAGCTGACAATACCAGAGGTCCTATGAACTTATCATCGGGAATCTCAATCGGGGCTGGCTTTTCGCCCTCATAGCTTTCCAGGATGACGTGGGCGTTTGTTCCACCAAAGCCAAAGCTATTGACACTGGCCCTCAGGCATTTGTCGCTTGTCTCAGGCCATGGTATCGCTTTCGTGGGGATCTGTAGATTGTGATAGAAGGGCTCGACTTTGGAACTAAGCTCCTTGAAGTGAAGATTGGGTGGGATCGTGTGATGCTTCATAGCTAGCAGCGCTTTAATGAGGCCTGCCAGTCCAGCACATCCCTCCAAATGCCCTATGATTGTCTTGATAGAGCCGACATATAATTTGTTGTCATCTTGAATATCAGAGCCCAGAGGAAAGAATGCGTCTCTGATTGCTTGGGCTTCTACGGGATCACCTGCCTGAGTTCCAGTGCCGTGGCATTCAAAGTACTGGCAGCGATCAACGGTAGGATCTAATCCCGCGTTTTTATAAGCCTGTCTAATCATCGCAGCCTGGGCAGTTGGACTGGGCATTGTGATTCCTTTGGTGCGTCCATCAGAATTAACTGCAGTCTCTCGAATCACACCCTCGATGTGATCTCCATCACGGATAGCATCCTTCAAAGGCTTGAGCAAGACAGCAGCAAAACCCTCGCCTCGGGCGTATCCATTTGCTGACTTATCCCACATCTTGCAACGCGAATCAGGCGAAAGCATATGTAGATTGGATTCTGCAATGTACATCAGAGGGTCAAGAAGCAGATTGGCGCCTCCAACCACCGCCATGGTGGCTTCGCCATTTCGAAGACCCTGAACGGCCTGGTGTAGTGCTACAAGTGAACTTGAGCATGCCGTATCTATCGTCATTGATGCACCTTTGAGATCAAAGGCGTATGAAATCCTGTTGGAAAGAATACTCCGCGCCGTGCCAGTGGCGGTATGTGTGGGTAGAGTCTCGGGATCTCTCATCTGTAAATCGTAGTAATCTCCATTCATAACACCGACGTGTACTGATGTTTGAGATCCTTGCATCTGGTCTAATGAATAGCCTGCTGCTTCGAAGGCTTCATAGACGACTTCTAGCAATATCCTCTGCTGTGGATCCATGATGTCTGCCTCAAGCGGGCTGATGCCGAAAAACGAAGCATCAAAGAGTCGGCAATCCTCTTCGAGTGTGTATGAGGCGCCTTGAACATCGGTGCTCCCGTGGTGTTCGCCATTATCGTGATGGAATTTGGAGAGGCGCAGCCTGCTCTCATCAATGGGCTTCAAAATGTCCCGCGGTTCCTTCAAAAGTTCCCAAAGCTTTGCCGGTGAGTTAGATCCGCCAGGGAACCGACACGCGGTGGAAATGATGGCAATTGATTCAGGCATGTTTGTCCGTGTGTTTAACCAGACATGAAATCACCAACAACGATATGAGGTTGAATCATGCGAGGACTGGCGGTCTGAAGTTGAAGTGTTGAATCAGGAATTGGATGATACAGCCCGTAGTGATAACAAGATCCGATCCCTGAAGTATATAGTTTGCTCGCTCAATAATGCCATATAGATTTCCGATAGTGAGGCTCATCATAGTTGACTTACAGTACGGAATCTCGCATATGGTCTGACATCGAAAAGAATCTAGGGTCCCTGGAACGATCCACTATCCCGGGCTTCAACTTCACGACTAATGACAGGTTGACAGGCTTCGGCATTTTAATCCCTTTGACAATCGAAAAACAAGGATGAAATCGTTCTTAGATGATTTGCGCAACCCATGTGGCAAAATCCGGGATATTACAATCCCAGTTGCGACAGTAAGTGGTGAATATCCCGGGACGGAGATAAGCTGGGCGACGAATAGCAACTTCTGGATTTGTACAGCGATTTCCCTGAAATCCCCGGGCGATTGGCCGTGCCCGGAGTTGCTGCTGATTGGATGGCCAGCAGACATGTATTCTCAAAATAATTGATGCATAGCCATAAAATCAGAATCAATTGATCCTATGATTTATTCCAGTGATTGACTTTTTGTCGGGTTGGTTACACTCTGCTCAACACAGTTTGTAACGGTTCATCACAATGGCTCTACAATCATGGGGAGTTAACCTGCTCATTGGAGCAGTCGCATTTTGGCTGTTCAGAGGCATCGTCGAAAAGATTCAGTGGGATCGGAAGAGAAGAGCGAAACAATGTGGAGAGATTCCAAGCTACCCTCATTGGGATCCCTTCTTTGGTCTCGATGTTGTGCTCGGAATGGCCAAGTCCCTGAAAAACCATTACTTTCTGGATTGGCTTAACTGGGTACACAAGAACCGGCCAAAAACGTTTCTCGTCAACTTTGTTGGCACTCGCTTTATTTGGACCATCGAGCCGGAGAACATGAAGAGCATGTCAGCTTTCACATGGAAGAGCTTTGGCGTGGGCCCAATGCGACGAAACAACAAGGCGACGCACCCGTTTGCCGATATTGGCGTGAATACTGTGGATGGAAAGGAATGGGAGTTTGCTCGGTTCTTGATTAAGCCGTTCTTTATGCGAGAGAAATACACCGACACGAAAAGACTAGAAAAGCACGTCGATCGCCTTTTTTCGCTTCTTCCTGAAGAAGACGGTGTGACTGTTGATGTCCAGCCTCTAATCCAACGATGGGTCAGTACAGACGCCATGCACGCAAATGAGAAAATACTAATCGATAGCAGTTCCTGGATGTCGTAACTTTTCTTCTGTTCGGAGAGTCACTCGATTCATTGGTCTATCCAGACCGCGCTCAAATTTGCTGGGCCATGGTCGATGTCTTGAGAGGATTGCGTCTCCGCTTGCAATGGTACAAGTATCTGTTCCTGTTCAAACACCAGAATTGGCTGGATGCTGTTTCAGTCGTACACAAATATGTCGATAGCCACATCACCAAAACTTATCAGGAGATGGAACAAATTGATGAACTCAAGTCTAAAGGCGTGGATATCAAGGATGAGCGCACAGACTTACTCTGGTGGATGGCTCGCAATCTCAAGGACCGAGAGGAGCTCCGTTCCCAGATGTGCCTGATCTTTGTTCCCAATAACGACACTACATCGATCTTTATTAGCCATATTATCTGGAATTTGGCACGTCACCCAGACATCTATGCAAAATGCCGTGAAGAGGTCCTCGCTTATGGAGATGGGGAATTGACGTTTGAGGCTTTGAGAGGAATGAAGTATCTGAACGGTATTCTCAATGAAAGTGAGTCACTGAATGATCAATACGATATTGTCTGAGGTGGGAGCTGACGTCAAGAAGCACACCGATTGTACCCGAATGGCGTAACACAGGTTCGCAAGTGTCTCGAAGACACAGTTCTGCCAACAGGCGGCGGTCCAGACGGCAAACAGCCGATCTACGTCCGCAAGGGCGATGTCGTGCAAGTCAACAAGAACGTGCTCCACAGAGATCCCGAGATCTGGGGCGATGATGTGCTGGAATTCAACCCTGATCGATGGCGAGAGTTGCGTCCCATGTGGAACTTTGTTCCCTTCGGTGGAGGGCCTCGAAGATGCCCAGCACAAATGTTGGTCACAGCCGAAGCCAGTTATGTGATTGCACGGATTGCACGGAGGTATGCTAGAATTGAATCTCGCGACCCGAGCCCTTATGTTGGAGTTATGCGAGTCGGACCATCGAGCAAGACCGGGGTTAAAATTGCTCTTTACAGGGCTTGAGTACACGCATGTATAGCTGAAAGTGTAGCGTACTAGCGAATGATATGGAAGTTTATGAGCGTAAATTGATAGCTGCGGCGAGTATATCAGCGCGTCTTTAAGAATAAACGTTGTACATTACAAAGTCCAAACTCTTAGCGAAGATTATCGTTGTTGCGATGAGATAGATTTATATAGAAATGAACATAACATGAAATTAATTTAGTGAGATTGATTACATAGGGCTGGGTGAGCTGGAGGGGCAAATTTGCGGGTTGGAGACATCAAAGACGATAGCAAAGGAAAGGGTAAGACTCTTCGTAGTAAAATTGAGGAAATAATCAGGGCAATTATTCCTGCTCCAATAGCACCATATCACTTCAAGATTTATAGGAAGCTCTATATAACTCTAATAGTTCAAGACATTTGGCTACAGTGGTACGAGTTTTCCATAACTACCCTACAAAAAGCCTGTAGCGAATGCTGACCCATCGCTATATCTTAATCATGTCCTGTAGCTTTCGCGATAACTTCATAGGCAGTGTCAAGTTTATCCAGCGAGTTCCCGCGCCAAGAAACAAATCCATCCGGGCGCACCAGAACAAGATCTGCTGACCAGATGCTATGCGCTGCTGTCTCTTCATCAAGCGACGAGATGCGAAGCGGAACCTTGAGCCGCTCGGCAGACTGTGTAAGCCAATCGATAGCTTGCAGATGTTGTTGGCTGTTTTTGAATGCGATCAGAGTAAAATCTTTACCATAGTGATCGAAAATCGGCGTCTTGTCTTGAAGAAACACGTGAGGCGCTCGGTAGCCAGAGACAGTTGTGGGTATATAATGCCTTGGATCAAATTCTGGAGGTGATGGAAGCTCATCTTGTGGCTGGTCCGGTAAACAAATACTTGAAGTGTATCTGTAGCCCAGCTCTACACCCAGACTCTTGTTGTGGGCGTCGTTTGCTTGAACATATTCATGAACGCGATCAAGCATGGCGCGTGCCTCTTCTCCGCCGGCTTGGAGTGTTTTACCAGAAAATTCGACGGACTTTGGCATTGCCATTAGTCTTCCAATATGGCCTTTGGCAGTTTGTAATGCTAGCAGCGCGACAGAACGGCGTTCTTGCTCGTAGGTAGCAAGAAGTTGTGGACCAGCCCAGCCATTAACAGCCGCAGCGAGCTTCCAGCCGAGATCAAATGCTTCAGCAATACCGGTATTCATGCCATAACCTCCAGTGGGCGGCATTTGGTGGCAAGCATCTCCAGCTAGGAAAATTCGTTGCTTTGGGCCCATGAAACCCTGAGCAATTGCTACGCTGGGATTCCACGTTGATCGTACAAGCACTTCATCGATCTTGATTGGAAATGGCTCACCAGCGCCACCAAGAGTGCTGTAAACTGCATCTTCAGAAGAAAGTTGAGAGTCGTCAAAGTCGGCAGAAAGAAATCTGTGAATTGTCCAAGTGTCGATTTCATCTTGCGCAATGATGGCGCCTTTCATCGAACCACCTTCCTCCACCGTTTTCGGGAAGAAGATGTGCCAAAACTGACCCTGCTTCTGTAGGCGAGTCAAATCGCGAGATTTGAAATGAACCAACAGAGCGCGACCAGGGCTACAAGTATTAAACGATTAGTGTATTGAATTAAATGTTGAAGTCATTCTCACTTACAGAGGCCCGCCGTCGAGTTTAATTCCCAAGCTTTCCCTTACGACACTATTCGCGCCGTCACACCCAACTGCATATCTGCTATGAAATGTCGTTTCTTCGCCCGTTTTTGCGTCAATGGCTGTCACTTCGACACCATCGTCATTTTCTTTGGCGCTTGTTGCTTTCCACCCAGAGCGAATGTCCACCAGCGGATCCTCAACACAAGCGTTCTTCAGCCATGACTCAAAAATTACCTGTGAAATACGCATCCAAGGTTCCAAGGGAAGCGATCCATCATTTTGAGTCTGAATCTGCTCGTTTAGCTTCTCTGCGCTCGGTAGATCCCACGACGATGCTGCCTTTTCATCGTTAAGGCCCGTGGAGAAGAGACATGTGAAAGGAAATTTCGCAGGTACGGCCAATTTTCGAAGCTCCTCTGCCATACCTAGGCTTCGGAAAATCTCCATGGAACGAGAGTTGGTGAGGTCCATTTTTGGCCAGGTAGTTGTTGTGTAGTGTCGCTCAAGCAACACGCTTTTGACTCCATGATGGGCCAATGTTTTCACCAGCAACAACCCCACGGGTCCGCCTCCAACGACAAGAACGGTATCAGAGGGGAGAGTTTCGATAGCCATATTGATCTTGTATCAATAGAGATCTAGCTCTCGAAATCTCGTCAATAGGCTGATGAGTAACCCCAGAATTTATCGCGTTCAAGAAGACGAGTTGTGGAGAAGGATCTGAATTTCCCGTCCCGGGCACGGCCTACGGACGGGGTTTTGCCAGGCACCCGGACCTGAACCACGCTCCTACTCCGTAGATCTCGGTTACTTTGATCTATCGAACCATTCTTGGCTATGAAGAATACAACCCATACTGCACCTGCATTGTTTATTGTCATGGGGTCTCTCTGCCATGCCCTGCTCAATCCTCCCTTTCCGGATATTGATCTGCGGCTTGGCTACCTTGATGGTTATTTCATACTTTAACAGATCGGATGACCAGCAGAAGATGCAACGGTCGATCAAAATACGAGTTATTGTGTGCATAAGTATACATTGAGAGTGTCATGATTGAACTAAGGCTCAAAACTCATTTGCAGATTGAATAGACATCTAATGATGATCAATTTATAATACATTGCTCCAGATCTACGTCTCAAACTCAAATTGTGTAAACCAGCTTCATTGCTGAAACTTCCGACTTTCGTACTTGTGCTATTCCATCGACAATGCCATCAAGTCCACCAGTCATCTCCTTGAAAGGATGAGGCTTGACATGACCATTGTCTAATAACTCCTGCGCTGTTTTAAACCATTCATGCCCAAACGCCCGATCCTTTGGTTTCGCTTCCTTACGATACCCAATTTGCCAATTGACTGCCTGATTAAACATGGTCAACGTGCTTATCCAATTTGGCTTGATACTCCTCCGCGTGTGGCAACGGATAGGGAACGGATCCAAGCTCAGATAGTGTCCGCCTGCTGATCCAATGGCTTTATAGCAAATGGTCATTGATGATGTGTCTGCGATGCAATCGAGAGCGTACACCAGCGTGTCATTTGTGAAATCGTGAATTTCGCTGCCGCACGAGGGCGAATGGTAGTCAAAAGTAGCGATAGCACCGAGCGACTTGACTAGATCGTAGTTCCGAGGAGAACAAATGGCTATGGGTGAGAACCCGGACCTTGAAGTTGGTGTTAGAGGTTAGACTGCCGCGGTAAAGCAAAATGTGAGAGCACTTACATCACAGCCATCTGGATAGCCATAGTTCCCATTGCTGTACTCGCTCCGTATACCAGAAAATATCTGGATTCGCTCTTCAGCGATAAAGGTGACGGCAGTTTTAGAGAGTAGTAAAGTGCCATTCCTACAGTTGCAACGGCTACTCCAAGAGTTGCCGCCGTTTGGTAGGACATTGAATCAGGAATCTTCAGTACTAGGTCAGCTGGGACAGCGACAAACTCTGAGAATGCCCCATTGTCCAGGCGCTCTGGGTTATTTCCAAAGATACAGGCGCAGACTCTGTCTCCCAACTTCAGCGGCTTGGTGATGTTGCTTCCGAGCTGCACCACTGAGCCAGCAAAATCGCATCCTGATGTTGCCCCTGCGGTGGGCGAGAGCTCGGCCGATTTCCCATCTATAGGATTGATAGCCACTGCCACAACTTTCACCAACACTTCATCATCAGCGATCGTGGGGATCTCATTGGCCAATGACACCTGGAATTGTCCAGGGCCGGTAACCTTTAGTGCTCGCTGACTGCCCGGGATGATAACGGTCATTGTCAATATTGTGCCACTGTTGAACGGCTACTAACTAACATCTCCCATTTTCATTCCCATTTTCATTTAACAGCACGTATTTATCGATGCAACTACAGATGACGGCCTGCTGTATGTCATTCGGCGGCTCTAACACGGCCCTGGACGGGAATTTGCCATGTGGCTGCTTCGCCCTTGCAGGGTCCGGGAATTGACCCTGGTCGATATGCATGACAGGCGTGAATCACGGAAAATTCGATGAGCTGGGGTAATCATTAACCCCGGGTGAGATTCATGTTACAATTTCTTGGTGTGTTCTCCCACTTGCTGCCTTTTGCTGTCCCAGCAGAGCAATCTCTTTGCGTTTCAGATTTGCTTGATTTGGTTGATCCTTGAGCGACCATGGTAAACGCCACTTGGGCCCAGGGCCTCGATGTTGCTGGCCTTTTTACTGAACAAAAGTATTCATCAAGCGTACTTCTTATTATTTTTGCATCTATTGTACATTTAATTTTCCTTCGACGAGTATGTTCATCATGAGCTCAACTAAGGGAATGACTACTTACTTGTCTATAGCCCAGCGTAATTAGAGATAAAGATGGCAAACCTATCAAAGAACTCAAGGCCAATGCTCGCGTGATGAAGTTTGCGCTCAGGTAGGGAACAATTTCCTGTTGCGCAATTGTGGTGCCAAAAGGTGTAAATTAAGCTGAATTGTGTACCTTACAGCGCAGAGTTGTCCAAGCAGGGTAGAGAATTGGCTGGCGATGCGCCATACATGATTCACAATGGCCAGTCCAGGGAACTTGTCATTACGCAACCGGATCACTTGAAAGACTTTTACAAAAATGACACTCAACGTAAGAAGCTTTCTATCAAGGTATCAACTACGACTAATTCAGTGACCAGATCACCCAAAGCCAGCCAACCTCAATATGGGCGCATATTTTGGAAGGTAAGCTTGCTTCGGTATGAGATGTTAAATTTATGTTGGCTAATTTGCTTTTTCATCAAGAATTTTGGGCCACGCTGTCGGTGTTCAAGCAGGAGAGCGTTGGAAGATAATCCGAAAATATTTTGACCCGGAGTTTGCTTTTCGGGTCACCGTCGAGGCTATGCCACGAACTCTTGATCTCGTGAATCAATGGGCTGACCAGCTCGTTCAACACTCAGTTCCATCATCAAAGTCAGAAGCAAGCAAATCATTTATCACTGATGTGCAAAGTGTTGGCAAATTCCTGCCTTTCAAAATTGTGTCCCAGCAGTTATATGGCCAGGTTTTCAATGAAGAGGTTAGTTCACCATTATAGGCTCCTTAATTGTAGTGTGATACTGATGCATCACTTTGATTAGTTCTTCTCGAAATTACTAGAGATGAATTCATTACATGAGGAAATTTTACATGACGTGTTGCTAAATCAGCGTCTAACTTCAAAATTCTGGAACCTATTGCCAAGCAAAGCATCTAGACGTATGGACGAGTACAACCGAAGATGGAAGAAGCTCAACCTGGATGCAGTTTCATTGGCCAGAAAGGTACGCATATTCTTTTCTTTCCTCTATCACTTACTCACAAGGTATATGAGCAGCAAAGCCTCGACTGCCCTCTTGAGCGAATTTACCGTGGAGTTGATCAAAACAATGAGTTAGAAGAACTAGAGGTATGTGTTAACTCATACATTTAAGCCTGATTGCTTACATACCTCAGTTTCTACACACTGTCGATGAAATTCTATACACCAATGTCGAAATTAGTGCTGCCGTTTTGAAAACACTGTTCACACGTTTGGCGGAAGACCAGGCATTCCAGCAGTCGCTACGATCAGAAATCATTTCTCAAACAGCTTCCAAAGATTCTGATCTGGCCAAGTATGTCGCGAAAACGGATTCTTTGCTCAATTTTCTGGTCATGGAGAGCATGAGACACACGCCCGCATTCTGTGAGTCCAAGCCAATTTCACATCTCCTCTCTTTCTAACAATTTCAGGGTTCTCTCTTCCTGAGTGCACTGCTGTGGCAAAGACTATTGGCGGATATCAAGTACCGGCAAACACGGCTGTCGTGATTGATTCAGGGAGACTCAATAAAGAGGCAGTTACATGGGGTGGTGATGGTAACGACTTCCGGCCAGAGCGATTCAAGGAAATCCCACAAAGCAAATGCCGATATGGATTCATGAAGTTTGGTGCTGGTGGTGCCTCTGGCAGATGCCTGGGAAAGCACGTCGCTGATATTACTTTCAAGCTGACTGTCATTGCTGTTTTGAAGAAGTTCTCATTAGAGACTCCAAAAGATGAGATTCTAGCAGCAACACCAGCTACAGTTACTTTCAGTCCAAACTGAGATTGTTGAATCTACAGAAAAGGAGGGAAGAGTTAGTATTTTATTCTATACATAAAGAAGTAGATGATGAAGAAATATGACCAATTCTTTCAACGACAGTACGAGTTACTGTTTATACTTCAATAAGCTGTTCTCTTTTTACTGAATAGAGAACTAGTGAAGACACTCATGAACAAAAGGTAGGGCAGTGTATACAGGCAGACTCTTGTTTGTCCTCTGGGATATTATTTGCCAAATAATATTAATGACATATATGCCTCAACAGCCCTCTGGCTTTCGGCCTTTTTTGCAATTTCAACAATATGGATACAAATATAGCCTAATTCTATATAATCTACTCCGTATTGTTATAAAACAATATTGCTTCATTTTTTTCTAGTGATTAATCTGTTTTTTCTTTAAAAAGAAAACAGACTATCTTCTTTGGGCCCATGGTTCATCATACCCCTTATTTTCCTCTTCGCAGACAAGGAGAAAAGCACATGTCGTTAGATTGTCATTCTTGCATAAATAAAAGCGCAGTCTATTACTATCAGCATCTGTAAAGCATCCCTGGCCCCTACATGTAACCTGACAATGTTTCCCCCTTGGACATCCTCGGCTATCACATATCCCAACACGTAAGCTATCGAACTTTACAATCAAACTTAATCCCTGACAACTCGCTTTGCAATCAATGGGCTTTGAGCATTTACAGACTCGTAGTTGTTTGCATCGATGCATGCCTGTCTCGATTTGAGAACCGCAGGGCGGGTTCGCTCAATCATTTCGTCTTCGTAAGCTTGGACGGCTAAACTTAACGCATTCTCCTTTTGCTGACAGACATCGTCGCTGAACAAGAGCTTGGTCAGAACAGACACGTCAATGACGCCATGATTCGCCGCTTCGCCTCGGAACATGGTCATGCCGTGAGCTGCATCTCCCACGAGAGTTACCGTGCCATTGTGGTTATCCCAGCCGTTTGGTTGGGGCGGCCAGTCTTCTAGCACAATTTCCCGGAGTTCCGTATCATCCGGAATGTCGTTAGCAATTCCGCGGAAAGGCTCAGCCCAATCTTTAGCCAATGATCGAAGCCAAGCCAGACGCTCCTGATTAGTGGTGGGCATGTCTGTTGGCTCGGCTCGGCCCAGAAAGCCGGCTCGATACGGCCAACTTAGCATAATCTGACATGTAGCAATTTTGAGATCATCCGTTGGTCGTGGCAAGTGGATAAAGGAGAACCAAAAGTAGACATTGGTCGCGGGATCACCACCTTGAAAGAAGTGTACGTCAATCTCTTTACAAACCTGGACCCTTTCGACCGGGAACTCGACACGCATGCCTATTAGGCGAACCGGAAGTCGGTTATTTTGATACGTAGTCGGGCAAAGGTTGCGTCTAACTGCGGATCTTGATCCATCGCAGCCAACGATCAGGTTGCCTGTTTCGCTAGTTCCGTCGGCGAACCGGGCTGTAACTGTCGTTGATGAAGGGTAACTGATCGTGTCCAAAGCTTTTGACCACTGACAAATTATTAAGACTACCACTCAATCACGGAAAGTATATGCCATACCTTAATATCAAGTCCTTCCATCAAAAGGGCTAACAATTTCTCTCTTGACACTCTCGAAGCTGCACCAAGTGGTATTGGCCATGCCTCCACCCTTGCCCCAGTCTTGAGGTTCAGATATTGGAAATTGCCGGGTATTCCCTTCTCTGCAGCCTCGGGATTGACCAAGCAATCCTCGAAACGAGATATGATATCATGCGGTAGAACATTCCGCAAATCCGTCAGAGCCCAGTGAATCGTCAGACTCCACCCACCGCCACGTGCGAATGCATGGTCGTCTCGCTCAAATATGGAATAGGTGTACTTGACACCTGATTGAGTGCTCTTTTCGGATTGATTGAAGTTTCGTATAGCTTGAGCTAGAATAAGGCCCGTGAGACCTGCACCAATGATCAGGATGTGAACTTGCTTCGGGAATGAAGCATCTCCCGATGGAACAGCCATTTTATTAAACTCGAGTTTCGTGCTTTAACAAAGAAGCCAATCTCTCTACTGTCCAAGGTAAATAGCTAAGCAATACCGAGCCCTTAATAATGAATCTATCAGTGAATATTAAATCCCCTTGCAGCTCTTATAGCAATCGGGTGGCATATGTCATTTTGTCTATAGAGGCTTTAGATTCCCAGCCATATATTTCACTCCAGGCCAATCCACCTGCACAAACGCTCCCTGGGGCACAATATCCCGAGTCAAGGGCGAAATACGGGATATTCAACATAATGGCCTGACACATTCTGTTTGGTAAATCAGACGACTTTGTTCTTGTTTTTGCCAATTTTTCTAGCTTGGATGTCAGCTTTAAATCAAGGATCGTCCTATGCCATAGCGCCTATCTGCATCGAGCAGTTCGTAATTCGTCTGATATCACCGTCCGAAGCACTTACATCCACTCTGCTACAGTACGTAATGGCTGTGGATCAGTGCCTGCGTCTCGGCAATGTTTAGAAACATGCGCCACTGCATGATTACCGTATTCACCGTCCAGACTGTTATTCCACCAATGGCCTACTGGATCAACCTGCGCTTGACATGCATATCGGTGGCCCGGGCTGACTTTTGCTTTCCCCAGTTGTCCAAGCTTATCACCGAAGGATTCGGGGACTTCTGACAACGCATAACAAGGATGTGTCTACGGAGTACCGAGTGCCGACTACTCCATATTTGACATAACAAATAATAATGATGTAGATTTCAATTGATAATTTTAATTAATCATTATATGTTGACATATTGTTGTCAGAAATATTATATAATTTTTACTCTTAGCTTTGCTCTTTATAACACCTGCTTAATCAAGCACTCGTATGCATGGGATCGCTCCCGTATGCCTGGTTTGGCTTAGTGTGCATACCCCGGACTGTCATTGAAAATGCCGGCAGTGAAATGTCCATGTCTCGGCCATTCTTAGAATTCCCGGTTGATCAGGCCGTGCTTCGGACACAACGGATTACTACGCAACTTGCTCCCACCGTGGCCAAGCAGTCAATGATGATGCCGGGGATTTCGTTTCACGGCCACCAAAAGTAGAGGCAGCTCGGGAGTTACAGAAGAAGTAGATTTCGAGAGCAATTCTTTATCTAGTATTGAAGGTGCATTAAATAGTGTATTGCGAGAAACCTCCGCGTTATAGTCTTTTGCTAGTCTTTTACCCTAAGCTATCATTTGCCTTAGTGATACAGAAATGGCGAGCGTTAATGTGAAAGAGCTCATTGCTCAGGTCAACGCGGCCGCTCAGCAGGGTGCAGCTGGTGTTGACGACGGTGAAAGGAAGCAACTGTTGGCCGCGGTTGATAAACTGAGGGCTTCATATGAAACTCCGTTTGAGACAACGATAAGAGTCGTTTTCTCCGTATGTGAATTGTAAAGGGGTAATTTACAAGCAATGAAACTGACACATAGATAGGGTCACCAAGCCATCGCTATCCGCCTTGCAGTTGATTCTGGACTATTCGATGCTGCTGCTAAGCAGCCCCAAGACAACATCACCGTCAAGCAACTGGCGAAAGACACAGGCGTTGATGAGTTGCTAGTTAGTAAGTGGATATACAATCTTCCATGTATTTCAATGCGTGATAGAAACTAATATCCATAGCACGCTTTGTTCGATTTTTGACTGCTATGAATGTCTTCAAAGAGCCAGAGCCCGGTCGGTTCGTAGCAACACCACTATCCGGTTCCTACGTCTCATCATCGCCTCTTTCAGCAGCCGTTATTCACATGTAAGTCTACTCAACTGCTCATCAGATCAAAGACGTGCTAAAAAGCTGAGTTTCTAGCACTCATTTCCTCGTCATTGCGTCACAGCTCCCTGAGTACTTTGCGGAGAAAGGATGGAAGAGCCCACACGACGTCTATGACGGCCCCTTCCAATTTGCCATTAATACCAAGGACAACTACTTCGAATTCCTGGGCTCCAAACCTTATTACCAAAAGGCTTTCAACACTGTCATGACCATCTCTCATCGCAGAAAAGGCCGCAACTGGTTTACTTTCTTCCCAGTCGAAGAGAAGCTCGGTGGTGTTAAGCCCGATCAAACTCTGCTTGTAGATGTTGGCGGAAGCCAAGGTGGAGACATCACTGCGTTCCAGAAGGCATACCCCAATCTGTCTGGAAAGCTCATTCTTCAGGATCTCCCAGTAGTGATTGATGATATTAAGGAACTGCCTGCAGGAATTGAAGCTCAAGGCTACGATTTCTTCAAGGAGCAGCCTGTCAAGGGCGCCAAGGGCTACTATCTACGAACCGTGCTTCATGATTGGCCCGACAAGCAAGCTGTTCAGATCCTGGAAAGAGTTAGAGAAGCTATGACACCGGAATCAGTTCTGCTAATCAACGAAACAGTTATTCCAGAGTCCAACGCCTCCCTCTCCTCTGCAACTGCGGACTTGATCATGATGGTCTCATTTGGATCCCTAGAGCGCACAGAGAAGCAATTTGCAGACCTCTTCGCCAAAGCTCAGTTGGAACTTGTTAAGGTCTGGAATCCCACGGATTTTGAAGGTGCTTCAGATATTTCAGAGCAGGCCAGCTTGCTGGAGGTTAGGCTTCGAAGATAATTAGCTTGCGGTAGCTAGGTTCAATACTGCCAAGTGTTACATATCAAGATAAATATGAGTTCACATGCTGTCTTGAAGTAAATTACTTTGCGCATCGTGCGTAAATTGAACGAATAAATGCGATTAAACTTTTTGACGAATCTGGTAAATATCTAATAATTCCATCAGTCCCCACATCCCGAGATACGACTCTAAATTCTAAGCGGACCAGTAAATCTAGGATCCCACGTAAAAAGGATATTGAAAGACCGATGTAACCATCAGAGCTATTTCTACATATTCTTATAGTCTTGGCCTCACTCAAACAACATAATGGGCGCATTGACTACAGTGTCCCACAAGTCAGTTCCACTATCGTAATCGGGAAACTCGAGCCCATGGCGACCGATGGATATGTCCAGGCGACTGTCCTGCCCTTCCTCTCTATATCCAGACTCTAAAACCTTATAACAAAATAATAAACTACTCCTGGCTGCATCCATGATGCTCTTATCAATAGGCTTTTCCTCTGAAACTGATTTTATATGTGCTAGGGAACAGGAAAACAACACCAAGGGTTCCACAGCTGTGTCACCAGCTCGAAGACAGCTTCGTGCGGTATCAATAGCGCATTGGATAGTTTGGGTCAATTCGCTGCGTGAGAGACTGCTGATAAGTGGAAATGGACTCTCCGTAATGTTGTTGATAACGTCAGCACAGACATGAGCTGTTGCTTCCCACAAGAAGCTGATGATGATGCTGGACCCAGAAATAATGAGTAAAGAAAAGTCATCCTCTGGCATGGCATGGCTATTCTTCTGGCTTGATAACAAATATTTGAGTAGAAAAAGAGACGTCTCGGTTGCGGCTTTATGAGAAAAATAAAACAAGGGATCAAATTTCGCTTTGGAGGCAAAATTTCCATGAAGAGCCAAGAGGCAACGCCGAATAAGACTGCTGTGTAGCTTCTTCTGAAAGTCAGACGGCACTGCGCTACCTGGCGCGGCTCTTGTCGTAAAGAGTTGAAGGTCCTTCTCCTGGGACCGGCAGAGAGCCTCAAGATCAGCACTAAGCTTCAATGCCTCATGATAACTCAGTTCTGGCAGTAAGCTACTCAGAAACTGCGCAATACGCATCCTCAAACGCATTGTTTTCATCAAAAAAATGGACATTGTACTCTCAGTGAAGCCGCTCGTTTCAGTTGCAGGCTCTGAATGACCCTCCTCCCGGAGATCGACATCATTGAAGTTTCCGGGTGGCAGACAGTCAAATGCGTCGTTCGAAATCGACATTGGAATACCCGAATCGAGAGATGATTGCAAACAGTTCTCCAACACGGCCGCCCATAGTCGCCTCCTTCTCTCGGCTTCAAGTTGTGATAGGTGAGGGAAATGAATGCTGGGTTCCTTATGCAGCTGTAGTCTCAGCGCCATTCTCAGCGGAAAGTCCACCGAAATCCAGTCCAGCTGTGAAGTTACCAAATCTGTTTTGCGCGCAGTTATTAACAAACAAGATACCTCCAGCATATCCAGGTCTACTCCTCGTACGTCAAAAGCCCTCATCAGCCATGCCTGAGCGTCGTATGTCCATGTTGAAGCCATAGACCGGAGCTGAGGATCGTACGCGTCGCTGTAGCCAATAAAACAAGTCCCAATGGCCAAAACCAGAATCAGCTTGCGCAAAAACACATCCGACACTCCCCAAGGGTTGATCCAGTAAGACTCATATTCTGCTTTGAACGAAGGAATGTGAAGTATGCGAATCGTAGACTCAAACGTACGGAGATAGTTGTGCATGAGTTTGTCACAAGTGCTGCGTCGGGGCAGTTTGATAGGTCCATCTATCAGTGAAGAAAGTCGTGCTCGCTTGGATGAGCGCATAGATTGGATGCCACGTGCATAGTGGTAGCATTTCTCTAGCATACCCCGGACTTCTGCAAATTCTCCAGTTGAATCAGTCATTTGGCCGTTCATGGAGCTGAATAGTCCCAATCGGTCGAGCTTCAAGACGTTAGCAAACTGGATACTTGGTCTAGAATTGTCAACATACGCCGGCAATCGTATGCTCTTTGAAGTGTTTCGCGCAACCCGTCGCAGACGAATCTGCTGGTGGAGATACTGAAATGAAACGCTGACCATCATCTTGTTGAGCGTCTAAAAAGAGAAGGTCAGGGCTACTGAAGTCGGGGTCACTGTTTGTCAATACGTTTGATGGGTTCTGAGTTCCCACGCTGGATGATGACCGGTGTGTATCGACTTGAATAGCGCTCTTTGGCCTTGATTCGTCGCTGAATCCGGAGCTTGGAGAAGTCCTCTGATCCATAGGCAGACTAACGGATCCTGCCAAGTTGGTACCCTGGAATGAGCTGTGAAGCGATTGTTGAGCGGGCGCCGGAGCGGGCTCTGGAGCAGGGCCGCTTTGGGAGAAGGATGGTGGACGATAATAACATGTCAAAGCAGATTGATAACAGGGGCCACAAGGCTTAGCACGGTCACACTTGACCTTCCGTCGGCGACATTCAACGCAACTAAGCCTGTCAGTTGAGTGAACAGAGTGCGCGTGTGTGTTGAAACATTCTTACGCTACAGCAGGCCTCCGGCGTTTGCGTGGGGGGTTTTCAATGTATGGCAGGTTTACCATATTTTCTGCCGGGCAAATGGCGAACAAACGATTAGAAACTCAATCACCAAGATTGCAGATGAGACAAGAAAGTGTTTTATAGGTACTCAAAGACTTTTCAGTATTGGTTACATAAATATGAACTCCTACTAGGTATGCACGTATGCACGACTTATCTCTTGCTTGTTTACACGTGAAATCTCGACACCCCTGAAAAATGATTTCTAAATAATTGCTCTTGTACTGAAGCGCAAGGATAAATAGTCTACGAAGGATCAATATTTACAAGGGTGCGAATATGGCAAACAAGGACTTAAGTAGGAAGGTCATTTGCATTTAGGCTTAGCGACTCGGCTGACATTTAATGTTTTACATGACTTATTAATATCAACTGGAATTTTATAACAAATAGACACTGAAACTAAAGGATTTCATAAGTATTATAGAAATATGACATTTGAGAAGCTTCATATAAACTTTTGAATTAATAAAAACTTACAAACATGTATTGATCTACTACATATGCCAAGTGTTGCGATTGATTAGTTCAACGGCGAATTGTTTAATAGCCGGCTGTCGCACCTTGTACCTTCTGTTTTTGGATTCGTATTACCATTACGCCAGAGCTCTGGCGTAAGCGTATTAAACCACGAGGTTTCCTTCCTAATAGAATGATGAGTGCAGATCAAGTTTTGCTTATATTAACGGCTTCCTCGGCCAATATACCCGGATGATCTTCTTAGAGCTTGTTCTCTCAGGAGTAGCTTGGCGGGGTCCGCTTTCATCATCAAAGACTACTAAGTATGACAGTTGATTATCGCCAAGATCGCCGACTCTTAGGCCAAGACGACATTATTCCCTTTCGGTATTTAAGCTTACAAACTTTTGCCACGAATACAAGCATCAAACGCATCATAGAAGACTGCCTCGAATTGGGAACTCGTAACGGCCAAGCAAGTGGACCTTCTGGAAGAGTCCTTTTCCCTTCGCCCATGTCATATACGATCTGACCACTGACGGCTGCTGCATAGCCTGCAAATATGCAACACACTGACTCTATCGGGATTATCTTGGCGATTGTTAAGGACGGTTGGGAGCTGGGATTGGACTTTAGCTGTAAATCTGTTTTCTCCGCAAACCACTTGTCTCGGCATAAACCCACCATTCTCCGTATTGCCAATATTCCGCCACGACATGCTACTTTCATGCCATGCGTTTTAACACCGTTGAAATTCCATTTGGCTCGAAATTGAGCCAGCCCTCCACTGAACAGTCAGCACGACGATGGAAGGTGGAAATCGCACGCCCGGATCTTGGACGATACACAATATGTCTCTTTTCTGCCTTTGGTCTTCTAGAAGCCCCTGATCTTGGACAGTGCTTTGCTTTAGCCTCAATTAAATGGGGAAGTGGTGGGTTCATAAGCGGCCATCTAGGCCCAGACCGACTTCTTGCGGAAATTTCGCCGACCATCCATCGTATAACGATCTAGCGGGAATCGAGCCATTTTTAAAGATGACAGGACGGGAGGAGATTATAAAGCCGTGTTAAATATCGTGTTGTACTAGATCCCGCTTAGTCTGCGATTGATTCGTTTTCTAGACAGGGATTGTGGAAAATCGCGAAGCAGTTGGGCGATATTTTCGACTCCTTTTAGGTCGAGCCAAGCATAAAACACTGCTTGCACTGTATGCTCCGAACGACTTAATCCTTTTTAAGACTTATATTTATTTTCTAAAGAATTCCTTTTTCATCAATCTGCCGTGTTGGCTTGGTCAATAAAGCTCGTGCCCCGTGCTCCAAATTTTAGGTAAAACTCGATCCGGGGTAGCGGCATATGAGTCTCGTAGGTGTATTTTTACAAATAACAGAACACAATTGTCAAAGACGTCATAACTCAATGAACCCTTAATAAGGGCTATAGTCTACGTAAGGTTACTGAATCGTATCGCAGTGCTTACGAGCTTTTCTTACGAACTTTTGCAATAGGATCTCAAAGACTCCACCCACAATCGCCCGGCGTAAGACATCTAGCGCTTCTGGGCAGTACAAGTCAGAGCTCTATAACCGCGAGACATAAAAAGCAATCCATGGATATTTGGATTCATTTTCACTAGCTATAGCACCTCCGGAATAATTACGTGTTCTTGCATGTAACCAACACCGATGGATCCATGGTCGAGGGCTACCGAAATATACTGTCTCGTAAACCAATAGGAGATAGGGGATACCTAATAGCTATAGAGCTGTGTTTATGAGTTAGGTTGGCATAAAGCTGTATCTAAACGTTTTCCCTGAGAATCTACCATCGTAGACAGCTAGGAAAGCTTCAAGTCTGCCTTGGTGATATCCGCCGCCTTTTTAGCCACGGCATATACCAAGCTTTGAATGCTGCCCTGGACGTGCAGTAGGAGATTATTGGCGTCGATAACCCTTGGACTCTCCAATCCAGTTCCCTTTGACCGAGATTCCATCTTACCTCGGCATCTTAGAACATGTTCTGATCGGATGTCACTGTGCCCCTGGGATCTCCTTCACTAGCTCTCTGTAGTCCTCCTTGATGAAGTTTTTATGACCCAGTTTAACTCCACCATCCTTAAGCTTCAAAGCAAAAGGATCAGCGTTGACGATCTTTTTCGTATTTCTAAAGCCGCTCGCTAAGACTTCAAGGGCTATGGGGTGTGATTGTCACCTCGGCACCGAAGATTGATGGCGGGATGCTCGGCCACACCCTGGATATTAATGTGGATAGATCCAGGAGAGACGGGATGTTGCAAATTCAGCACAGCTCTCACGTAATTACACGAATCAAGATGCATATATGTGTCAACACGCTTTGAGGTACCTGTAAGTTGCCCTTTTTAAAGGATAGATGACTGTTAGGGTATCATGATTCGAGTTAAGTAGCGTATAACGCAACATTTTCTTCTGATATTTTACGCTTGGAGGCACTTGGACTGAGCTCAGAAGCTTATATTGCCCATCTGTATAATAACTAATCTAAAACGTGATCGGAAACTTATTATACTGGCATGCTCGTATCTTGGCATCCAGAGATGATCCATCCACCCTCCTTCCTGACCAGCGTGAAAATGTTCACGCCCTTGTTGACCGTCTGGCCGTTTATGTCGATCACAAATGGCGTCCACGCAAAGGCAAAGTCTCCACAGATACGAGTCTCGACATCAAACAGGAGTTCGCGAATCTCTGATGGGGACTTGTCAATGATTCCTTTCAGTCTCTCTAGCAGTTCAGCCCATGTCGAAGTGAACAGCATGTTGTCTTTTCTTCTAGAGTTTGTGATACCACTACCCGTCACAAAAACGGACGGTATTTTGTCCCAGTTGCCCTCTGTCATATTATCTAACAAGTAATCGATTGGTTTCATAACCTCGGGGCTGACCGTTTGCAGGACAGGAGATCGCTCCGGGCCCTCAGGAAGCTGGGTATCCGCAACTCCAGAAATCTTCCAACCATCTGCAGTCTTATGCAGCCCAAAGACGTTGATTCCACGAGTGATCTCTTTGTTGTCGAAGGATATTTGATAGCCGGCCCAGACAGCCGCGAGATCCTCGTGAATCCAGACCTCTGGACCTGGTTCCGCAAGTCGTTCTTCAAATTTATTCGAAAGGTCGCCAAAGGTTTTGGTCACTTTCTCTTCAATTCTAGGAACAAGATCTCTGAAGCGACCGACCCAAAATTCGTCTGGGTGAGATAGAACGCACCACCCGTCTGGCAAAACATGTTCAAGAGCTTCACTGAAGGGAGGTTGCCTCAATGAGATTGAGTTTAAGAACTTCTGCACTGTGGCCAGTACTGCTTCCTTTTCGTCGGCCATCTCGTGAGTGGCGTTACAGGCTTGATAGATGAGCTCCTAGTCGATTCAAAAGAAAAGCCAGAGACAACGTCTTGGATTCAAACAAATGTCAGTCCAAATTTTAATCGTGCAGGATATACGGAGTAGAGAGCGAAGCAATGAACGTAAGCAAGATTAAACCCGCATCATCCGACTATGTCACCAGGTGACTTTAGCGCAGTGACAACGCGGCTATAGCCTCCCATAGATACCACACGGAATCCTAGAAACAATGTATGGGTATAAATCTACAGGGGCATCCGAATTCTATGACCATAGTACGGAGTCCAAGCTGCAGTGATATTATAGCGTCCAGCCTATTAGCAACACCACTAGAGCATACCGCACACAAAGACATCGCAACTTGAGCCCGTGAACTTTGCATATCCCTTTCATGTCCTCGTACCGACAGTGGGGTGTAATGCCTAGGGCTTATTGCGCTAGTAACCGCTCAAATCCTCAACCCACTCTTCACTCCACTGACTTACTGGAACCAAATCACTAGATTGTTGATCCGTCGTAAGCAGACAGGTTGTCAGCAAGCACAAGATATGCCGCATAGACATGACATGTATCAACATGCACCTCGAGAGTCTAAGCTGTGTTAGTTATGGCTAGAAGGAGTTTTGGCGAATTCTGATTCAGGTATCCGGTCAAGTGCCGAGCCATACGTTAGTTGGACATGATTTACATAATTGTATATACTTGCTGCGCTAAACCAAATGGCCTGTGGAACAAACGTCTTTGCTTAAGCAAGAGCAATAGACAGAAGCCCATCTACCTGCTTCTTGCGCCCTGGAGAGCAACTCTCTATGACTAGATATTGCTTCTTGAAACCAGCATATTAACTGCACAGGAATCCGTAGCCCAATACCCCAATTCTACGCTTCAATTTTAGAGTGACGAACATTCCCAACCCAAGACGCTTTCATACTTCTATCGACTCACGAGGTCCTACCACAACTCTGTGTACTATTGTCAACTCCCCATACAGTAATACCCATGTACATTAGTTCAATCTGGGAACAGAATTTACTTCTCAAGATTATCCCACATATTAACATAGGTACCGTATCACTAAAAACTGGTTCGAAGACCATCCGGCCCGCTCTTATCGCCAGCATCTAAAAACCCAGCAAAACGTCCAGCAGGATCATATTTCTTTCGCAGAGCCATGACCTTTTCACCCTTTCCTTCGCTCCAATGCTTCGTCTCGCGCCTCTGGAAGTCAAAATCTGATACCAAGGAACCAACACTGTGCGGCTTGAAGCTATTGATGGTTTTGTCTACCCACTGAATGTGCGCTTCATCGTCTTCAGCATTCGGCCAACCGCAGTAAAGAGAGACGTAGTGTTTAGTCTGCAGAGAGAAGGCAGGGTCACCTTTAACTGGTCGCTGCGAACTCGTGATGGGCTGGTAGAGTATTGTGGTTGTTTTCCCTGGAATAGTGCGTCCTGGCTCAGCGAGCAATGCGCCCACGTCGGCATCGTTCGAGAGCCAAACAGAGTCTACACAGTACCTGTAATTATCAGGGAGCGTGCTAGTTTGGAAAGCATATTCCGCCTTGAAAGTGGTCGGGACGGCAATCCCCTCAGTCAGAGCTCCGGCGGGCTGGTCAGCCTTTAGCGACTGCAAAGCCTGCTTGGCCTCCTCAACACTTCCCTTGAGACTGATGAAAAGTGCAGCTATGACCGGTGCCGGGCTCTCAGGAGGGTAGAGGACAAAGCTCGCGAGCTCAGTATCAGTGTCAAACTCGTCGCAGACCTTGAGCAATAGTCAGAGAGTAGCAGCTTTAGTACCAATGATATTCATTTGAGAATTGACGCTTACCTTTGTAACCCAGTTCATAACGGTCGGTATCTCGGTGACAGGCCATGCAAGCAGAGTGCGATATACGGCGGTAAACGGTCTAGTTTGTAAAGAAAAGCTCGTGATGATGCCCGGAAATCCTGTCAACAAAGCTTAGCAACAAATAACAGATGGTGAGGTGATATGGATACCTGGACCACCGCCGCGTGCAAGCCAGAAGAGTTCTTCGTTTTCGACAGCGCTACAGTGAATTTCATTGCCATCTTCTGTCACGACATCAATCGCCACCATCTGTTCGATGCTATGTCCCCAATTCTAGCTGCAGATGAGATAGGGAGGTCGTAATGGGCGCTTCGGGTATCTATTAGATCCCTTACCTTTGCATTCCACCCTTGGCCGCCCTATCATCGCCATGTTAGCTCTGCCAGCGTCATACTTTATATCGATCATGCGCATGAATTGCTTACTCCTAGCAGAAACCCTCCCATGGCTACATCTCCACAATGTCCAGTGGAGAAGAATCGGCCTCGAGCATTAAGAAATTCCATCAACTCCGCGCTCGTCGTGCTCGGTGAGCATGATACAATCTTGCTCTTCTCGTCATATTCGATGAAGCTGAAGTCACCTAGATCAACAAGGATAGCATCGTCGCGCACGCTCCACACTGCCCAGCTGTGACCGCCGCTGCGGACAGACACTCTACATTTTTCCTGATTTGCGAGCTGAACTGCAGCCTTGACGTGCTCAACACTTGAGGCATTGACAACCGCACGAGGAATTCGGGAACTCTCTCGCCGATGGTTGAATACTCGACGCCAGACAGCGTCGTTAAAAGTCTTTGGTTCAGTTGTTTCCCTGCGTAAGATGGGAAGTGGAGAAGTCGCCATGGCGTGTAAAAGAGCTATCTAGCCCTGAGTTCAAGTTGGTCTTTTTTCGCGTATATATTTGGTCCCTTTTGGGAGATAAAGGGCTAGATATGCATGGAATTAGACTTGATCTTATATTGTCTGGACAGCGACGTCATGCTGATGTTGGCAGAACTTAGCAATACCTTCAATGTGCCTAGCTAAACGTACGCCAACGTTTAATGTGAGAGGGAAAGTTTACTGGTGTCGGACGTGCGGGCCTAAGCATCAAAATCTTTGGCTGAGTGATTATAGTCTATAATTACAGTCCAGTGAGGGATCGCACACAAACTGACTGGCGTTTTTAGCTTATGAGTGCCAAGTCCAGATGCTTTGGTTGGTCTCTAAAAGTAGAATTGATGGGTGCTGAACTGACGTGGTATTATGATTGCTCAGCAGCTTCTACTTCCACCATGTCTCGAAGGATGTCATGCAATCCACTTCGAATGTTGGATCAATGCTACACTGCTGCATGTTCAGAAGGAGCAGGCAGCCACTCTCAAGGTGACTCAAGTGGAGGCTACCCCAGAATCTGCATGGAATGCCCAACCACTAATAAGGCTCTCAGGGCATGAAACTTTCCGTTTTTGGCTCACAGGCTCCGGGCGGAGACAACTAGCCGGCGCATTAAGTATCAAGATGCCCTGGTGTTGGATCCTCACAAGAAGGTAGAGCGTCAGTCCAAGATGCCCTGTTCAAAGACGGTATATATCATATTTGTAGCCCGTTTTCTTACATTACAGTCGTTTGACAATTCCGGAGCTCTGGAATCCGCCAAGCGTCAATATGCAAACACGGAGCTAGTTTTACCTGGTTGCATTGTGATTAGGTTTGTAACTAGCAGCGAAGCTACCTCTGCACACCTAAAATGCCTGCTTAGGCGGACAAAGTTGAGTACGAGTAGTCTCTTTCTTAAGACAACAACGACAGACGGACCATCAAAATGAGAAGCTTGAGACTAAGATCACAGCAACGTGTAAGACCAAAAATAGTATTTTGCAGATCGGTCATTGCGAGTAGGTAAGGTGATGATAGAATCAGATTTGCTTATTTCTTTTCAGAGCCTTGTGTTTATTAGAACTATTTTTTATTCCAGATGCAACTACGTAAACTACTCAATTTTCTTTGTGCCAGTGTTACTATACAGATAAGTACCCAGTAGTAACCGGAGATGCCCACCTCAGGTCATACCGCAGAGCTTCATTCTCCAAACCGGATTTAATGGCACAGCGCCAAGCTTTAATACCGTATCAATGACAATCATCAGTGTACGGGTAGTGAAACTTAGTCCCTCTAATGTAACATTCAGCGAGAAGGATCAAGTCCCCGCAATGCCACCAGGAATAAAGAAAAGGAGCGCTCCTAGCATCGGGGTTTATGGACTTAAGTGAGTTAAGGCTTAATCTGCAGGAATACTGCATTCAACTCCATGATGTACATTTCTTATTTAGACGAGTTTCATCCACACCTCTACATCTGTCATATTTTTTCCCTTACATATTTCACCAGCACAGTTCAACTCGTCTTTTGAGCCGAAAACTATCTCCAGTAACAACCAAAACGTCCACTCATCCAACTTCCACCATGACCACAGAACACGATGCCGCTATTCTCCCTCAGCCGGGTGGTCCCTTGTCTGTGGGCAAGCGTCGCACGCCTGAGCCAGGACTAAATGATGTGCTTATTGAAGTCAAGGCCGTCGCCTTGAACCCCTGCGATTATTACCAACGAGACCATGGCATGCCTCCAGTTCCGATCTATCCTGCCGTCCTCGGATCCGATATAGCTGGTGTTGTCGTCAAGCTGGGCTCAAATGTCACTACGGTCCCTGGACCCGGAAGCCGAGTCCTTGCGTTTGCCTCGTCTTTTTATCAGAACGGCTCCCCCGACCACGGAGCTTTCCAGAAGTTCACTTTGGCACAATCTGAATTGGTCACCCCCCTTCCAGACGATCTCTCATTTGAGGAAGGCGCCGTCTTCCCCATGGGCGTTTTGACTGCCTTGACGGCCTGGACCTCGATTGGCATTCCGCTCGACACCAGATACACACCTGCAGACAAACAAGCTGTCCTGATCTGGGGTGCATCCAGCAGTGTCGGTACGTTTGCCGTCCAATCAGCCAAGGCCCTCGGCTTTACCGTCTACGCCACGGCAAGTCCCAGCCACCACGATCTTGTCAAGAAGCTCGGGGCGCATGCGGTCTTTGACTACAAGGCCAGTGATGTCGTCTCTCGAATCATCGACACCGTAAAGAAGGATGGGGTACACCTACACACGGCTCATTGCGTAGTGGTTGGAGCTCTGCAGCCCACATTGGACATCCTCAAAGAGACCAAAGGCGATGCCCCTGCCAAGGTAGCACATTCGCCCGTTCTCCCCGAAGGTCACCCGACCCTTGACAACACGCAGATCACTTTCAACTTTCCATCCATGGACGAGGTTATAAGGAGCAAGCACTTCTATGAGGTGTTCCATGGGTGGCTGAACTCTGGTCTCAAATCTGGAGAAATTGTCCCCAGCCCCAATATCCAGATTGAGGGTGGTGGTCTGGGCGGAGTGCATGCAGCACTGGACAAACTCAAGCGTGGAGTCAGTGGCACAAAGATTGTCGTACCAATCTAGTAGGACGTTTCTTGCCAATGTCTTTGTTCGGGATCGATTATCTTATGGATGCGAAATGTCATGCCACTAGATGAGCTCCGTCTGTCATTAGTCTTGGATAGTCAGCTAGAACAAGATAGAGTCAATAAGATGAGACTTCAACAACAGCAACGATATATCTCATTCCAGGATGTTTACGTCGTCAAGTCATCGAGCTCAACCACTTAAATGTTTTGACATCTCTTCCCATTACGGGTTATGTAGGTTACTGTGATGGACCTGGATGGCCGTCATTGGCGCCTTACCTTGCAATAGCTCATATTAACGAGCCCATTGGAAGACCAGGCAAGTTCATATCATAATCCGTAAAGCCGATGAAACATTATTTGCCGTCTAATGCTCCAGAGCTCAAATATTCGAGCAATTCGATTCGCTCATCAACTGGGAGAATGATCTCGCTGTATAAGACTAAACCAGTTTAGGAAAGTTTAGCGCACCTCCGCCAGAACAGGATCGCATACCGAATTAGGAAAGTGAAGCATCTTCGGCTTCTTCTGGTCAGTCTAATTGTATGGAACGGTAGGCATCACTGGGTATATAAACACTTGCGATATACTCAATCGAAACAGATGGCTCTACAACTTTTGTTCATCAAGAAGCTGTCTCACAGAAGACACCATGCTTGTCTATTTGCTCTCAGTAGCTGTGCTGCTGCTCATTCTCGAACCTCTATTTACGTATTATTGGGACTCTAAAAAGCTTCGCCGTTTCCCCAATGCTAGTTTCTTATCTGGAATATCCGATGTGGGCTACATCCTTCAGAGATACCGTGGGTTTCGCTCAAAGGAGATTCACGAAAGTCACCTGCAACATCTAGTTGTCCGTGTTGGCCCCAATTCTCTTTCATTCTCCACGCCTGATGCCATCAGAGCTATTTACGGACACAGCACCCCATGTCTCAAAGGAGGCACCTATGTAACAGCAGCTGGTACACATCCAAGCCTGCTCGACGTCGTGGATAAGCAAGAACATGCTCGTAAGCGCAGGATCTTATCGCATGCCTTTGCTACCCGGAATCTTGAACAGTGGGAGTTCAAAGTCACAGACAAAGTTCAGAAGCTTGTCGCACAGTTTGATCTCCTGTGCCATGACAAACAAGAAGCGATTGTTGACTTTCGAATGTGGAGCAATCTCTTCACGATTGAGGCTATTGCGGACATTGCACTCAGCCATCATCTTGGTTGTCTTACTCAAGGGAGCGACCTTGTCACAATAACCACTAAAGATGGTGAGAAAGCGGTGAATTATATCGACTGCCTTCACTCCGGAAGACGGGCAACCTCAATGTTGATCTGGTCAACGAAATGGTTTTCGTCTTTACGATTCGTCTCAAAAAGGCTTCCAGGTTTCTTCCAGACCCAGTGGCACAAAGGCCAAGGCTTTGATGAGATGGTACGGTATCTCGTTCAACAGCGTCTTCGACGACACGAAAACGGAGAGCAATTGGAAGATTTTGTGGGATGTCTCTTTCAAGATAAGCATGGAGACGCTCGAAACCTGGAGATTGCCGAGATTGAAGCCGAGGTGGCGACATTGTGTAAGTCATATCCTAATGATGGTATTGGAAATTCTTCTGTTTCGCTAATTCATTACTAGTGGATGCAGGATCCGATACAACTGCGATTTCTCTAACTCACGCTATGTATTTCTTAATGAAGACTCCAGCAGCATTGTCTCGACTACGCGACGAATTGCGGGTTGCATTGGATGGTAGCCAAGAAATCGCCAAATATGCTACCGTGAAGAATCTACCGTATTTATATGCTTGCATCAATGAGTCGCTGAGGCTGTTGCCGCCAGTTGCGTTCGGCTTGAACCGCATGACGCCGCCTGAAGGGCTCATGATTGACGGCACCTGGATCCCCGGAAACACTCTTGTGGGCGTCCCAGCATACACGGCGATAGAAGTCCTCTATTCTCGAACAGCGAGCAATATCAGCCGGAAAGATGGTTGGAAGATGGCATCAAGGAGACACAGGGGACATTTATCCCTTTTAGTACGGGGGCCAGAGGTTGTATCGGCCGAAACATTAGCTACATTGAGCAAACGGTGCTTTTGGCGACTCTTGTTCAGCGCTATGATCTCAGTCTGGTGGATCCTGAGGGGAATTTGGATCACGAGGAAGCATTCAATCTTTGGCCTGGGCCACTGCCATTGAAGATCAGACGTAGAGAGAATTGTTGAAGATGCCTTAGTGCCACAAAAACTAGTTCAATACACATTTCGAATATGATGGCCAGTAAAATAATTGTAACTATACATTATGCGATATCTGTGATTCAAGCTCCCTCTGTAACTCCATGACACGAGTTCGAGTGTGGAATCCTAATTCTTTCTCAATCTTGTCCAGAAGTGCCCAGATCTTTACCTTCAAAGATAATGATGGAGCATATTTCGCAGCTTTTTCATCGGTTAGCCATACTCTTTCGTTCGCCAGGAATTTTTGCTTACCATAGTACAGCGGGTTGACTGCAACGACTAATACGCCATCTCGCACACCTGGCGAGAAGCAGATTGACGCAATGCCCCGAGAGTGGTGATGCAACTGCTCTATACAACTTTCGTGCTCATGTCGGTCTTCCAATAAATTTGGATCTTGAGGTTGGATAGACTCTTCCAGTAGCAAAATCTGTGCCATGTGAAAATAAAGCAAGCCCGCCGCTTCAAAAGCCAATGTCAGCAGGGAGAATGCGATCTCAAAAAGGTTGAAGCTAACCTGCAGACTGAACGCAAAACCACAGTTGGGAAAGGCCATCTTCAGATACTTCGCCAGATGATAGCCCGCGTGATGTTGATGGAAGGCCGTCCCACCACTTGTCTATCTCTGTGCCGATTTCTCGAAGATTCTCGTGACAAGCCTTTGGAATTGTGCTGTCGGGCGGCGCAAAACGCAGCTCAATGACTTTTGCAAGTAACCAAAGGATCTGATTACCAATAGCGTCTTCTTCCAAATTGCTCCCAGTCATGGCATCTGGCCATTCGCTAGCTGCAACCAGTGTAGGGCAATAGTTGATGAGAGCCATTGCAACGTCATGTCGTGCATAGATCCAGAAACTCGCTTTGTCAAGATCCGTAGTGATGGAAGACAAGTGAGACCGAAGAAGAGAACTTACGCCCTCAAGATGCTTTCTGTAGTCTGGGCCTGGGATCGCCAGCAGCTCATAGCTGCAGAGAAGAATGGTTGCGACAAAAACCTCATCATACCTTGCATCAAGCTGGTTCAAGTCATGAATGAGTAATCTCAAACTCTGTCCATAAAAGCGGCCGGCTACCGGCTCCCAGACGGAGTGCTCTGCAACCAGACTCATCTGTTTCGCAGACAAGGCACAGATGGAATACATGAGAAGCGCAGACGAAGCCGCACGCCTAGTGACTTGCCGCCGATAGTTGGACGAGTGATCAAGGACATCCATCCAAGCACCAATACCAGATTGGTATTTGAGGACGAGATCCATGACCTCGTCTGTCATAATCGGTAGTTGTGGTTCGATTGACGGTAGAGCTGCCTCTGGATCTGGCAATTGTGCATATTGTATTTGGCGAAATACATCATACGTAGACTCTGGGGTTGAAGGCAAAATGGGCAATGGTGTGCCTGAATCATTGCTTTGGCGCTGTCTCGTGCCTCTTGGTCTTGTTGACCGTCTATCGTGGACAATGAATTCAGGAGGATTGCATTCTAAGTTTCTGCTGCGACAACGGCCACACACTGGCTTGGACTCGTCACACTTGACGCGGCGATTGCGGCAATTGGTACTAATTTGTGAGTCTATATGTTCATCTGCTATGGATGAGAGCTTACCATCCTGAGTGCAAGTTAGTCAGGTTACTGTGTAATACAGCACAAGTCGATACGCACCTATTCTGCGCCGTTTGGGGGCCATGAGTTCAGCAATGCTTCAGCGTTGTTAACGACGTTACAACGAAACGTTCATTTTTCGGCCAATAGATTCATTCACTCAAGTACAGATTCTGATCAAAGTGGATGGAGATGAAAATTGACAGTTTCTATCCAGACCTTGTTCTATGCTGACAAGTTTGATCCGGGGAATGCGGGGATGATGGTAGGATCTCCTCACTGCAGATTGAAGGCCTAGGCTTAGGTTGGTCTCTCGACGGTGCTCTAGAGTCACCATGTCTGGGGTAGTGTCTAAACGCCACATTGCGGAGGATATATGAGCCGTGGGCAGTTCATTTCATAGGACGGAAGAGTCCATTCGCTGAGACGATGCTAACCAAGGCGGTTATAACAATATAGACTTTCGTGAATCGGGGTATTTCTATTGCAATAGTTGCTTGCTAAACGACAGACTAATGTGTGCGCTTAACATGCCGCTTCGGGTTTCTGACTGAATGAATGGCCGCTAAACTTCCCACATCCAGCCTAGCTGGCTGTTCAACTATCACTAAAGTCACTATTGGCCCAGTATAGATGCAGAGCTGCATGCTACTAGGTGAGATGCGAACACTTACATATGTAATAGACTTTGAAGCCGTTTCCATTATGACCTGCTAATCACAAATTTCTGATGTATATGAGGTTTAATGGATAATTACAGTCATTATAATACGGTTAATGCGCCTGATAGAATACAGTGATGCAGAATGCTAGTGAATCACAAGTAAAGATAGCGGCCGTAATCAAAATGACAAACTCGCTATGTACAAAATTCGACAATGTCTCTGAACGTCTCTTCCTCCATCTCCATCCAAGGGAAATGACCGCATTCTTCATATATAACCAGCTTTGATCCCGGCATTCCTTTGTGAGTTGCTTCTCCTTGTGTTGGCGTGCACACCGGATCCGCTTGGCAAAAGATCATTAGCGTTTTTGCTGTGACCTTGCCAAGTTCTGGTTCTTGATAATGGACATTTCGATCTGACCCATGTAGCAACTGATAATTCCACAAAGAAACCGATTGAATATTGCTCAACTCTGTGGATCGAGTAGAAGCATCAGGGTCATAGAAATACACAGGAAGAAAAGATCGAATGACTTGGGCGAATCCCTCGTCGGAAAGATCCTCCCATGAAGCAGTCCAGGCCTTGAGTGCAGCGTGCATTTTTGGGTTCTTGGACTTTTCAACGATTGCCTCCTTCATCGATTTGCCATCATTGAATCCTTCCAGAGTGTGATTCAAGAGAATTAGACGGTCCACCTTTTCAGGATACCTAATGGCATACCACAGGGCAATTGTACCACCTCCCGAGTGCCCTAACAAGTGCGGAATCTTTTCGAGGCCCAGCTCCTGGCGGAGGTATTCTATGTCATCTGCGAGATGCCAACATGACATTTCAGATGGATCTGGGCGGGTGGATTTTCCATTTGCCCTGAATTCGAGGTAGATGAGGGTAAAAGTCTGCTCGAGTGGTGTGAGAGTCTCTTGAAGATATTTTGAAGAAAGCCCCCAGGCAGGCGGCGAAATAATCATGAGAGGCCCATCGCCGCGCTTGAAATACTGCAGCGTAGAGCCTGCTGTGGTTTTGAACACTACATCTGCCATGATTGACAAAGGGGATTGGTGAGCTTTTGGTAAATTGGAGGGTATATGTGTCCCTGGCTAAAATATGTAAGAATCTTTGTCGCTGTCGCCTATGCAAGATGATTGCAATTCCTCACAGTTGGTCTGCAGCCGCGATAAATACCAAAGTCGACTCTGTTTCTAGAGGTTAATGCGATCCATGTCCGTCGCGAGACCGAGTGCGTTGCTGCCTGCGACCCAATCTCAACACTTTCATTGGTGGGAGGATCTCTCTCGAGTTGGCTCAACACTTTACACTTGATCCAGTTGTTATGTTCCTGTATAGGAATCCCAACATAGCCCAGCCAACATGGGTTGTTCAAAGGATCTTGTTGAGAGCGACAATGCTACTGTACTAAGCAGCTTCACTGCAACTACGCAATTATTACAAAGCCCAAATGTTGGGTCGGGGATCGGCCCCGCCATCGGAGCGAAGGCCGACTCGATTCCATACAACCTCTTTGCTTCGGCATTTGGACGGACTCCTTGAACTGCGAATTGCATAGACTAAATATGAAGCGCACCATACAGTCAAGAATCGAGAATCAAGAATCGAAAATCAGGGCAATTTCAGATAAAATCCGGATAATTGATTGTACACTCCTCATAAAGTCTTCATTATCATTACTCAGTTATCTAGCGTATCAAGTTCGCACAAGGAGAATGTCCTTCAGGCATAAGCTGCCTCGCTATTAGAAGTAAAAGGCAACAAGCATAACCACAGCAACTGCCTTGATGCTTGTCATTGCGCCCGAAAACAGTCCAGGCGCCGCGTTCCCAGGAATGGTTGGGATTGAGTTCGTTGGCAGGCCTGCTGAGGCAGTGGTGCTGGATTCAGAGCCTCCAGGCGAACCTCCAGAGCCGGGTGCAGAAGTCTCCTGAGAGCCTGGTGTAGAAGTCCCTTGAGAGCCAGGGGAGCCAGGAGAGGCGGGAGAGGTTTCGGAGAGGGGGACGGTGTTGCCGTTGACAACGATTGAAGATCCCGAGGTGGGCAGTGACAGGGTGTTGCCGCCGACAGTAATTGCAGGTCCTCCGGGGCTCAAGGTTGTAGAGCCAAAGACGATTTGAGACTGAGAGTTCTCGGTAAAGGGAGGAATCTCGCTTGAAGCTGGAGGCGTGCTTCCAGGGCCTTCAGTGGTAGTAGTACCGCCGGCGTTGTTGTTGTCGTTGTTTCCGCCAGGAGGAGAGCCATTGCTTCCTCCGTTACCGCCATTGTTGCCTCCATTACCTCCGCTGCCTCCTCCGTTGCCCCCATTGTTACCTCCGCTGCCTCCTCCGTTAGAGCCTCCGTTGCCTCCGCTACCGCCTCCATTGTTACCACCACCGTTGCCGCCTCCGTTGCTTCCACCGCCATTACCGCCTCCGTTACCACCGCCGTTGTTACCACCTCCATTGCCACCGTTGTTTCCACCGCCGTTACCGCCTCCGTTGTTTCCGCCTCCGTTGCCGCCACCCGGAGTACCAGAGGGGCTGGAAGGGCTTGAAGGCGTGACACTGTTACCGCCACCATTGCCCGCTCCATTCGAGGAGCTCGCGGGAGGGGGATTGTTGCCACCTACAGGCGAGCTTGATGAAGGAGGAGGGCTGCTGACACCTCCGCCAGGCTGGGATGAGCTCGAAGCCGGGGGAGGAGGTGGTGGAGGTGGAGGCGGAGGCGGTGCGCTGGTAGATGTAGGGCCTGAGGGAGGAGGGTTGCCAGCATCAGATGTGGAAGGCGGCGGCGGAGGAGGAGGAGGACTTGAAGAAGTCGTCTTCGGGGGAGGCGGCGGTGGTGTTGAGCTTGGCCCAGCAGCGCTGGTGCTACGAGAGCTGGGGGGCGTGGTCGTAGGGGGGGGAGGTGGCGGAGTAGTTGTAGGGACCAAGGCCGTAACAGAGCTGAGAGCCGAGGGAGGGTCGTAGAATCCTTGGAAGGCATCGGATATGCAAGACTTCCAGGCCGGATCCAAGCTTCGGATTTGATCGGGAATCACAATGGTGGGGTGGCAAGGATCAGCTATAAGTAAAGGCAAAGTCAGAAATGTTCTTCGATAGTACGTGCAGAGTGGAAATCATCAAACGTACGAGAACTATTGATGGCATTGGAGGGATTGCCGGGGATGTAGGTGTAGCCGGCAATGGTGGAGCAGTTCCTCTTCAGATCATCCGTGTTAAGTGCAGCAGACCCAACAGGAGAATAAAAGGATGGGGTGCTCAAGCTATTCAACGTGGTGCCGCCGGTGATGGTTCCAACAGTAACGGGGGTTCCAGTCACAAGAGAAAAGACCATGGTAGACAGTTCGCCGGGGGCAAATCCAACGGTCGTGTTGAACCGGGGTTCTCCAACAGTGCCGCAGTAGTCATAGGCGGACAAGGCTGAGAATCCGATGTAGACGGAGGGGGACTCGCTGTGATGGTGTCAGAAACGCTCAACACATGAAGATAAATGGCAGATACTTACAAGACAATGCCAGCAGACGTGAATGAGGTAGCCAGGGGCGTCGTGCCAGTAGCTAAATCATGTTAGTTCTTGGTCAATGCTTTCAAATGGGCAACATACGATCAGCCCAGTAGAATACCTCTACCGTAGAGGCAGCAAGCGTGCAGCTGTAACACTGGAAGACTATTAGCATCACTCATACCGGTGCTCGACAAGTAGACATACACATGGCGGCTCTGCGGATCCGTACCACACGTTGCTCTGAGGCAGAATGAAGTTTTCGGTGACTGTGGCCGTCTCAACGGTGTTTACGACAGTTGTCACGACTTCTGTGGTGGTGCCAGTCACTTCTGTGAAGGTAGTGACGCCAGTTCCGATGGTCCTCGTGAGAGTGCGCGTCGGAGGGTTGGTTGTGGACAACCAGTTGTTTACCGAGATCAGACATTGGCACTGCAATGCTGGATCTGTCGAGAGGCCTTCATACTCCTGGAGAACAATGGCAGGAAAACTGCTGATGGTGCCGCAGGTGACATCCGCAGGCTGAGTTGGAGTACTCGGCCCTCCGGTGGCTGTCGGGGGGTCTGTAATTGTGTTTGTGCCATTGGACACAGCAACTGTAGGACAGGAATAGAAATAAGCATCAATCCATCCAAATGATGAGCACGTCAGGAGTGTCATGACTTACATGGTGACGCCCGCACTGCGCCGCCCAAGGCGAGCAGAGCAAGAGCTCCTGTTAATCCAGCCATTATTCGACCCGTAACACAAGCAAGTTGAGCTCAGCGTGAGGATAACGAGAAGGAAAAGTTTTGTCCGACGGCATGTGCGTGCCTGGGGATATAAGCGGGCTCGCTCTACACCACTAGCTACATCACATAACCCGCAAGGCTCGCATCAACGGTAGCCCAACCACGATCATCACGTCGCTTGCCTCAACCCCTGGAAGCGCGGCAGTCAACCGAGTACGGCCTTCGTGTGAAGGGTACCTGAAAATAGTCTGCTGTCATGCTGTTGCCTCCGGCTTAGAAAGCGCGTAAGGCGTCTAGCCAAGACGCCCATCTGTGGCTGCTAATACTAATCACAGTTTTCCTTGGTTACAACAATAGTCTGGAGGAGCTTCGGAGCTCTGAATGGGCCCCCAACTGACAAAAACATACAAGACTTGCTCAGAAGTGGTGCCAGCCTCCCCAAGTGCTTACGGTCTAGCACAGCTCCACGCTATAAAGCCAAGGGTTGAACCCAATCATGGGGCGAGCAGCAAGCCACAATGATCAGCCCTACAACGTTGTCAGTTCTTTGAAGGGCATCGCGTAACTGACAAGACAAGTCAGACGCAGTTGGCTAGGACGGCGTTGTTGCTAAAGAGAGACAAGTTTGACAAACGCTACCGCTGCTTGTGGGCATAATTTACTCCAGTTAGAGGGATGATCCCAATATACCCTGGCCTCACCTTGGTGGGCCACACGCCGTCGCGAGCTATTCGTCTGGCGAGCGGAATCTTGCCCCATTGAAGCTATTCACAAATGATAAGAAAACTTGGATACGACAGACACAGCCAGACAAGCAACGCCACACCGTCGGGTACGGGCCGTTTGCTTGACTGCCGTCAGCACTTGTGCCTCACAAAGGTGGCGAGTTGTGTGTGCTCTGCAACGTTGGCGACGTGTTAGCCACAGCTGCTGCGGCTGAGCGTGGGATGAGAGATAGCAATCCGGTTAAAAACAGCTCCGTCGGGATAGATTCGTAATTCAAGGGCTTTCCGGCTCATTGGGACGCCAAGGGCCGTTATTCCCTGGTGTTCTTGGTGGGTCGCCATGCAACGCTCGACAAAAAGCCGGATCAACTAGGAATAGCTCAATATTGGACAACAACAAGACCATCATGGGTGAGCAATGGTTCATTCGACAGCTAGCCGAGGTGCATTGCATAACACATGATGTGGATTCATATTGTTCCTAAAATCTGACCCGTCGGTGTCGGTGGGCTCGTCAAGGCGAATCTCTGAGCGCGCGGGTTGTAGGTGAAGGCGAACCCCATGCCTGTTGATTCTTTTCTTCCGCGAGATTCGCAAATGACGGCCTTCTTTTCACCTGCAGAATTGTATCGTGTCAACTCGTACCAGGCTGGGACCGCGTCTAAGGGGGGGATCTCATTAACCGGCCCTTCGTATACTACTAGTAACTGCAACCACCATTGCTCCACTTGCGGTGCAGGATTCTCCAGAGGGCGAGTACCATTAGGATGTGGCAGATTTGAAGCATTCACACATCTCCGGAAGATGCCTGCGCGGCTGCAGCATTTGCTGCTCTGGGCGCTGTTGATGCCAAACGCTCTCGCCTCAGCTTTGGATCTTGGGCTGATACGGCGAGCCGACGACCCCATTCCATCCCCCGTGTCCGTATCGCCGAGTCAATTCTTGTGAGTCCCTCTTGCGCTGTCGACAGCTTCAAACGACTCACGTGTTTTAGCGAGGGCGTAGATGGTCCATGGTCAACGTTTGAGTTGCGTGTAGGAACTCCAGCTCAAAATATTCGCATATTGCCCGGCACTTCGTCAACCCAGACACTTGTGGTGCTGCCAGAGGGATGCCAGATTATCAATGTGACCGATTGCGCAAACAGCAGAGGCGACTTGTTTAACACGACTGCTTCCAAAACCTGGAAAGAAATTGGTCTATTTAGTCTAGGGTTTGAGAATGCTCTTGGCTTTACTGACAATGGCGAGTTCGGGCACGATAGCGGTATGACACTTCATGCTCATTGTGTGTTGCCATACTAAATTATTCACAGTTGGACTTGGATATCTCGGCAGCGGTGGCCCGGTTGTCAACAACTCGGTCATTGCGGGTGTCGCCGGCACAGAGTTTTATCTAGGAGTGCTTGCGCTGAATCCGCGCCCTACTAACTTTACGGACCAGAATGATCCGCAGCAGAGCTTTCTCCAGCTCCTCAAGAATCAGTCCTCCATCCCATCTTTGTCGTACAGCTACAACGTCGGAGCTCCATACCGACTCAACAAGGCTCTAGGCAGCTTAATCTTGGGCGGCTACGACACGTCTGCGTATCAAGATACTAATTCTTCGTATGACTTTTTCAGCGACCAGTCGCGTGATCTGACGATTGGCGTTCAGTCCATCTCTACAAATGCCAGCGCAGATAATACGGTACTTCAGTCTGAACAGATTTCCATGTTTATCGACTCATCCGTTGCCGAAATCTACCTTCCGGTGGACGCCTGCCACGCTTTTGAAAAGGCTTTTGGCCTGAAATACAACTCTACGCTTGAAATGTACCTGGTGAGCGATTCGCTACACAGCAAACTTCTCGCCGAGAACCCTTCAGTCACATTTACGATAACAACTGCGATTACCGGCGGCTCAACCTTTAACATTACTTTTCCCTACGCCAGCTTCGACCTACAGGCTAAACCTCCACTGGTCAAGACGGCATCTCGATACTTTCCTCTAAAGCAGGCAGCCAACGACACCCAGTATGTCTTGGGGCGCACGTTTCTGCAAGAGGCGTACCTGATTGTGGATTATGAACGAGGCAACTTTTCACTTCACCCTCGAGTGTGGAATGCAAGTGCTGAGTCGAATATCGTAACTATATTGCCTCCCGGAGTCAAAGAGAGCAAGCCCAATACTGAGAGCAGCCACAATCTCAGCGGCGGTGCCATTGCGGGCATTGTCATTGGTGTGTGTATCGTCATTGCAGCTGTTGCTCTTGCCATCCTACGATATATGGTGGTTTCTCGTCGGAAGAAGGCAAAGCCGGAGGAGTCTACGGAGATGGATGCCCTAGCCAGGACAGTGCCAGAAACTACTTCAACCGTCTCACCTGAGCCGCCCAAGTCTGCCACTTTGAGCCCTGGAACCTTACGAGAGCTAGAAGGCGACGATTCGACGAAACCAACGCCGGAGATTGAAGGCAGCACAGCGGCAAGGAGGAGTCCGATGAGCGAGTTGGAATCGTCGGGCACTCCTATGGCAGAGCTGGCCAGTCCGGTGCCAATTTCGGAACTGTTGTCGAATGAGATTTTCGAGATGCCTGGAAGCGAAGTTCCGGAGCTCCAAGGCAGTCGAGTGGCGCCTGTCTTGGTACTTACAGATTCCGAGTCAAGCGAGTTTAGTTTTGAAGTTGAGCCGGGAGTGATAGGAGTGATTCAGCAGACAGAGGAAGACGGACAGCACAATACCGGAGAAGACCATAGAGCACAGGAAGGAGCACAGGAGGGACATGAAGGTGCCGCAACGAGCACTCAGGAGACCCAGGAAGCGACTGGGAGTAAAGGACAGACTGACGAGAGTGGAAATGACAAAGGAAACCAACATACCGAAGGGGAGAGTGGACGAGAAGACCCTAAGAAGTAATTTTTAATTCACCAGCAGCTTTATACCACACAGAAGTCTCTACATAGTATTCATTCACTTGATATGATGCACGAATATACAGGTTGACGCACAAATCCACGTTCTATGGAGCCGAGACATCAAACTAAGGCAGTCTAACTTGACGTTCCCGCTCGTGTGGGTAACAAGCAGGCCATCTTGATGGTAACCAGGTCATTGGAACGCCCAAATCTCTTGCAAATCAATCTGGGGTAGTAATCCGCCCGCTATAAATCCTCCGAGGGGACCATGGCAGGGGCTAAACGGATACGGGGACCTTCTCATAGGGGAAGTTAGAGTATCTATTTTTGGAACCAACATCACGGCCTGCAGTAACTTTTGGATTACGTACGTGCGGAGGAAGAGGTATAAAGCTGACCTAGTTTGCATTTAACAGTGTAGCGTCTATATACAGCTCTGATTCAACGGACGAAAGCGTCTCGTGTAAAAAAGTCATTCATAACTACCGACCAGCTTTTATGGTATCAATCTGATATAAGTGTTGTTGATAATTCCTCCGCAGCCCGAATCCCGAATACGCGTAGCAAGTTCGCTGCCGGCTTACACGCTCTTGGGAGTCCCTGCGTTGGGGAAAGCAAATTTGGCCGTGCGATCGAGACGCACAGAGTATCCCGTAACGTTGGGATCCTCGCCCAAAAAGGCCAATGGAAAGCCCAGATCAAACGGTTTGACGCTCTCGAGGTACTTGATCTGCTCATCCGTGAGCTTGATGCTCAGCGCCTTGATGTTGTCGTTGAGGTGCTCAATTTTGCGTCCGCCAACGATGGGGAAGACGTTGCCAGCCTTGTGCAGCACGTATGCAAGCGCAATAGTGGTGACGGACTCGATTCCGTGTTCCGAGGCGACCTTGGCGAGAGCCTCACTAATCTTTTCCTCGTCGGCAGTCTGTGTAGGGGCCCCTGTGAGACCACGCAGAGTCTCGCCGTTCTTCTTGCGTTCTTCCAGAGCCTTCTTTGTCTGGAACTTGCCACCGCCGAGGACGTCCCAAGGAGCCAAAGCCATGTTGAATTGCCGAGCCATCGGGATAATCTCGCGCTCGAAATCCCGGACCATGATGTTCCAGCGTCCCTGGTAGATGCTGAAAGGAGTCTTGCCATAGGCTTGTGCGTAAACATTCGCCGCACTCACGACCCAGGCTGGCATATCTGAGGCTCCCAGATAGAGGACCTTGCCGGACTCGACTTGCTGGTGGAGAGAGTCCATGAGCTCCTTGATGGAAGTTGTGTGGTCCCACCAGTGAATGTACAGAATGTCAATGTAATCTGTCTGTAATTTCTTGAGAGACTCTCGAACACTCAAATGAAGACTCTTGCGGTGGTTGCCCTGGAAATTGGGGGCCTTTCCCTTTCCTAGCTCATGGCTTCGGAAGTCTGAGGTGAATTTGGTGGCAATCACAAGCTGGTCCCGGATGCCCCTCTTTGCAGCCCACTCTCCGATCCAAGCTTCGGACTGCTCGTTCTGATAGTTGTTGGCGGTGTCGATAAAGTTGCCGCCGGCATCGTAAAAGGCGTCAAGCAGCTTAAAGGAGCTCTCCTTGTCCATGGATCCCATCCAGTCGGACCAGCTATCGCCAATGGACATGGCGCCTAGAGCCAGAGGCGATACTCGAATACCCGCTGAAGGGGCCAGTACCCTGTACCGACCCAGCTCGCTCGCGGGCTCTTCCGAGAGGGCAAAGAGTGAGGCGGCCATGGTGTTGGACTATAGACTATAATAGACTGGATTATAGCAGACGGTAGTAGTTTCTAGTTCTGTTTATTCGAAAAGTGTCTATACAGAAAGGACTGTTTTGACAATGTTTCGAATTGATAAGTTGCGAATATTCTCAATCCTTCAGCTACCCCTCCTAGGCCTTTGTGACGCCATTATATATCTCATGGCGTTGATTAGCACATTAACCAAGTCTATCTTTATCTCCGGGATTTTTCAACAACCCTCCATCCAAGTCGGAATTAGGGCGGACATAGTGCTTCGATCGACTATGAAGCTGCCTATTGCTTAGAAACAGGCAATAAGTGATGATTCAATGTTCCTAGATTGAGGGGTCAACATCGTCTTCTGCATGAGTGGGGTCGAAATAACTCCGATCTTGTCGTTGTCGGCGAAGCTTGAGACTGGCCCGATACGCCCGGTGGCTTCTCACGAGGCTTGCTAATTCTCTTCTAAGCCATCAAAACGGCACATGAAACGGATAAAAAGGCAGAGGATGGTATCGCTGGATTATAAATTCACATTCTCGCTTTGCTGCGCCCAAACGCCTTGTCCCTCTACAACCAAACTAATGCCCGCAATGGGCATCTCCAATGTGCACAGCACCAACTAATTACATGTAACGAGGAAATGTTGATCTGATCAATTCCCGGGCCGGCCCATCGATGAATCCTGCCAATCCGGTTTTTATGCCGAGCAGGGCTCGTTGACCTTGCAGTTCTCGGGGAGCTCCTCGACGAGGTTGATGGTGAGCTCTCCGTGGTTGACGTCGTCGTCGCCCTTGGCATAGTGCAGCGGCACGCTTCCGCAGATGGCGCATCCGAATTCCTGAAGCTCCTTGAAGACGCTCTTGAGCGTAGCGCCAGTGACGTCGCCCTCTGAGTTTTGGATGTAGGCACACAGCGTGCTCGTGAACTTGCCGTTATAGTTGAGGGAATCGAGCTCGATACACGCCACGTCGTCGCCGTTGTCGTATTTCCGGTTGTCGTCGAGCTTGTTGAAGACGTCTGCGAGATGTGACAGACGGCCACCGCTAATGTAGGCAATGCCGCAGAGGACGTCTCCGTGACAGTTGATTCCAAGGCCGGCGACGCCCTGGGCAACCACAGCGGCCGCGGCGATGAAGCTGTTGAAACGCATCGTAGCTAGACTGTATCGAGTTAATCCTGCTCTTTGAAAGCCATTGGAAAGGAGCGGCATCACATACATGAACGTTGTCTTGGCACAAAACACAGAGGGATGCAGAAGTTGGGCGTCGACGAAGATTATGCTTGGCGGAAGAAGCTGGGCGCTGATGTAATGAGAGATCTGATCGGGTTATATACAGATACTCGGTGGAGTCCTTCAACGAGCAATGCAAAAACGAACAAATGCAGGGCATTGGGTTGTCGAGACCTAATCTCTGCTTGAGTCTGCTGAGATCAGCACTAGGCACATCGTCGCCAACGGCTTGGGCCTTCAGCTGGCCGCCTTAGCCGAAACAATCGTCTTTTCCTACGGACTCCCACGGGACATTGTATGGGGAACAGGTCAAGTGCGTGTCTGTAATTGGGCGGTGTTTGTCATGCTGGTCTCCTGGAGGCTAAAAACAGTCATCCTGTCCTAGCTTCACGATGGTAACAATGCAGGTACAGCTGCCCAGCCACAATGGCCTCTGCGCATCCCGAGTCTTGAACGGGTATAACGCTTCCGAGCAGTGCCTCAATTACCAAACCGCTCCGATCCGAACCAACAACATGTACTTAATATGTCTGCTTGATTCCCTAGTCCGCCAGAGCCGACAAAAGATGTGATTCGATTGTAAATTAGCGCTCAAGCATCCTTTGCTTCATGGCTCGCTTTGGATAAAGGTCGACATACTGGATGCGCTACGGAAGAGCTTCAGGATGCGAGTGGCCAGAGCTAGCGGAGATTACAAGTAGGCTTTGTCATTGAGCCAAAACAGTTCCTTTGGCGCCGGATGTAGTTGAAGCCGGCTAAGAACGTTATTTTTGGTTGGGCGACTAAATTTAGAACCTATGAATAAGGCGGACCAACGGTTAACAATGCGTGCAAGGATCAACTGATGGTAGCATCGGAATTGGAAATAGTCACAGGGTTGCAAGTTGACAATGATATGTCTTTCTCTTCCGTGTCTGGCTGCATGTAGCCGACAGGATTCAGGATTGAGCCTTGGAAGTGCATCTCCTAATAGAACTTTACATTAAGCGGCATGCCAACCACATCTCATCCGCGCAGCTCGGCACCAGCGCGACGGTTTTAGATCCAGGCTTGAGGATACCGAATGCCGAGACACGCAGGACAGCAGGGATATATTCACAGCCAGGCTTCTTCCTAGGCACGACGGGTTCTATATCAAAATAAAGAAACGAAATGACTGACATAGTTCTCTCAAACCCCAGAAAACAGTGACGGATCGTTCAGAGCAAATACCAATCAGTTTGTCATGTGACAGTGAATTTATTGCTAATTTGCAGAATCCGGACTAATACCGATGCAACGCGATTGTCGCCAGATCAACGACTTGTTTGAAATGTTCAAAAATGCTAGATACCGATGTACTAGAGATGAATAGATATACTGCAGGACATCGCAGCTATGCTGTAAAGAGTGTTGGCCTCTAAGGTGGCATGAAGCCGGGAGAAGAAGGCACATATACTTGTCATTCTTCCTCAACTTCCTCCTCTACATGCTCATCCCGTTTGTAAAATGATGGAAAAGGCATAGTTATAGTTAACATTTGGTATGGAATAAGAGTATCTATGTACATATCTACAGCCAAGAGCTGCAGCAGCAAAGCAACTTGGTCGGCCGCAATCCAGCCCAAAGATGTCACATCCATCTCCTCCTACGCCTCCCAGCTGCCCACCCGACTTCACCCAACACTCAACTTCCAGCATCCTAGCAAGCACAATCTCACCTTCATCCTCAGCTTTCATCTCAACGCCTATATCGATTCTCCGGGGCTTCCCGCCCCGGAATAGTCATTGACGGGGCATTTCCTCATCATCGCGTGCGCTGCTGCTGCTAGCAGACAAGTCCAAGTACGCACCAAATATGCGCTTCTCAATGTCTGCATCTTTCCGGCCCACGTCTTGCTGCTTGCGCAACTGTCGACGATAAAAGAGACGCTTGCACCACTTCCACGCCTCAACCCCAGCGAAGAAGAGCCCGGCAGCGATAAACACAATGCCCCATTCCCAACTAATGCCCTTGTGTTTAAAGACCTTGGTGTTGATAACAGGGATATAGAGAACAGGGAAGAGTGTCACAAAACCGAGCATGACCGCCCAGAAAAGAAATTGGTTTCGCCAGACATCGTGAATCCACTGGGTAAGGTATTTGTCAGAGCCAGGCTGCATACGGAAAAAGGATCGTCGTTTGTCAACCATCTCCCAGGCCAAGAAGAGGGCAAACCACGTGAGGCAAGCAAACGTGGTTGCTCGAGCGCGAAACACCGTCTCGCAGCTATCATTGTAGCCATCGTTGCAGCCAATGCCAAGCTCTCCGTCGCCCCAAGCATACACGCGGAGGACGAAAGAACTGAGGCAGAGCGCTGCAATCCATAAGCCATAAACAACCATGTCGATGTAAAACTCGAGTGTAAAGATGCCAGCCTTTAGAGACTGGGGAGGACGGTCAAGAATGCCCGGCACCGCACGCTCAAAGCCCAAACCCATATCAGGTAGACCCGAAGTAGCCATGATGATCCAGACGATTTCCACGGGAGTCAAGGGAAAAACTGAGAGACCCGAGCTGTCCTTGAACGCAAGTCCGACAAGAAGGGTGACAGCTTGGGCAATGTTCTCCGCCAAAACGTGAAGAACAAACTTTTGGATGTTATCAAAGATGCGGCGGCCTTCTTCAATGGCGGCAACAATGGAAGCAAAGTTGTCGTCGGTGAGGACAATGTCGGAAGCATCCTTGGCAACGTCGGAGCCAGACTGGCCCATTGCGATACCAACGTCTGCGCGTCGAAGGGAGGGAGAGTCATTGACACCATCTCCAGTCTATCTAGTGTCAGACACTTTGTAGGGTAAACAACGTTTGGGAAACTTACCATGGCGCAAAACTTTTTGCGGCGGTGAAGGGCTTCAACCATTCGGACCTTTGTGCTTGGGGCGCATCGAGCTACAACGAGCGGCAGAACGGGTAGTTGGTCGACTTGCTCATCCGAGAGGGCATCGAATTGAGCAGCCGTCATGATCATGGCTCTTGCAATTTCCAAGGAGACCATGTCCATACGTGAGGGCAGGATGCCAACCTCACGCGCAATGGCCTTGGCAGTCTCAGGGTGATCACCAGTCAGCATGTGAACTGTAATGCCCGCCTTGTGGCATTCTTGCACAGCAGTGGCCGACTCGGGCCGAGGAGGATCATAGAGGCCAATTAGGCCTCGGAATACAAGGTCACGCTCAACAGAAGCACGGTTAACCTCGTCTCCCTTCTTCAGCTCAACATGATACGGCTTGGAAGCCAGAGCAAGGACGCGAAGTCCCATGCCGGCGAAAGCCTCCATGTTCTGAAGAATCTCCTGCTGAAACTCCTCGGTGAGAGGGACAGCGTCATTCGAATCATTGGGGCAGTAGGTGCTGCACGACCCAATAACACGCTCCACCGCGCCCTTGGTGAATGCGAACAGTTTGCCAGAGCTATTGTTCTTCATGATGACAGACATGCGCTTGACATCGGAATCAAAAGGCATCTCAGCAACCTCACTGTATTGATGTTCATCTTGACCTACCAGGCGAAGGCGATTCCAATCAAACCGAGAAGCAAAAACCTGAATGGCAATTTCAGTGGGATCACCTCGAGCACGCCATTCACCATCTTTCTGAACAACAGTCGCAAGGTTGGCTAGAGATGCAACGCGCAGAAAGTCGGTAAGGGAACTGATGTTCTGGGAGAGGAGCTCTTTGACAGAAGCGACCGTGCCGCAAGCCTCGCCACCTTGGGCAAAGTTGATCTCGCGAGGCTGGCGTGGATCGTAACGGACATCGCCAGCAGTTGGGTCCATTGGTGAAGACGAGTTCTCAACGGTGTAAGTCCCTTTCCCAGGCATCCACGCACCTCGAGCAACCATCTTGCCCTGGGTCAGGGTGCCAGTCTTGTCAGAGCAAATGTCGGTGACTGCGCCTAAGGCCTCGAGGGACCTCAGGTTTCGCACAATGACGTTCCGCTGAACCATTCGCTTCGTGCCTGCGGCCATGGTGATGGTTAAAACAACAACCAAGCTCGCCGGAATCATGGACAAGCCCGTGGCAACGGCATAAATAATGACTTCTTGCCTGGAATCGAACTCGTTGGCGGCAAGGACGATGATGGCACAGACGACGGCAACGCCAAAGAGAAGGATTGCCAGCTTGGAGAGCTTCTTCTGAAGCGGCGTACCGACATTGACGCCGAGGAAACGGCCGATGGCGTCAGTCAAGGTCAGTGTATAGGCCTCGAGATATCGATGAGGTTTAGCAGAACCATCAGGCTTGCGCTTAACGGGACGGACTCTGCTATCTTTCTTCTGAAGGGCAGAGGCGATGGCGCCAATCTCTGTAAAGGAGCCAGTTGCGAAAACGACTCCCTTGGCACGACCTTTGGTGACGGTGGAGGAGCTATAGGCGACGTTGAGACGGTCACCAGGGCCGGTTGCATCATCAAAGATAGCGTCTTCATTTTTACGAACCGGCAGGGACTCACCAGTGAGGAGGGCTTCGTCAGTTTCAAAGTTGACTGCTTCGATCAGCCTAAAAGTGTCAGTACCCAACCCAAGCTACATATAGCCATGACACTCACCGGAGGTCAGCGGGAATCGTGTCGCCAGTCTTGATTTCGACTAGGTCGCCGGGGACAATTTGATCAGAGGGTACAATCTTGGAATCGCCATCCCGAACCACGGTTGCGGTTGGAGACGAGAGAGAGCGCAGAGAATCCATTGTTTTCTCGGCCGAGTATTCTTGGAAGAAGCCGACGATGACGTTGAGAAGGATGACGAACGTGATGACGCCGCCCTCGATGTAGGACTTGATTCCGAAAGAGACAGCCATGGCGAGAATCAGGACCAAAGTCATGGCGTTGGCGATCTGTGCGATGATAATCTTGATGGGCTGGGCACCCTCAGCTTCACCGAGGTCATTTTTGCCGTATTTATGAAGCCGTATGCTGGCTTCTGCCTCGGATAGACCATCCGAGATGTTTGCACCGAGCTCGTCAACGACTTGTTGGATGGAGAGGGCATGTGCAGCCTTGCTCATGGGCTCATTGCTGTAGTCCGAGGCCAGTCTATCATTAGCAGACACGCCCATCCTCAACTAGACAACCTTGAATGATGGTAGCTGAGCAATGGAATCTCGAGAATAAGTAAAATGAACCTGGTCGAGAGTAAACAAGCCAGGAGGCTGAATGAAGAATGACTAGAGTCAATTGACACCTGAGACGGGTTACGCATGTCTTATCTTAAACACCACGCAAGTTTCTTGGCCGTAAGTGAGATTTCTTCAACATGGGGGCTATATTCCCAGTTTCCACATATTTTCCAACTGTTATCAACTTCATCGTCCATTGTGATAGGTTGCAGTCATGCCCAGACACCGTATTTGTAATAGCCTTCAAGTCGCGTCCGCGTTTTCACACTTAATTATCGCCAAGATGTTCTTGGCTTCTCGGCGAAAACTTAGAGGATTCTCATCAGGATGGGAATGGACGTCTGCCGGGGCATTGAATCCACTGTGGCTAATTGAAATACCCCATGCTCTGACCGGTCCAAGATTCTCCAGTATTGCATCCGACTCATTTCTTGGCGTTGAGATACCCGGTTGCTTGAGCGTCTGCTCTTTCCGCCATTATCCGCCACTTTCATCTAGCATCTTGTACTATCGCCACTGTTTTCTACTGTCCGCTGTTAGAGCCATCTCTCTAGTATCTGCTCCTATAACCGTGTTCCTCCAGTATCTGCTACTGCGGGTATATTTTCTCATAAGTACCCCTCAGATTTTAATTCGAGACGGTATGTTGACCTCGAATTCAGTGAACCTTTCAAGAGTCGACTCCCGGCTGACAACATTGAACTGTCTAGTGTTTGCACTGCACTAACCCAAATTAAATGGAATCAGCAATGCATCTACAAAGAAATTAACAATGCTTCGGGTAATGAAGATGACAATGAAATCCTACAGACCAGAGAACAGACACCCTGGAGTGCTGGGCAGAATAATCCCTGCAATCTAGTACAGTGCGCAATGTTTGTCACTGTTGGTTTCATCAGGATCAACTTCAGCTGAAGTTGTTAGCATTGGACTTGCATGTACCGAATCATCCATTTACCTTGGTCAATCCTCGTCAGCACCATTGCGTCACAGCGTGATGAAGCTCAAAGTTATCAACTGGCTTCGAGAAAAGCTCCGGAAACGACGCAGGCTTCACCGCGAAGAAGACGAACCAGGAGACACCAAGTTGAAGATGATGCTACCGACCTGCCTCGCCTCCCTCCTACTCGGCCAAATATCTTGACCCCATCGCCATCCACTGAAGCTTTAGCCTTGTCCAGCTCTCCTCTATGGGGGAAGCTTCCCAGAGAGCTGCGATACGATATACTTCTCAGAGCCTTTGGAGGCGGCTTGTTACACATGGACTTGTCATTTGTGCACCCTGTTGCTCCTATAGAACCCGGACGCATCCTATTTTCCCATACCGGCATCAATACCGATGACCAACTCGAGGTAAACTAGGATACCACAGTGCCCAAGTCCTGGCAATGGTGGAGCTCAGTGTGCCATCGTGTCATGCCCAACTATGAAAAGACAAGGAGTTTTATACGTATGTCTCACCCTGAAATCCCCAGACCCGGGGATGACCGTTGCCGTTATGGGGACGCGCATTTCTGTGAAAGTTGGCCTGGGATATATCCATCCAAGTGCAAAATTGGCATCATGGGATGGCTTTTATCCTGTCGACAGGCGTAAGTTGAGCGCCGGTTCTCGTCATGTCCTTCTCTGACCAAAGCACGCAGATACGTGGAGGGGATAGGCGTGCTTTATAGAACAAACACCATTCACATGTCCGGTCAAACACTCATTCTAAATCTCCCTCAGCTGCTACTACCGCAACGGCTCTCCGCCATTACATCCCTTGAGATTGTCTGCCCCCTCATGCTATACGGAGCCGAAGTTGGAGCAATCCCAGAAGTTGTCCTCTCAAAGACTTATCTCTCTGTATTGGCCTCTAATTTACCAAGCCTCACTCGGCTATACCTAGCACTCAAAGCAAAAGGCTCCAATGCTCGGCCTGTGGATATGCAGAGTGCATTCAAGATTCTCGACGAATTTGTCCTCGAGACAAGTCTGACAGAGTTTACCGTGTCGCATTCACATACAGTATTCACGCCGCTGTACAACGCTGTTCGAAATGAAATTGCCGCTCAACATCGTCACCAATACAAGACAATCCCAGAGATATGGCGCAACGCTGATGGTAGCTATATCCTACCCATATATGGTCCCAACACGGAACCCTTTTACAAGCAGGTTGAGACCTCATGGCCGAAACCGCCTCGGGTAGGTCATCGTACTGTCGGAGCAGATGTAGTAGGTGACGGCTATTGGCTAGTAGAAGGAGAAGTCGATAATTACACTCCATGCCGTTTTTCTACTGTATATTTATAGGAGAAATTTCACGGCCCCTTCATTGACGCCAAAAGGTGCCGTTTCAGAACAACTCAAGGGCTACTAGCTGTATCAGCAAAGAATGCGGAGATTGAAGCGACAATTAGTTGATAAATAATATTTGTCCATTATAATTTACTACTTCTACCGATTATACGTATATAGTCATTATACTGCGTCTAGTAACAGATATGTGCTGTCCAATCTATATCAACAAAGGAAATGGCCTTGTGCGGCCCGGGTATCTCCTGACCCCATTTTATACCAAATGTCCAATCTGCCGGCTCGCTCAAAGAAAACGCCATCAAAACGTCCAGTTATGCAAAAGAAAAACAAAGGAACCAACTTATGCAACCCAGTCCTTGGCGTAAATGATGCTGCCAAATCCAACCCATGAACAACCCCACGATTCGCACACATATGAAACAAAGAAACAAAAATTATACAGGTGACTCGCTCAACTCAAAGGCCACCGTCCTCTCGCAAGCCTTAGGACAAAGCGCCATTGTCGATGGTCTCAGTTGTTGCCGCTACTCTGGATGGGGCGCCTTTCCGTTGTTGTGATGCCCAGTACTCTTGGAAGCCGGGAATCGCACCGGGCTGGTTAATACCAGGGGCTCTAGGAGGTGGTTTAGGTGGTGCTTTCTCCGCTGCCCTGGGCAGGCTTTGACTGACGGCACCTGCTCCTCCCCATGGTCGCCACCCAACCCATTTGCCAAGGCCTCCGGCGCCGTTGCGAGATGTTTGCGAGGACGAAGCCGACATGTCCGACGTCGGTGTAGAGCTTCTCTTGGGTATTTGAAAGCCGGCAAAGTTATCGCGCAGGGCGGCATCGCTACGCTTCGAGTATTTGGTCGACATTGTCGGCTGGGCAATGACGCCGGTGACGACGGCATCAGCTCCGCCGAGCGGGCGGAGGGTCATTTGGCTTGGTCGGATCTGGAGTGTGTGGATATCGAGACCGCCCGATAGCGACATGATTGATTCATGAGACGCTACATGGCGCAGCCTTGAACTAGGCGCGGCGATCGGTATGGCGGCGGCGGCATTTGTAGTTTCATTGGCATCATCATCTTCTTCCGCCGACTCGTCTTTGGGAGCGTCTTGCTCGGCCGCAGTGGCAGGCGGACTAGTATGTGCATCTTCGTCCTCTTCGTGGATGACGCCGCTGCTAAATCTGAAAGGGTTTGGTGTTTGGATTCCAGCGGTGCCGGGCTCAATATCAATGATTGAGAGAGACTGGAAGCTGCAGGACGAGGCTGCAGAAGCACGCTTTCTATGTGAAGCGCGCCAAGTAGGAGACATGGGGTCGTAGCTTGTAGTGGGCGACATGAGAGAGCCTGTCTCAGCTTCACTATGATCGAAAATGCGGGGAGAAGTCGGAAGGGAGGAGGACATTTCCGATGGGGTGGAAAATTCGTGCCATGTTGAGGAGCTGGCCTTGATGGGCGTTGTTTCGCCGCTGGTGTGGGAGAGAACCGGGCGAGTGGGAGAGGACACCAGGCGTCGCTGGAATTCGGGGCCCGGAGAGGACGCCCTGCTAGAGATTGCCGCTGGAGGTGTAAAAATGCCGGGCAACAAGCCCTGACGCTTCTTCTTCGGCTTCCTAGTATCTTGCTTGGCAACGTGGTAGTGGTGGTGAATGTGAAACTCTTGCGGCGGCCTCGAGTTTTCAAACAGGGAAGGTTCCAGTTCTGCTTTGAGAGTCGAGGCAGGGCTGAAGCCGTCGGTAAGGGGTTGGTGAAACATGAGCTGCTCTCGCAGCACTTGTATCTCATCGTTGGAGCTGATGAGCATTTCCCTTAGCTCGGCTATGCCCAGCTGCAGGTTTGCATTGTCCTGTAGCAGGTCCCGCACAAAGTGGCCGACGATTTTATTCCCCTGTCGGTGTTCGGTGATTGATTTTGAAGCCGCGGCGCCCTTGAGCCGCACGGCGGCAACATCCAGATGCTTCTCCACCTCACGCTGGCGCTCAACCTTTTCCATCATTTCATCGTGGCGTTGTCGCTCCAGAATGGCCTCCTTCTCCATGCGCACGAGCTGATCTTGCATGTCGAGGATCTCCCGCTGTGCCTCTTTAAATCGCTGCGCATGAGTGCGAGCTTCCTCCTTGGTAGCTTTCAACTCCCCCGTGAGTTTGTCCTGCTCTTCTTCCAGAATCTTGAGGTGCTGGTCAGCCTCGGCGGCACGGGCGGCGGCGCTCTCGAGGCGGCGGATGGCTTGTTGCGACGAGAGAAGGCTTGCTTCGAGGCTTTTGATCTTGGCGTCGGAGTCAAAGATTGTGGTGTTGAGTAGCTCGAGCTGCTCGATGAGCTCATTGTTCTCCTCGACCTTGGCGGCATTGTTGGCTTCTAGCTCCTGCTTGTCCAGCTGCAGGCGATCTATGCGGCCGTTGAGTCGCTGCCTGTCCAGTTCTGCGTCGGCCATGTAGGCTTCGTGCCTAGCAAGTAGGGCCTGTAAAGCAAATGTCAGTGGAGATTCAGTCTGCCGCGAGCACAGCATGGTTGTTGAGTCTGGGAGAACATTTTGGAGGCACAGGATGCGTACACGACCGGGAGGGTTTACTCGGGTCTTGACTGCCGTGTTCGCACCGGAATGCAGTTTGAACGCGAGGTGAAAGGGATGGCCGCAATCATTTGGCGGCGCGGGCAGACAATGGGATGAAGAGAGGAATGAAGGGAATGAAAGAAAGCCCAACCAAGCAAAAGCTCTGCAAAACTCAGCGCTGCAAAGCCAATGCCAAGCGCGGCACCCGCAGACATATGCACGTCCACACACACACATACCTTGCCTAACTGGGCAGCTGTATGCACATCCTTCTCAACAGCTTCGAGAATGGAGCAGTTCTTCTTGAGGTGGACGCAGTCTGCGCTGCCGCAGCAGCACTGCAAAGGCGGCGAGCCGGACTCCAGCTGCGCGTGGTCGAGCACCTCCATGTCGCCGAGCGAGAGTCGCATGAGTAAAGATGATTGAATTAATAGTAGGTGACGTAGATGTCGGTGGCCGCAGTGCACGCAAGAAGCGCCGCTCGGTCGAGGCGTCGAAACGATGGCGATGCTTCAGCGTCATTCATGGTCTTTGGCGGTTGGCCCGGAAGACGGTTGGTGAGAGGTGAGGATTAACGATGGCGAAGAATAGGGTCCGACATCGATCAGGATCAGGCAGAGGCACAGGCACAGGTACGGTAGGAATAAAATAAAATGAAACCCCGCAGGCAAGACAGAGGCGATTATTAGAGAGGCAGCCTTGTCGAAAGGAGATTTGACTCGGCCAGGCCAGGTGGAGGGAGGGAGTAGCGGTACTCGATAGGAGCGGGATCGTAGGCGCAGAGTGGCGATGCAGCGAGTACTGCGACTTTGAGGAGCTTCGAGCAGGGAGTCGGATGGAGGAGCAAAACAAGGCTCGAGGCGATCGGAATGGATCAATGAGTGGTTGATGGTTCAGGACGAGAGTTTGCGGCGCGTGCCTGCAGAACGATGGCTGGTGGTGTGAAGCTCCAGACCGGCTGCAATTAGTAGACACCGCTTCCAGACACCGCGAGCCTCGAGTACTGGCTACCCGTCGGTGGATATGGAGGACGGTTGTCTGTGGTCGTACCGAGTACGGAGCAGAGGCGCGTCGCCTCCCTGTTCCTGAAATTAGTGGCTGGCCCGGGCGCTGCACCTGCAGTAGCTCTGCTGTAGCTCTGCTGTAGCTCTGCTGTAGCTTTGCTGTAGCGCCTGAGTCCCCTACAGTGCAGCTCGCCTACGACATTGGACCCAGTCCAGTGCATCCGGAAGCAGCAGAATTTTTCACAGCTGCATCTGTCTCTTGTAGCGGTTTAGCCTCAACAGCCGCACAAAGGTTAATATTAATCGATCCCATGTTTATAGAGAAGTTGAGTTATGGTTGGTGGTAACATTCTGCTTGGCTCGTTTCACAACTTTATGCGGCGTCCATCACGGGAAACCCCCGTTCTCGCGTGGCTAGTGTCGGGACAGGGCAGGGCTGTCAAAACGATCGAACTGCGGTGTGCCTGTCCTGTCCTTTCGTCGGGAGCGCGTAATGTATGGGGCAGCGTTGTATCCATTGCCAGCACAGCAGGCCCGCCGGTTTGCTGGCAAGTCTTTGTCATGCCAAGGTGAGCGGGCCGAAATTATGCACTTGATCTGACGTGTGCTCGGTGTCTCGTGTGAGCGTTCATACGGCATCCCGTGGCTGTGGGAGCAAGCGAGTGATGCCGCGAGACGGGAGGCGGGAACGGTCCGTAAGACTCCATAGTTGTGTTCAGTTCATCAGAAAGGTTTAAAGAAAGTGTCTATCGTTGAACAAAGAAGTAGTTCTTAGGGGAACATCTGAAAGGCCCATGTCGTATGTCAAATGTCATTTGAATCATTCACCACTTACACCGCAAGTGGAGCTCATGACTCGAACATGGCCATTTCATTATACAGTACATCACATATTGTGCACGTACAAGTCATGACAGTTCAAAATAGGAATAACATCACATATACAACATCGTATCAACATCAACATCACTTTGACCATCTTTTGACGCTCTTGTTACTATCGTCTCTCAGAAATCCGTTCACCTCCAGGGTAGCCCACCCATCGGCCAAACGTAGGCCCGCCCACAGCAATGACGGCACCACAATCTCTCCGCGTTAATCCATTGCGTCATCCAGCCAATCAATTCCCACATGTTGCAAAGCAAAGCTCGACTCTCACCAGCTTCACATGCGGCTTCACTCCCAAATCGGCTTACCAAGCTTCGAGCTCCGGAGCTCAAATGCAAGAGCTAGCCTGTCCCTTTTACACCTGCCGACTCTCCTCACATGATGTCTCCTCCAGTTTCTCATTCTCCGTGGTATCTCCGGATCTCACCTGCTCGCGTCATCCATCTCTCCGTTGACTTGAGCTTCTATTAAACCTCCAGGCATGCTCTCGTTACCCCGCAACCCCCACCTCCGTCATCTACTCCCAAACCGTCGTCTTTTGTCCTTTGCAATACCGTCTCGCCAGTTTTCATTCATCAATCGCGCCATGGCTCAAGAGTACAAGCTCAAGGGCGTGACTTCGCTGTCACTCAAGCCCGGTCAGAAGCAGGAGGTGGAAGTTGAGGGCATCCAAGACGCCAAAGTTCTTCTTGTCGGCCTCCAGTCTGGTGGAAAGGCAGAGGTACAGGCCATTGGTGCCAAATGTACCCATTACGGCGCCCCGTTGGCTAAAGGCGTTTTGTCCACCACAGGACGCATCACTTGCCCCTGGCATGGAGGTAATTCTGACCATGGACCTGTCTGGAGATGGCATGCTAACAAGTAACAGCCTGTTTCAACGCAAAAACTGGTGACGTAGAAGACTCGCCTGCCCTGGATGCTCTCCCCGTCTTTCCTCTCACCCAACATGATGGAGCATTCTACATTACCGCCGAGGAAGCAGCCATTAAAGGTTCCAGGAGGAAGCCCAACTTCCAGTGCAGCGTCGCAAGTGACTCTCACGAAAGGGTCGTCGTTGTCGGTGGCGGCTCTGGCGCTCTTGGCGTTGTCGAAGGATTGCGCGAAAAGGGCTACCGAGGCCATCTCACCGTCATCTCAAAGGAGGGCTACCTCCCCATTGACAGACCCAAGCTGAGCAAGGCTTTAATCACAGACGCCTCCAAGCTGGCATGGCGAGACAAGAGCTGGTTCGATAGCGGCGCCGTTGAGTGGGTTGACGGCGAAGTCAACGATATCGACTTTTCTGGCAAGCAAGTTACAACTGCAAGCGGAAGCAAGATTGCCTACAGCAAGCTGGTTCTCGCGACTGGAGCAACTCCCAGGCTCCTACCCCTTCAAGGCTTCAAGGAACTCGGCAACATCTTTACACTGCGCACCGTTCACGATGCCAAGAAGATTGTCGATGCCATTGGAGACAAGGGCAAGAAGATTGTCATCATCGGCTCCTCGTTTATTGGCATGGAAATTGCCAATGCCACTGGGGGCGACAACTCAGTGACCGTTGTCGGCATGGAAAAGGTTCCCCTGGAGCGTGTTCTTGGCGAGCAGGTCGGCGCCGGCATCCAGAAAGCCTTGGAGGGCAAGGGCATCAAGTTTTACTTGAGCGCTGGCGTCGACAAGGCCGAGCCGTCCAGCTCGGATTCCTCCAAGGTGGGTGCCGTCTATCTTAAGGACGGTACCAAACTCGATGCGGATCTCGTCATCCTGGGAGTCGGCGTGGCCCCCGAGACGAGCTACCTCAAAAACAACAGCGCAGTCCAACTGCAAAAGGATGGATCCCTCCAGACCGATGCTCACTTTGCGGTTACGGGACTCTCAGACGTCTACGCCATCGGAGACATTGCCTCGTACCCTTACCAAGGCCCTGGAGGCAACGGAGCTCTCGTCCGAATTGAGCACTGGAACGTCGCCCAAAATGCTGGCCGTGCCGTTGCCTCACACATTGTGAACCCAGCTGCACCCAGCGAGCCCTTTATCCCAGTCTTTTGGTCCGCCCTTGGCGCCCAGCTGCGATACAGCGGCAACACCATTGCGTCTGGATGGGACGACGTCATCTTGGATGGAGATGCGGCGGCAGGAAAGTTTGTCGCCTACTACACAAAGGGCGAGACTGTCGTGGCGGTCGCGTCCCAAGGCCGAGACCCGACCGTGATGCAGGTGTCTGAGTTGTTGAGGCTTGGAAAGGCGCCGACAAAGAGTCAGCTGCAGAACGGCGTGGACGTTTTTAGCATTGACGTTGTGAACTAGTTGCGATTAGACAGTACATAGTATGACGACGAATGAACTGAACAACCATACTGTTTCCAACCAATGTGAATGTGTGTGATTTGCCTACTCACAGCCTTTTGTTTGTCTTTACAGAGTTGGTGCGGTCCAGCTATCAACTCGACCATCATAGTGTGCCTATTCAGCGAGTCATAGCCGAGGTTATGCAGGCTTTTACATTCCATGGACGACGTTGCGTGCAAAAGATTGTCTCATGTTGTCTCCCTGATCAATCAGGTGGCTTGAGCTATCGGGTACCGAATATTATCGTTTCAAATGCAAACATCTTCCCATGATGTTGTAGACGCGGTTTAAATCTCCAACTTGTAGTAACTTGATGCTATATGGGTCTTATCCAGGGGTATCTATCTCCTGTTCCATGTGCATACACGTATTGAGATACATTGGGGGAAATTATATGATGAGACATCTTTATCGCCTACGCACTGAAACCGATGGTCTCTTCTTTATAGTAACAAAGTCCTATTTCTCTACGTCCTACTCTTCCTGATTATCTTTGCCTCATCGTAGGTTTACATATTCATATGCGTGTCTTGAGAGCAGCTAGCCTTGCCTCAATTGGTTGTATCGACAGCATCTCAGTACGCTGTATCACTTGTACGAGAACATGATTGGACAATATTCAAGCGTTACAGAGTGTCTGAAGATGGAAGCTGTCTCGGTTTCACGTGGACAAGTTGAGCGATCTCATTCCACAGGGTGCACCCTGCAGATCAGGCTGTCTGTGGCGGACGATAGGTCACCTCATCTTTCTTAGAGCAGTTGATGTATTTGATGAAACCTGAAAACTGTGTTTACTGGAATGGAGAAGTCGTCATCTTGGCGGTGTATCACCCAAAGGGAGTCATGTCGATTGAGGCCGTGGTAACAGCCAGCCTATACATATCCACGTATATATCCTCAGCACCTCAGGGATATAAGCTGTAGGCTCCATCACCACTACAAACACCATCGATTCAAACAGTGAATGACCACAACACCATACCGTAATATTCAAGCAGTCGACCTATAACACCGGCATCATGCAGTTCAAATCCCTCGTCTTAGCCGCCATCCTATCTTTGACCCACGTGCAAGCTTTGACGGCAAAAGACGTAACCAACAGCATCTCCAACATTACTGCCCTTTCGGCCGACACGTTGGACCTGGTCAAGGGTCTTAATACTGAGAATGTGGAGGCAGATGGATTAGTATGCCCGCCCATCTATTCAGTCGCATAATTATGTACATGCGCCTCTGTGAGCTAACTCGCTCATTAGCAAGCGTTCAAGAACTTGCGCCAGATTGTCGCCGATGCCAATGATACTGCAGCAATTATATCATCTTCGGCCAACTCTACCTTTGCCGAGGATGACCAAAAGGACATTTGCGAAACCTTTACTAGCGTGAGTTTCCATTTCCATCGCGTTACGAGTGTCTGAACTGAAGAGTTACAGTTTGTCAAGACCCAGCAAGATCTCCTCCAGGCGCTTGTCAGTCAAAAAGGCCTCTTAGGGCCCATACCTCTTAGCATGCCTATTGGTGCCATCTTGCGCTTCCTGCAGACGTATGTCGACAGGCTCTCTAATTCAGTCATCGGGCTAGTGCCGACCTGCGCAGACGAGTCTAAGGAGGAATTGAAGGGGCTTGATAAGAACTTTAACGAGACTAAGGAGGCATATCCAATTAAGTTGCATCTTCCTGAGGTGGTTGGCACCTCGCTTGAAGCTTTTTTTTGAAGCTTCCCTTGAACATCAGTAAAGCGTTGTATAAAGGGTATTTGGATTAGATAATGGGATCTCACAGTTCGAATTTGGCTCTAGAGTGAGGTGTGATTAGTTAGCTTTGATACCGAAGAATAACCTGATGTCGTCGCGGATCATAATATTTGTCTCACGTTTCCTCCCTGATCAACCTGTAAGCTGGGATGGACCCTGATTATGTTTCCTCGCTGCGCAGATCCCCGCATATTGGTATGGGTGAAATGAACTAGTGAAAGAGATATTCATAGAGGGAATGCAAGTAAACCTAGTATGCACGCATTAGGCAGATGGAGACAATTAATATGGGTTCGTTTCAACCTGTCTGGTTACCAAGTAATTTGAGACTACTCATTGTGTCTGCCATTCAGCTTGGAATCTATAAAGAACACCCTGCCGATCAAAATGATTGATGAATTACCTAACTATGCTTGAATCACTCCATTGATTCCATCAAAGTTGGGAGATCAATTCCACTGGGGATGTAAAGCTTGACATCATAGCGATGCAGTATCCATCAAAGGGAGCCATAGGTCGATCCTACCTATGATGGACCAATCCAGCGGCATTCACAATCCCCCATTGCCAGGCCCTCGGGTCTATATAAACTGACATGACATGGCCTTTTATCCAGAAAAACCATCAACCGATAGAAAGCATCATCCCACAAACAGCTACGTATACAAGCAATCATCTAGAAGCCGCCATCATGCAGTTCAAGTGTCTCACCCTCATGACCGCCCTGTTGTCTATAAGCCAGGCACAAACCACAATGGTAACAGACGTGCCAAAAGACGGCATAAGTGGTATCAAGAACATCACCGAACTGTCGTCTGACCTGCTGGGCTTGGTGGGGGGTCTGAACGAATCAGTACGTCTACCTTTTCGCATCACCTAAACATGCAATTTGACAAACTAACTTGCGGTTTAGCAAACGGCTGATTTCACCGTCATTGTTGATGATTTGAAAGACATCATCGCTGATATTGGCAAGGAAGTCGCAGCACTCAGCGTCCCCTCCGTCATTAGTGACCAGCAAGGCCTCTGCGATTCCTTCAGTGGTGTAAGTACCCTCCAGCATCCGTCGCTTTATGAACATCTCTAATTCGCAATGGATCGTCGCAGTTTGTCAACGTAACTCAAGAGCTGTTTGGCGTGTTTTCGGAAAAAGAACCGATCTTGTCCATGGTGAACGCGACTGATGCTGGAAATTTCACCAACATCCTGCGTGCCTTGACGATTGGCGTCTTTGGGCTTGGATCTAAAATCATCACGTTGGCGCCGAGCTGCGCGGATGAAGCTACGAAGGAGCTGGGAGATTTTATCGGGGCAGCTAACCAGACGATTGGATCGTTCCATTTCGGCGGTTAGGGATAAAGAGGCGAATAACATGCTCGTTTGACCTCTGTAGAAAGATTCTGCCAACCCGCATCTTGGATAGCTACATGCAGACAGACGCGGAAGAGAAAGACATGATACTATTATCAATTTGCAACCCTGTGACTAGTACTAGGTATCTACTGCCTACTCGTACTAAGGCAGCAGGTGAATGGGCCAAGTAATGTGTGCCTGGCTCTGACTGTGAATGAGTTGTAGGCTCGAGATGTTGAGACCGTTTTTGATGCAATAAGACAGTGGAGATACATTGAACTGTCTTAATAGGTTGGCAGTTTGAGTATTCCAATTCATCCATGGGATACCTTCAGTTGGGAGAATCTTTCATTTTGTTGGCTACAGGTACAGATATAGCCCTGGAGCCCAAAAGACAAACTTCAGCGCCCCTCTGTGCCTTCCCAGACGGCAAACGGCAGCCGGTTGTTTGACCGCCTTGGGGCCTGAATTTCCACGACAGGTGCAAACGAGCTCAAGTTCGGCTCTCGCTTTCCACGCCCTTCTGCTCTTTTCCACTTCGAATTATCTACTACATTTTTACTATAGCCACCGTTATAGCACTCGTCCTCTTTTCTCCTCTCTCTCCACCAGTTGCATCTTGTATGAGCAACACTATTATTATCAGTGAGTCCCCCGTCTTCTGCCCCAACAGCCCGCCATTCGATCTTAATCATCACCAAGAACATCGTTGCAGATTCTCTGTCTCTGTCTCTCTCTCTTTCTACCCCCCCCCCCCCTCCTCTCTCGATCTCTCTCTTTTTGAGTAAATTTGACACGTACTCGATCGATAGCAAGCCCTACTAACTTGTCAGAAGGATTTTTTTGAGGTGAGTTTGCCCAAATCTCCTGCGTGAAAGACTCGTGCTAACATAATGTAATAGAAAACCATCATGTCTAACGTACGTTCCCACCTTCGCCAACACACCTTTTCCCACTGGTTACCGGCTAGTGCCAGTTCACGACCATTGACACTAACATACAAATAGAATCGCCGCATGAATGCCTTTGCCGAGCTCCTCGAGACGCTTGGGGTCCCCGAGAATGTGGGTGGTGGTGGCTGGAGAGCCACCACCGCAACCAACAACCGTAAGTCTTTACAATGCCCTACAGTTTCAATAAAGAGGCAGCTAATACTAATACTATTGGATTAGAGTCTGGTCGTGGCAGTTTGGCCCCCCCGGGGCGGAGGAACCACTAGAGGACGAGGTGGAGCTCGAGGAGGAGGTATGAAACTTATCCCCGTTGTCTTTGCCGTTCACAATAATAAACTAACAATACATTACTTATATAGTACAAAGCCACCGAAGTGGCTACGGCCGGGGCCCGTAGGCCCACGTTCATTCGATGCATTGGGGCCGTGCAGATGACGGCGTTTTATCGCGCCACCAATACGATCTCCTCCTGAGTGGAGGTATAGAACCCCTAGAGGCTGACCAGCAGCAGCACGAGCTCCGCATGCTGCAGCAGCAACAACGGCAAGAAGCCAGGACACAGGCCAAAGCTTAAGACCAAGCTCAAGCGCAGATGTTGCAAGCTCAGATGGGACGTGGACAGACTCCTCAACAGGGATTTCAGCATCTGCAAAACATGCAGGCAAACCAGACGCCCCAGCAGCAGATGGGACAGATGCAGCACTTCTACGTCAACCAACTGCAGCAGCAGCAACAGCAACACCGGGAGTTGGAGCATCAGCTCCAGCCTCAGCCTCAGCCTCAACCTCAGCCTCAACTTAACTTCAACCTCAACCTTAACCTAACCTCAATCTCAACCTCAACCTTAACCACAGCAGCAGATTGCTGCAGGAGAAGAAGAAGAAAGAAGAAGATGATGATGATGTGCCTATGTGTGGCAACCTTTTTTAAAGGTGACAAATACTTTTCTTTTTTACCTTGCCTTTCATCATCATTACCTCTACTTCCATCTTATCCCATCTACTATCTCTACTTCCGTCTCTTACTTCTACTTACATCTATTATAGCTACTTCCGTCTACTACTTCTATTTACATCTACTCTCTCTATTCCCATCGATCTTCGTCTATTTCCTCTACTTCCATCTACCTCCATCTACTGCCTCTACTGTCATTTATTCTTTGGGATAATCCGAGATGCCCAAAGCCATGGCTGTGGAAGCTTCCGCCTCTGAGAATTCGCCGTCAATATGCCATCTTTCAGAAGGCCAGTCGGCCGGCCCTCGTGGCCGATGAGCAGGGGCAGGGGGAGAGACATCGACATGCCGAAGCTCAAGCTAAGATCCGAATTCAGTGGTGTCACCACCTCTCACCCCCACTCCCCCGCCCCAACAACCACGTATGTTCACCACTTCTTATTGATGGAAGCAAAGCTGATGTTATTGACATAGGATCTGGTTCTGGTGGTGTGGGCTGAGGAGGCCAAGGTCAAGGACGACGACGAGAAGGAGAAGGAGTACGGACTGGCCGTGGTATGTTTCTTCATGGCCCTTTCGACGTCTACAAACTAACAATTTTGCAATAGTGCAGGACGCTCAACCAGGTCGTGGTCGCGGTGAAGGCGTCCGCCTGCGAGGTATCACCGGGTGCGGTGCCGACGACACCCTTTCGCGGAGGCAGTTCGCCCTTTTTTCTACGGGTGGCCGTCCTGCCCTCGAGGCAGATGAGCAGCGGCTGGCCAAGGCATAGGCAAAGGCACAGACACAGGCACAGGTCTAGCAGGAGGAAGAGCTGGATATGCAAATAGACGGCGCTGATGTGTCGACCGAGGATTTTGTTAATCTAGGCTCTGAATGTGTATTCCTTAGCCACGGAATGGCATGGGAAAAGAAGCAAGCGGGATGTGTCGCTATCAGGAAGATGCGTGGAAGCGTTCGTGGGGGGCAAGCAAAATGTGCTGCTCGGGCTGCAAGTACTCGGCGTCACCTTGTTCGGTCGTGCTTGCTGTGGTGGAAAGAGGCCATCTAAAATAGCCAAATAGCAATCAGCTTTGTTGTTCAAGATGAGGTGGTGTGTTCATCATCTTGCCCGCGGGTTGACTTACATGAACGAGTCTTGGAGATTGATTGCAAACGAGCACCACTGGGAGACGTCACTAGGCTCAGCCATCACTAGAACAACGAGTGCCAGTTTTCCAATGCGAAGTAGAACAGTTCTTACACTCTTGTCTCTGAAATTTTGCCCTCGATTCCTTGAGCCACATTTGCAATGCAATGCAATGCAACACAACGCTGGACAAACGGCTGATGATGGCCGTCCATCACATTGAGGCCATGTACCCGCTCAAGCTGCTGTACGTACCTGCTGTCCCCTGCCCGCTGGTGCTGGATTAGTACTAGCCCTTCTGCAAAACAACTCACCCCCGATTTTTCTGACAGCTGACAGCTGGCCAATGGTGTGCCTCTTCACTGGCAGCAATTTCGCCATTGGTGCATCCAATTTTTGTGATCCACAGTACGTACTGCCCTACGCGCCGGTACGTCACAGATTGTACCGCAGCGCAATGCCAAATGCATTAATAGTACCTTATAGGCAAGCATGTCACTCCATTCGCTTTATCAATCCGTAGATGAGCATCACAGCAGCGTTGCAATATTTCATGCAATATTACTTCAGCAAGTTGAAATCGAGCCCAGGTCAACTGCGTCTATGTATTTAGTTTTCTACAACAATATGGCTTGCAGAACATGAGAGTAGACATTCACGAGGGCTTCATCCCATCCAATAGCATGAAATTATTACCTGGTCCCTGACTCTTGATCGTGGATGATGCCATTACCTACCTATATCCAATGCATACTTGGACATTTGATAAAGATCAGACGAAACTAAAGATTTAATACGTCATACTATTTCACGATGCGTGCACGCGTTATATCAAACCCGCGTTTCCTACGCGTACCGCGCCGGGTGATTCTTTTTTCCTGCCAGCTGATTTCCAATCTGCTTTCTTGGTGCCTGATGCCCACCCTCCAACTCACCTTTTGGCCATCTGAGTTCCAGTTCACTTTTTCATCACTGCAACGCCCTTTGCACCTTTTCATCCCCCACATTTTTCACCTTTCAGAATGTTGCCCTCCATCGTTTGTCTTTCTTCCCTCATCTCCTTTCCTGCTTTCTCATCACTCTTTTCAACACCTTCGATCAGACATACTTTTGCTTCCCATTTACTGACAATAGTAACTACCTGACATCCGAAGACAATGCTCCCTGGCTGACTTCTTTCTCTCAACAGACACAGTTCACGAGACGCTCCCCATCATCCAACCCAGATCCTATCAACAAAACTCAGCTTCTTTCAAGAGCACCGAACAGTGAGAGTACCCTCCATCCGCCATGACACTCTGTTGTTGATTGCTAATGAAGTATCTAGGCTCTGAACCAACCCCCTCATCACGACGCCGCACCAACGCTGCTCAGCGCACGTTTTGGCTCCCCCAAGAAGTGTCCTGTGCCGGCTTTGGCCTCACAGAAGACACTACCGGTACTCTGTACCGATGTCCTGTTCCTGAACTAAGAAGATATTCTTGTTCCCGAACAGAAGAAGATACTCCCTGTACTCCTACAGGGATTCTTATTCCTGTGTAGATGATACCTCTTGTACTCTGCACAGATGTCCTGTTCCTGAACTAAAGTACTCCCTGTACCCACAGGCGTTCTTGTTCTTGAACAGAAGAAGATATTCCCTATACTCTGTATACGGATGTTCTTATTCCTGTGCAGATGATACCTCTCGTACTCTGCACAGATGTCCTGTTCCTGAACGAAAGAAATAACCCCCTGTCTTACAGGTGTTCTTGTTCTTGAACAGATGAGCTATTAGCTATTCCTGTACAGACCATATGGTCTTGTATAGACGGGCTATTAGCTATTCTTGTGCAGAAGTTGTCTGGCTGTGCAGAAAGCTTCTTTCTGTGCAGAAGACTTCTTCCTGTGCAAAAGGCTTCTTCCTTTTGGGAAGACCTCTTCCCGTGTAGACAATTCACCATCTCCCCATGTTGAATTTGTTTTCACGGATGAGGCATGCCTACACAGATGGTTCACAACATTCCTGCTCAGAGGTCGACTCCACAGACGATTCATGTACTGTGCTGAGACTGCCACTGAGGATTGCCAGTCCTTCTGGTAGAAAAATCTAGAACTTCTAGAAGTATCTAGCGCAACTTGAGATATCTGACTCTACTAGAGATATCTTGAGTTGCCATCTGATACTACATTTTAGCACCTCTTCATTTTATGTGATGCGTAGACTCGAGTGTCCCTCATATCCCCCATCTCATCCCCCATGTCTGTTGCATTGCCTTTCATTAACGCTGAATTCTCAACAGTGGCAGTCATTCCCACAGGATGAGTCGCTACATCAAGCTGCTACCTGCTGACTGGCGACAAGGCAAGAGCAAATAGGTAGTAAATAGATAGGATTCGTAGCTGACAAAAGCCATGTAATACTTGACTCAATAAACACCATCATTTATCGACTCAACTTTGACAGATTTTATCCGTGATTCGCTGTGACATCACATCAAGCAGGGCATTCCGTTGAACATTTCGGTGTTACCACCAAAGCAATGCCCCGCTTCATCGGCGTTAGCATTCCCCCCCATCATGGACTCTGAATCATGTTCCATCACAGTGTCTATTCTGTAGAATGATTTGGCGAGTCTCATCTCAGTATATTTGAGTTGGCGTGCATAACTTGGGAGGATGATCGACGACATACGCAGCTGCTATCGAGATGAGACGCTTGGTTTGATTCGTTATTGGGCAACTCTCTTCGAATTATCTGACAAAGTTATTCACAAGGTGTATTGGATGGACATGTTTGAGGTGGAAGCGGCTCGCACAGTATCATCGCTCTACCTGTTGCTAATCTCCGAGCAAAGTAATAATAAGTATCGAGACAATGTGCCATCACTTCATCCGGTGCTTCTAATTATCTACACATTCGGGTAGTCTCTCGTGAAAGAGACTGAAAAAAGGATTTATCATGGCGGCTCTAGTCGCTCCCAATTTGCCAAAGACCATGAGAGCAGCCATCGTCAATGAGGCGAGTATATACCCATCCCATGCATTTAACTCAGAGTACTGCTAACTCTCCATACCACCCAGTTTCACAAACCATATCAGATCCAAGACTCATATCCGCGACCTGAAGTCGTCGACGGTCATGATATTGTGATCCGCGTGGCGGCCGCTTCATTCTGCCACACCGATATAATGGTACTGGATGGACAATTTTCGAGATCGCCCAAGCAGCACGCCGGCTCCCACGAGCCCACTGGAACAATCGTCAGTCTGGGCGCAGACGCAGCTGCTCTTGGATTCAAGCTCGGTGACCGCATTGCCGCACTTGGATGGCGTGGTCTTTGCGGAGAGTGCGTCGACTGCAAGGGCCCAATCGAGAAGCGCTACTACTGTCGGTTTATGAAGGGATATGTTGGAACCACCCTGCCTGGGGCATTTTCAGACTTCACCGTCGTCGATGCTCGCTATGCGGTCGTTCTTCCGGATACAATGAGCTTTGTTACCACTGCTCCATTGACTTGTGCAGGAGCCACTGCGTGGAGAGCGGTTCAGTCCACAAAGGCGCAGCCGGGCGAATGGATCGGTATGGTTGGTAGCGGAGGTGGTTTGGGTAACTATTGTCTTGTATCAGCATGGCTTGAGGAGATGAACAACTGACAACTGCCATAACGGAAGCTATTGGGGATGACAAGATCAAGGCGACCGTCGTACTGTCAGACCACGACACGGCGTGTGATACCGCTTGCGCAATCACTCGACCTCATGGGACCATCATTCAGGTGGCTCAGCCTCAGCGAGTGTCGTTTCCCTTTCGCGCCATCATCTTCAAGGACCTGCATTTCGAAGGCTCGTTGGTGTCAGGTCAGAAAGAACTCGAAGACATGATCCATTTCGTGTTGAAGCACAAGATTCGTGTCAAGACCAACATTTACGAGGGTCTCGGCTCTGTCAATCTCGTGGTTGATGCTGCGCATTCGGGGAAAGTGAGCGGGAAGCTGGTGGTAGTCTTGGATCGCGCGGCTGTCGAAGCTGACAAGGCCAAAGATTGCTGGTAGGATTTGATGCTGGAGATCAACATTAATCGTTACTGGTCTCATTGAAGAAGAGAGGTGGAAAAAGCATGGAAAATTACTCGCAAAGACGGAACAGCTGTGCAGGTCATCTTGCGAAATCAGTATGCGTACCATCTATACTGTGTGAATTATTGGAGAGCACTGCTTCATCGTAGCCGTTGAGCACATGTTTGTGGAAGATATCTCGGCCGTCATACTCGTTGCTGAAACTGGCAATGTACAATCTCTCTATATTTGCGCATAGCAGAACAAGGACTGAGAATAGAAGCAATGGATAGGTAGAAGCTCAATGAGTGGCACTATGTATCAAGCATGTCGCCAAAATGCATGTATTCTGGCGTCCTACTCTTTCGCCTTCTTCGCTACTCGGATTATGGCTGAGGCTGAGGCTGTTGAGCTGCTGGAACTGATGCTCCAAGTACTCGTAGTGCTGAATTTGGGCTAGCGATTGTTTGCATGTGCTACCTACTTTCCTGATCTTCAAATTGCGAGTTTTCTCTGTTAACACTGCGTGCAATACAATCGAATTTATTATCACGGCCCGCGCGTGATTATTTACTTCACCTCACTCTACGCCAGCGATCACAGCTCAAGGTCTACCATTCGCATTAGATCACAGATCGGTTTCCATCGTTCACCTTTTCTTTGGAGCTGTGTGATCATTCAAAGCATTACGAATCTTCACTTGCCTCTCAACAAACTGCGCAGGAGTTAGTAAACTCTTCACCAAGGTCTGTCGAGATCCTCGAGTTCATCTACCTAGTTACATACCAATGCAAGGTAGATTGTGAATATTCCTGCTACTTCTGGAGTTGGTATTATCTCCTTCAGAGAGTAGTTGGTATTGTCGCGCGATACAACTTTCATCTCCTTTTTCTTTTTCCTCGCCTACTTCGACCACCTTGAATTATAGTGACGGCGATAGAACTTGATAGGGTAGATGTAGTAGATGTAGTAGATGTAGTAGATGTAGTAGATGTAGTAGATGTAGTAGATGTAATAGTAATAAATACTTTATTAAGCTAGGTTTACGAAGGCTAGTTAATGTGGATAAAGACAACAGCAAGATCATCCGAATATTCCAATCGACGAAATCGTCGACTCCTGCGACGGATATCGCAGGTCCTTCTTCCTCTTCCTCTTCCTCTTCTTCTCCTTCTTGCCCTTGGGCTGGTGCAGCAGCAGCAGGAGCAGCAGCAGCTGCGGTGGTGGTGGTGATGGCGGCGTCGGTGGTGGTGGTGGTGGTGGTGCCCATGAGGGCCTCGAAGCCCCTCTCCACCAGGACCTGCAATTGGGCGCGTGACAGCGTCCCAAGAGCCCCCGTCCCAACAAACCCGGGCAAACGCACGATTCCGCCTTGGAGGGCGGGACCTCGGCGGCCTCCTCTTCCTCCTCCTCGTCCTGTCTCAGTGTTAGTTTGTTGAACAATGAAACGAAGTGGAAAGAGATGGGAAGCAAGAGACATACCTCCACGGCCACCTCGGTCACGGTTCTGCCCTTGCTGGGCTTGTTCCTGCGCCGTTGGCGCCGACAACGCTCTGATGATCTCCTGGAGCTGGTCGATTACGGGCATTCTAATACGTAGATGTTAGTACCAGACTCTGTATGCCAAGCATGGACAGTGGGAAGATGGTGGTATGCTACTTACGTGATGAAATTGTTTTTTCTAAAAAAAAAAAAAAAAAAAAAAACAAATCCTTCTGGCAAGTTATTAGGGGTGAACATCGGTCGAGTGCGTGTTAAACTTACTCGGAGAGAGAGAGAGAGAGAGATTGTGCGCGCGCGCGTGTGTGTGTCTGCGTACGCGAAATAAGTATAACAACACGAGTATACCTATACCTCTATAGTTAGTAAATGATCTCTTGGTGATTGCAAAGAGGTTCTTGATGATCAAGATTGAATCAGGGGGCTGTTGAGACAGAAGATAGGGGACTCACTGATGTTGCCTATACAAGATGCAACTGGTAGAGAGGAGAGAGAAGAGAGAAGAGAACAACTGTTGGGACGGTGGCTGTAGTAAAAATGTAGTAGCTAATTCGAAGTGGAAAGGAGCAGGAGTTTGTGCCTGTCGTGGAAATTCAGGCCCAAGGCGGTCAAACAGCCGGCTGCCACTTGCCGTCTGGGAAGGTACGGAGACGCGCTGAAGTTTGTTCTTTGGGCTGTACCTGTAACTGTACTTATAGCCAACAAATTGAAGACTCTCCCAACTGAAATTATTTCATGGATGGACTAGGATACTTAAACTACCGACCCCAAAAGAAAGTCACAACATCTCGTCTCCATTGCCTTTATTTTCCCCAATTCGCATTTCTCATACTTGTCAAGTACAAAGCTGGACACTTGGGACAGCATCGTCAAGCCCAATTACAAACTGATATCCATGGACTTTTTCTGAATTTCATAGCATACCTAGGTAGCTCGAAGTACATGCATTTGGCGTTGCGCTGTGGTACAATCGGTGACGTACCGGTGCATGGGGCGCAATTGAATGCACCAATGGCGAAATTGCTGCCAGTGAAGAGGCACACCATTGGCCAGCTGTCAGCTGTCAAAAGAAAAAAAAAAAGTTTCAGGTTGTATTATTGTCTCCAGTGCTACCTACTGCCGTCTGGTGTGTTCTGTTCCTCGAACCCGATACCAATCATCATAGTCTGCTTACAAGGCAAAGGGAATTGTAATATTATTCCCAAATCGCCCTTGTATACGAAGCAATCATATACCATTTATCATCGTACTCAATTAAAAGCTGATGGAACTGCTGACATATAAATGGAGACGGAACAGAAAATAGAAGCAAAGTCCAGCGGACTTTAACCTTAAGTCTTCCTATTTGCACCGTAATATATTCCTATTTAAATTGTAGTAGTCCGTGTCCGTACTAAAATCAATGCGCACACACCACTAATCCCATCAATCTACACCCAATTACTGTGCAGCGCCCTGGTAAGTCACATACCTTGCAACACCACACAAGACTACATGCATTAATTGCAACTTCAATATCACGAAGCACGAAGTTCGATATCACGATAGATTCCTCGTAGGCGACGATGCCCTCGATCCGCCGCTATCACACGGCGCTGGCCTCGATGAGATTCGAGCCTTCTTCCCGTCAGAAGCCCCAGCGCCAACAGAGGCCCCCGAGACCGAGTCTGAGGCCAAGGAAATCACTGAAGTTATCCCGGCCACCCAACCCGGCGCTGAGAAGCCGGATGAACTAGCTGGGCCGTGAGAAATGTTTACAGATGCGTTTTTCTGAAGGAATTGGCACCGATTGATCGTTGATAGACGTGTGATTTTGTATGAAGATATTCGCTGCCAGTGTGTTATGCTGTAACTTGGTGTGTGGGTGTGGTAATTGTGATTTTGGGGTAAACGTAACTGGGAATGTGGAGTACTACGGTTCAGATAGGAATACGTCACGGTGCAAATAGGGAGACTCTTAACATTTGGTGGTTGATCTCAGTTCTGAGAGTTTGGGACAGGCAAAATTCCGTCGCTCCGGCTTGTCTCCCCAGACAGACATATCTGGCAGATTACATAGTAGTGTAACAAGTAAGATGAGATAATCACACATTACATACATCAGAGAACCATCGTGCAATGTAAATCTAACTACTTGATGATTATACCAAATCCGTATTGCAACCTAACCACCACGCCTAAGAACGTGGCGTAAATGGGATCGAAGAGGACACCAAATTGATCCAGCTGATAGGTGAATATACCGACCAAAACTTCGTCCGTATTTCGTCAATTACACCTTTTTAAATAAACACATATGCCGATGCCTCCGCCATTGCCAAAGACAGCGAGAAACGTAAAGGGTTAGGGGTCCCGCAGACTACATGTAATATGGCTGTCCAATAACGCTCAGCTCTCACTCTGGATTCACATGTTCAGCTATAACTGGACTGGGACGCTACATCTGAAATCTCCTGAATCTTTGTGCATGGATTGAAGGAGTTCGTCACATTGCTCGCCTCCTGGAAGAAAACTTGTCTTCTTCAACAACATCATCATTTCGTGTGAGTCCCCCCTTGTCCTTGCTCCCTGTTTTGACTTTCACTTGTGCCGGATATTCATCATCATCATCGACATCTACATATTTTCTAGCACTACTAAGCAGTTGACTGACAAGAAATAATATAGTCACGCTGTTGTCAAGTTTATTTTTACCTTGTGTCATCGTCACCACCACCACCATCATCACCATCACCATCATAAGGTAACCATATCCAATTTTAAGATGTAGAGCCTTCAACTAATAAAATAGAACCAGGATGTCGGACAACAACCAATCCCAGCAGCTGATGAGAAATTTGTTGGCGCCAACGGCGCGTCAGAGGGCCCGCCGAGGTCGTGGTCGTGGCCGTGGACAAGGTATTTCTCCTCATATTCCTTCCATACCAACAAGCTAACAATATAGTATTAGGCATTACTCAATTTCGTCGTTGGAGGGTCAGAATCTCAGGTTATGATGGTCTTGGAAGAGACGGCGCCCTTTCTCTCGGCGAGGCGCAAGGCTTCTTTTCGGCTGGCCTCAGGCACATACAGCGGCAGCAGCAGCAGCAACGCGAAGAAAATGCTTTGGAGCTTGCCCAAGCTCAAAATAAAGCTCAAGCCCAAGCGCTTGCCCAAAATCATGCGGAGGCATTAGCACAAGCCCTGGTGGTAGTGCAAGTACAAGCCCAAGCTCTGGCGCAAGCACGAGCACGAGCACAAGCATGGGAAGGAGAAGAAGAAGAAGAGGAAAAGGGAGAAGAAGTTGGAGAAGGACATCAAGAGTAAGGCACCAACTGGTGGCGGGGGGGTTTAAAAAAAGAGTCCAAGGACAATTGCCTCGTTAGATATCGTTCTCAAAATGTATCGTTTCACGTCCCGGTGACTGGCGTTTGTGCCATGTCCTCTCTCTTTCCCTGGTGCCCTGCCTCCCCTAATTCTCTGTACCATTCTTCTACATTCAGTGAGACGACAATTTTCTCGATGTTTTTGCACCGACAAAGACACCTACCACTCTCCCAAACATTCAGAATATAATACCAATAATCAAGCCCCAATATTCTCTCAAAGTCAACATTACGGACGTCGCTATTCACACCTTTGACCTTACCCAAGTCGTCATTACTCACTCCAGTCGAGACACATTTGTTACTTTACCAGTTCCTTCTATAATTTCGACCCCTCCAAAAAGCGACAACAACACTAAATACCTATCTTCTATTCGTCTGGACGAATGTCGCGCTTGTCTTCTTTGTTCTTGCTCGAGCGAGCACCATCACACAACACTATTGCAATGCCTTGAAAAGGATCCGTGTCTGTACTCGCTGAGTCGTTTGTGTGTTCACTTGAAGTTCAATTCTCGAGGGAGTATCAGCCATATTCGACAACTGGGTTTGTCTTGCAAGAAGTCTGCTTGTTGGGCGGCGCGACATTCTCCTCGTTTTTCGACTTCTCGAGCGGCCCTTCAAGATCTTTCACAAGTTTCACCATTATGACCAGCATAAGCCACTTATAGCATAATTGCCCTGCTCAAGATGTGTCCCTACTGTAATATCTTCACTATTACTATTTACTTCAGTCATTATCATGCCAGAGTTCCATACCTCTATTGTCTCATTCCATGTATCTTTAAATCAGAACCCATGTTATAACGCATCTGAAGATCTCTCAGCTTTATAGAATAAGTCGTAGACGAAAGGCGTTCGAGTCTGGTTCAAAAAGCGATTCGTTGAGCACCTGCTTAGAAGACTGTTCAATATTGCGTTTGTTGACGGTGTTTTCCAACTTATTGGCGTTCCGCAGCGCGGCACCAAGACGCAGAGTATTGATCAGGCACTATATTAACTACAGAACTAGAAAGTGCCATTCAAAGAAGAATGACGTACTCACATAATAGGTACCTGATACTATTGGAAAGAACAGTGGTAGATATAGTTTACAGACAAACTCTATTAACGAACATAGGTACTTGAAGCAACATCCTACAACGTTAGTTAGTCTAGTTCTTACAATAACAACCTCATACATTTATTCATCTACGCATTCATCATAACAGATGTCACAGACAGATGCGTATAAGATAAAGGGAATGTAAGGTGTCGTCCTTTTTCGGCCACGTTCCCTCGCGCAGCTCAAGCCCTCGCCAAGGAATATCTGTCCGCTTCTCATGTGCGCTTTTGTGTCGGCCGAGCCGGAAGCACAACGAAAAACATCAAACAGATTGTCATTAAGACTAGCCGAAAGAAGAAAAACGAGCTTTTTGTCAACCTTTTCGAAGAGATGAAGAGTGTGCGCACTATTATCTTTATCAACAGCCGTCAAGCTGCCGACACGCTAGACGACTTTTTATACAATATGAAGCTTCCGGTTACGTCTATGCACAGTGACCGCACCCAGATCGAGCGAGGGGCAGCTATGCGAGCTTTTCGCCGTGGTCAAGCCGTTATTCTGGTTGCCACTGGAGTTACAGCTGGCGGTATTGATGTGCGAAATGTTAATTGCCCAGTACCTCGAAAGCAATCCCGTCTACGGCGCAATTCCAACAACCTTCAAATTATCGTCTTTAAAACTATACTGCTTCACCGATAACTCAACATGCAGCTGAGATATATCACGGATCAAGTTCAAGATACTCTGCCCGATGTCCCCATGACATTCGTGAGATGCGAATCTCAGACAGATGTTCATGATCAGGCTCAAAATACACTGTCGGATGTCCCCATGACATTCGCGAGATGCGAATCTCAGAGAGATGTTCATGTGTTCATTCCAGAAGCGTTTGACTTAGACTTAGTCACTACTGTTTCCCAAGTAAGAATCCAGAGGCATATATACGGGGGAGGTGGCATTACTCTTAAGCTAACTCAAGGACCAGACTGTACTGCCGTGATCCGGTCTGACATCCGCGGACAGAAAATTTGGTTCCACAATCGTCCGAGCCGGCCCGTCACACGCCCTTCTCACCATTGCTGCCCAGCATACCAGCAGGAGGTCGAAGAGCAACATCAAACCCAATAACCGCAGCACCATATGGAGCAGCAGAGCTGGCTCCTGAAGATAGAGTATTAGCTATGTCAGCGACACTTTCTCGTGGTTTTTTTTTAAAGTTGTCATTTAAATTGTTCTACAACGGAACCAGTGAATGATGAAACACCAGCAGCTTCAGCTTCAGCCTCAACCTCATCCATTAGAACGATAGTGTTCTTCTGCTGGCCCATGGCTGGGGCTCGATAGAGGCGTCGATACTTTCTAGTATAATCGTGTAGGGAAGAAAAGAGTTACAGCCTCGCCTTGGACGTCTTCTTCCGTGTCTCTATCACCTGCGGGCTTGTCCTGTTGCAATACAGTGTGTTTGAGACATACAGACCAACTACCTCTATAAAGTACGCATACCAGAGTCGGATTCTGATTCAATAACATCAGATTCAGTGCTATCAATGGGAAATGGCAATAGGCATACGTGTATTAGTGGTGGTGGTGGTGACACCATTGAATCTAGATCTCAGCCTGAGTTTGGCACTGGGCCTGTGAGTCTGTCACTACTGCTGCGTCTGCTAGTGGGCCATGAGGGCTGGTCGGTCCCCTTCTCGAAAGATGGCATATTGGCGCCACGAGAGCGCGCCGTTTTCACATCTTCTGGCGAAACCTCGGATGTGAAAGCCTCGGCCACGGCCACTGATTCCTCTAATTGGTGGTCTGGCCCTGGGTCAGGGCTTGTGCCTGAGCCTGAAGCTGAGCTTGAAGCTGCTGCTGCTGCTGCTGGCGGTGCGAGAGCACGGGTAGTTACGGCTCCCTCCAACTGGTAACCTAAGTCTGAACTTTGGCCTGAGGACGCTTCCATCTATTGTCAAGATCTCGGACAGTTCATGTCAACACCTGGTTCCACACTTCAGACGCCGACTTTTCGTCAAGATCAACTTGAGCCTCTCCCTTTTTATCAGGGATATCGCCGGACGTGCAGAGGGCGGCGCGTTATCGCGGTAACAATACGAAAATCCCCCCCCTCCCCCCCAACGGAAGTAGATCGACCCTAGAGGACAACTAGCGGGAGCACGAGGTCCATGAGCAACGGCAACAACAACAGCTCCGAGTAGTCCAGCAATGTTTTGAGCAGTAGTTGCAGCGCCAGCAGCGTCTTTCCGAGGAACAAATGGGGCGTATACAGCACTACTATCATTGATGTGTGCCAGCATCCGCTTTCAGCAGCCCACAGGCTCTTTCAATAACATTACCTCCATTACCCAATCTCAATAGAAGGCCATGGTCTCCGAATCTCTCTCTCAGCACACACACCGAACTAATATACCCAACTGCGAGTTACACACCCACCCACTGCAGCAGCAGCGCGACTACAGCGACTCCGAATCGCCGCCAATGAAGCTTGAAGTTCGTGGTGGCCGAAGCGAGAACCGACCCGACAGTTGTCCTCTGGAGCTTCGCTAGCCTCGGCTGCGGCGCGCGCACGAGATGTCGCTAGAGTTTAGCCCGACTCGCAGTGGCCATGAGAACTCCATGAGACATACAAGGACGACTGAGGAAGAGAAGGGCGTTAATAACATCGTCCGCAACGCCCTGAGGCCGCACTGGCGGGCTCAGAAGTTGACGGGAGCGGCAGCAACAGTATAACAACTTGGGGCAACAGCTCATCTACTTCATCTACTTCATCTACTTCATCTACTTCATCTACTTCATCTACTTCATCTACTTCATCTACTTCATCTACTTCATCTACTTCGTCTACCTCCAGGGCACTATTTCTACTTGCATTTATTATTGTGATCTCGGAATATTCACGTCAGCACTTGATTATACACTACAGTCACCAAACTTTAGCCAATCCAAGATAATTTTCGGGTCAAGCGGAGCGTTTCTCTCTACGTCTTCATGTCATCTTCCAGAATAGCAAAAGGATCCTTTAGGGATGGCCTCCCCTAGACTACTTGATGCCTCGATGGAAGACGAAAAGAGCCTGAGGCGGTGCGAATCCTATCCAAAAGCACTGTAGGTTTCCCCATGAGATGAGTAGGATGTAATTAAATAGCTCTACGTTCTCTAACAGGTGCCAGGCGGGGAGCTGAAATTACAAGGCATTGCTAAGAACGACTAGCAGAAGAGAGATAAATCACCGTCAATGAGTCAGACATATGGATTTCTACGATCAAGAGTCGCAGCAGCAAAGCAACTTGATCGATCACAATCCAGCGGTATGGTTCGAGGCGGCCAAGGACGAGAACGGGGAAGGGGATGCGGAGGTGGAGGAAGAGAACAACAGAAGTCCGAGGTGGCGGGGGGAGGAAGAGGACAGGCATAAGGGTAGTCTGGGGCAGTAGATGTATGTTTCTTCATGTCCCTCTCGGCGTTTAACAAACCAACGCTTTTCAGATAGTTCAGGATGGGCGTGGCCATTGCCGTGGATGTGGCATTTGCCCCAGAAACCTCTTTGGGTGAGGCGGAAAGGCCCACTCGATGTCTCTCCACATCGGCAAGGATAACAGGTTAATGCCTGCACCGACACCAAGAACATTGAAGAACATACGAGGGCTCATCTGTGCCGCCAACTTGCTCAATATAGCAACCAAAATCCTCTCCACAAGCATTGTTCCGACAAAATTGCCTCTCGCACGAGGCGGAAATGGCGCACTCTCCTGGCGCCAATTTGCAACCTTTCGGGAAAGGGGTCAGCTAGCCCCATCATGGCCTTTGAGCGGTGATATTAGCAGCATCAGCAACGACACTAGCAGTCTCAGGTCCAAACCTAGGTAGCTCCAGGCTCAGATCACGAATTCGTTCTTTTCCAACGTTATCGGCTTGTTGAACTGTTCAAGGACATTTCCAAGGCGTATGAAGATGCACATGCACACCACCTCGCCAAAACATGTCCAGGGGGCATCAAGCCCATGTGGCGGCGATGGTGACAGACCAGTACCAACCTTTTGACTTCGTCAACTGGCGGCATTCTCGCATTCGTTCGTTGAAGTTTCTTTACGCAATGATGCTGCTTGACGGTGTTTTTGCGATGGCATCCGTACGAGCGACCGGCTTGTGTCGAGACTTTTGGGATTCTCTCAGAGATGGGCGGGAGTGCGCGAGGAACGTCTATTTATAAGGGTCAGTTGTGGGATTGATAAGACGATAAAAAAGAACATTGAACAAACCAGCGCATGTTCCTCTTCCATTTTCGCCACCACTGCTGCATTAGCTGAACATTCATCGATATCATGAAACGAAAACTTCAATGTCAAGGTGCGTACTAGGTAATACAACAGTGACACTACTGCATCCCCATGAACAAACAGTACTGCGTACAGTCACCAGGGCTTTTGGTTGCGTGAGCAACAGTGCGGTGTGCTTAGTAATCAAAGCTAGGTACCCGGCGGGTTGGCAAAGTTCAAAAAAACTTTGAAGACTGGCAATTGTGCCTTGAATCTCAACATATCTGGCTCGGTACTACGGAGTTATGAAGTCTGTTTTCTTTGCATCTTTGCATCAAGGGCTAGGAAGTGTTATCTAGCCCATTTCTACAAACATTGCCTTTTACACGCTGCTTCTTCGATCTTGTGTCTTTCTGTTATACTGTTCCACGTGGGTCATGCATCATAACTGGACGAGAAGGTGGGAGGAGTCTGGCCATACCACCCAATTTGCAATAATGAAACCTGGAAGATAATCCAAGCGAAGATCAATCTTCCAATCCTCTAGGATTACAGAGCGCTCTTACTGAAACAATCGCAGAAAGTGGCGAGGGTATGATGAGAATTCCCATGGCCCTCTACAGAGGCAATCAGTCGTAATACTAATGACGATGCAGTAGAGCCAGAACAGCTAGCAGCCCAAACGAATATGCGAGCTACCTTTGGATCACTATTTCCAACATCCCTGTTAAGGGTACAGCCTATGGGAGGTTCATTGCGATGTTGTTGGCGAGACGAGCGCTAATAAGACTAGAAGACATTGCGATGGACGAATAGTTCGAGGACGACAAGGAAGAGGAGACTGAGGCGGCTCTAGTATGCCCCTTCTATTGTTTCGCGCCATATTTACATTCTGCGAAACCACTCCGTTCTGCCATGGATCACAAAATCTGCTTCCTGTTGCTCGCTCTCCAGCCTTATACGATGTGGTCTTGGTGGCCCATTGTCTCATAACCATCTTCGACACGCGATGCGCGCGATGCGCGCGACTGAGAGGAGGACCATAGTCTCTGAGAAGCTCTCACAGAGGCGGCCCTAACGGCGACAAGGGCGCACGACAATTAATCAATAGCATCAAGAAGAGTCAAGGATGGATATGTGATGCTGACTGGTCAAATACTCCAGCCAGCTTAACTGAGCAGTTTAAGAAACAATCTCGAAAATTCACGGTTGAAAAGAAGGAGGCTAGCCAGAGAGCCAAGAGCCTACAAGAGCAGCTTGACAAGGCTAACACCGCCCTTTCTGTTACACAGAAACAAGCGGAGCAGTTCAACACGCGGAGGAGGCGGAGTTGCTGAGGGAAATCCATACTTTCCATCAAGAGCGCAAAGAGCTTCGTCAATAAGGACAGCAAACGCAACTCTCGGATGCACAGCCAGTCACTCAATAGTTACAATGTGCAGCATCCACGCCGTCAGAAGCTTTCTGGAGAAAAGAATGAGGCTAGTCAGCGAACCAAGAGCCTACAAGAGCAACTTGACAAAGCCAACAGCATCCTTGCCACAACACAGAAGCAAGCCGAGCAGTTCAACGAGGAGAGGGCGGAACTGGAGGAGAGAGCGGACCCGCTAGGCAAATCCATGCTTTCCAACAGCAGGTCGAGGAGTTGCGCCGACAAGGACAGCAAACACAGCCCTTGCTCGAACAGCCAGTTGCTCAGCAGCCACAATCTAGTGCATCTACATCGTCAGAAGATTGCTGGCGAAAGAGCGAGGCCAGTCAGTGGGCCAAGGGTCTATAGGAGCAGCTTTGCAAAGCCAACGGTGTCCTTACTGCCACGCAGAAGCAAGCCGGGCAGTTTAACAAGGAGATGGCGGAACTGCTGAAGCAAATCCATGCACTCCAACAGCAGGTCGAGGATGCCCGGTCTTGCTGGGAGTGGCGCCAACGGCGCAAATCTTGTTTGAGCAGCGCCTTGAAGTCCTTGTAGGCAGCACCACCGCGGTCAACACCACCACCGCGGTCAACACCACCACCGCGGTCAACACCACCACCGCTGCTGCTCTGCTGCTGCCACACCAGCCCCTACGCTGGCTAAGCCTATGGTTAAAGAAGAGGAATAAGAAGAATCCCAACAAGAAGAGGAGGAAAAGGAGGATGAAGAGGATGGGCCGGCGATATCAGTCGCCAATGGCGACTTCAAGTTGAATATCACCACCTAATGTTGCTGTCGCCTTTAAAATCCAAATTAAACGCGATCTGAAGAGTCTATTTTTATTTCTGGCATTCCTCGAATCAGCACGCCGACGAGATTGATCCTGGAAGGCTGACCAAGCAGCCAAGATGTGAGCACCGACTGTCACTGCTGCTTCAACTTCAATCTTATTCTGAAGAATATTCCTTTTGCTGGTGTAAATCGAATCATATTTGGTATTTGGAGACATCCCTTTGGATCAAACGTCTATTTGTACATAGAAAAGAGCTTTCGTAAAGCTCGCTTAGCAACTATTTATCACTCTGTCTACTCTGTCTACTCTGTCTACTCTGTCTACTCAGGTATCTAACAGTTCTACTCTCTTTCGTTTTTAAAGGAAGCTTCAGACTTCCGACTTCAGGATACGCACCCCACTAGTAATTGCAACGTAAAGCCAAAAATAGACGGATATTTCGAGGACGTAAAGATAATTACAATCATAATACTTTAATCACAAATCAGAGGTTTCTGGGTGAGAGATGGCCCGCGATTTGAATGCTACCATGCTATCTACTCGGTACCATAGTACCTGGAGGTAATGATTTATTATCGAAGCCGACAGCATCTACTACTTTGTCCGTGGTGAAATCAAGTACAGCGAGCAATAGAAAGACTTGGGTCCGAAAAGCAACCTGGAGGCAAATTTGAGTTAGGTGGGTAGGTAGGAACAGGAACTGACAAGAATTACCACTATCCCAGACTATGCTACAATCCATTCACCGTCGACAGACACCGCAATTTCACCTTGTTCTCTTGAGCAGGTGCAGGAGCAGGAGCAGCAGAGGTAGGTAGGTACCTACTACTAGGTAGGTACCTGTAGTAATAGTGGCAGTGGTGACGTACTGGGTGGCTGCATCCGCGCACACGACTACCTAGGTACCTTCTTACCTTGGTATCCTACATGTGCCTGGCACCTATAGAAACTGCCTCGAAGATTGACCGCCTTGCCAGATTTAAAGTTTAGGTACGAGGTACTACGCTTGGCAATGCCAGCCTACCTTAGTACCTCTACATGTACCTAAGCGAGTGGCCACTGCGTCAAGTTTAAGCGAGAGAAACAAACGGCGGCAGGAAGCACTGGAGACAACAACACAATTCTTTCTTTCAAAGATGGACCAAAACCTCGTCCTCCTTGTCCTACCACCAACCGGTGCTCCTTGCTCTCGAGGAGCACGTCGATGCTGGTCTCGCGGCCGAAGACATTTGTTTGGATCCCCTCCTTCCCCCCAGGTGGAAACAACCTCCCCACGCTGACCAGATTCAAGATCTGATTTCAACTTCGCCCAGTTGGTGACTGCCACTCTACATACCTTTACATCTTCATTCACTGATACTCCAAAACATAGATTTTACCAATTCTACGAAGTTGTTTTTGTGAGTTTATCCATTGTCCCTCAAAATACATGCCCTTTCACTAACTCAACGCAACAGAATCGCGATCATGTCTACCGTACGTTTTCTACTGTCGCCAATCGACCCTCATCCATCCACACTCTCTCCGTCTTCTAGTTTCAGTTAGATGCCAGCGTTTTCGAAGTGTCACTGACATATAAATAGAACGATAATCTCGTCAATGCCTTCCGCGATATGGTGGCGATAGTCCGGGAGATGAGAGGCGCGGGTGGTGGTGGCACTACCCAACAACCCACGTATGTCCACTGTCATTTTGATCACTGGAACAAAGCTGATGTTGTTGAATAGAATCTAGCGCTGGAGGTGTGGCCCGAGGAGGGCGAGGACGAGGCCGAGGTGGCCGACGGGGTATGTTTCTTCATGTCCCTTTCGGCGTTCAACACACTGACACGGTTGCAATAGGCTTTCGCCTCCGAGGATTTTACGGCCGGGGAGAGAATGGCGCCCTCTCTCGGGGCCGGCCGGCCCTCATGGCCCACGAGCAGCAGCAACAGCAGCACCGACAGCAACAGAATCAACAGCAACAGCCTCAGCCTCAGCCTCAGCCTCACACCCAGCCCCAGCTCCAGCAGCACAGCAGCAGCCTCAGACACAGGCCCAGGCCCAGGCCCAGGCCCAGACCACCAATTGGTGGTGATATTTTTCAAGTTGTTTTTAAAGTTGTGTTTTAAGTGGTTTGACAATGGAACTGTTGAATGATGAAATATGCCGAAAATGCCTACAGCCAACGTGAATAATCTCTACCCAGCGGCTGGCCCAGGTCTAGCGGGGGGAAGAGCTGGATATAAAAATAAACGGTGTTTATGTGTCGACCGAGGATTCTGTTAATTTGTTTGAGCAGAAATAAGTCTACTTCCATCTACTTCCATGTGGCTTCATATACTACTTCTACTTACATGTACTATGTCAATTTCTATGTATTTCTATCCACTGCTTTTACTGTCATCTACTATGTCTATTTCCATTCATTCAGTGTTACCAGTTTTTCACCACTGTAAGACATTTTACCGGTCAAGTTCAGCCTTCTTCTAGACTAGTAAAATGACACTTTACGGGGATTCTTTCTCTCCCCCAAACTACTTGTCACTTCTATGGAAAATGAAAAGAGCCTGAAACTGTGCAAATTTCGTCTCAAAGCACTCCGTTCTCCCGTCTCAATGGATCACTGCTCCCATCGGATGGATAGCGTAAGGTTACCAACTATCCGCCACAGATGCCAAGCAGCCGAGTTGAAATCCCAAGGCGCTATTACGATTGACTGACAGAAGAGGGACACATCACCGTCGACAAATGAGACATGCTTGTTGGTCCCTCTTGCGCTGAAGAACAAGTCAAGTTGACTGATGAGCCCACGACGGTATGATGACGCCCACTATGACAGAAGATCATCCCAGCGATGATACAATACTGCAAGTCAAAGACCAGAATAGGTGCTGATGAGTACATGTAGTCTTTGGAAGTTGTTTCAATCTACCTTCATGGCTCGCTGGACCTACAGCGCCGTCCACGGCCGCCTCGGTGGCTTTAAACTGTACAAGTATTGTCAGTTTTTGCGGTGAATGGCGAAAAGGAACAGAGTAAGTATTCATACTGTCTCCTCTAGTTTTTCCTCATCTTCAGTCTGGGACCGTTCCATGACCCCGGGGGGCCAAGCTGCCACGACTAGATTCTATTAGCTGTCTGTGTATTGTAATTGTGGGACATTGCTAAGGGCTTACAGTATACCTGGCCACATCTCAGTAAACTAACGACATTATATCAGGCATTGATCGCTTCCGTCGTTGGACTATCAGGGTCCCAGGTTACCATGGTCATGGAAGAAAAAGCACGGCACGCTGAAGAACTTGATCAAGCTGGTGTCCAGGCATTGGTTCGAAAAAGTTCGTAAGTTCGAAGTCCAACTCTTTCAACATCATCCAGAGGGCCTACTAGTTAATTTGGCATATGGGACAAGAGTCGGTCACGAAGAGTCAATGCATGTAGTGATGAAGTCCCCGAAACAAGCCACAGTCAATTCCTATTTTTTTTTTTAAAAAAAAAAACAAACCAACAAAACAAAGCAAAACCGCCACCACCACCAGAAGAAGGTTGCCTGAGGCCGAAGCCTCAATCGTCGCCGTCCACATCCATCTGCTCCTGGCCGGGGGGGGAGGGAGGGAGCTCCACCGCGGCGGCCTGTGCCTGGGTCTGAGCCAGGACTTGTTGCTGTTGTTGCTGCTGCTGCTGCGGGGGCTGCTGCTGCTGGGTCTGGGCCTGGCCCACGGCCAGGACTTGTTGTTGTTGTTGCTGCTGCGGTTGCTGCTGCTGCTGGGGAGGAGCCTGGGCCGGACCCAGGACTTGCTGTTGCTGTTGCTGCTGCTGATGCTGCTGCTGCTGGGCTTGGGCCTGAGCCTGCGCCTGCGCCTGAGCCTGGGCTTGGGCTTGATCTTGGTTTTGGGCCGGGGCCGGAGCCCGGGCCTGCTGGCGTCCGGCCAGCCACTGCTCTTGGGCTTGGAGGCCCTCAACCCCACGCCGACGCAGAAGCCGACGTTGGCTCCTGGAGAGGGAGCCGTCGGGAGCCCGCCCGCTGACACCACGCACTATGGCAAAATTGTTAGTTTGTAGACATCGAAAGGACTATGAAGAAACATACCACGACCACCTCGTACTCCTCCTCGGCCTCTTCCTCGGCCTCCTCCTCGTCCTTGGCCTCCTCGGCCCATTCCCCCAGAACCAGATTCTAATTCAACAGCATTAGCTTTGGTTCCAGTAATGAAAACGACAGTGGACATACGATGATTATTGGGGGTGGTGGCAGAGGCACCACCACGCCCCGCGCCGCCGGCGTTCTCCCGGACTGTCGCAACCATCTCCCGCAGGAGATTGACCATATTGTTGTTCTATTTATATGTTAGTGACACATCGAAACGCTGGCACCAAACTGGAACCAGAAGACAAAGGCTGATGAACGAGTGTCGGTGGATGAGTGTTGATGGATGAGGGTCGATTGAAGAGAATGGAAAACGTACTGCAGACATGATTGCGGTTCTGTTGCATTAAGTTAGTGAAAGTACATATATTTTGAGGGATAATGGGTAAACTTACGAAGAAGAAAATCGTAAAAATCGTCGAATCTATGTGGCAGAATGTTAGTAAAATGGACACACAAAGACGCAAGAATGATACGGCAAGGAGGTGAAAAGAGAGGAAGATCAAAAACAAAGAGGATAAAGATGATGAAAAGAAAGGCAGAGGAAGAGTTTGGGAATGCCAGGCTGTTGTTTCAGAGGAGGTAGGAATATTAAACTTACTTGTTTGCTCGAGAGAGAGGGAGATAGCAGAGTAGAAAACAACACGACTATATACACTATGGTTAGTAAATTGCCACGTGATGACGACAACGATGATGATGTTGATGCCAATGATCATGATGGTTTTGGCCTTGATGTTGACCAAGATCGTGAAGAAATGGGGGGGGGCTTACTGTAGATGATGATGTTGTTGAAGAGAAGATTTCCCCAAGAGGTGGGCAGCCGGGGGGGGTTTTTCAAGGCGTGCGCACCTAGGGCTCGCTGGTCATATGCAGTGGCTCCAATTACACCGCCACATTGCATCAGTTATTCAGTGAGGTGATATCAAAGTGAGTTGCAAGTCATATCAGGGCATTTAGCAGGGCCACGCGCCTCCGTATTTTTGATTCTCGTTGCAGTAACGTTGACGTATCACAATGTTCTATCGTGCATACATAATAGCCATCATTCTCTTAGCATCGACACAAATATCTTGTCTGTAACCGTAGAATTGGCTTGATGTCTCGCCAGTTGCTCGCTACAATATGGCATATCTTCAGGGGAGGTGGGCTGGCATAGTGCAACCAGCTGCGCCACTTTGCAACAGCTTAGATCTCTCTATAGGCAGTAAAGAAAGTAAACTGTGGCTCACTTCTACCTAAGTAAAAAAGCAATACAGATGCCCATAGTTTGTCATTATTTGCTAGTCACCCTGCCGACGCATAGCTGACTTGGATTTGAGGCTGTCTCCACATTTCAGATGCTACTCAGTTTCCAACAAGCACCCGCTCTCTCATCCTTGGGAGTAATCAGTAATTGCCAATCTCATGCGTTATATCTCAATTCTTGTGGCCCTCTGATGCGCTGAGATTCTGCTCGTGCATACAGTCTCAGGAGAAGTGTCGTTCAAAGTGGCACTGATGACTCATCGAGACGGGTAGCTGCCAAAAAGCCAATTGCATTTTGAGTCCGGCGCAGTGGGCCTGTTTTGGATCTACATACCCAATTCAGAGTAGTACTTCATCCTTGGCGTCAAAAAATCTTCTCTGGTGTTACACCAGGTGGAGTGGTACTTCCACACCAAGATTGAAATGTCTTTAGCGTCAAGCAAGTATGTACTCTAAAGTCCGGGGTATCGGCCTAGTCTCCGCATTGTCTTACTCCGTCGGCGCGGAAGGAGGGCCTTTGAAACCCAAGACGACGGGTTTGTCCTTTCCGTCTTGGTTCAAAGGACAAACCGCCGAAATAAATTGACACCGGCTGTGCTGAGTACCCATCTCTAGAGTGAAGCAATGAGGTGAAGGAATGCGCACTCGTGGGCACGTGGGCACGTCGTCTTCTTGAATAGGTATGTAAACGGCAAACAGAATATGTATCATGATGCAGCCTGGAAGCTAAATGCCTTGTGCAGTTTTCGCGTAGTATGCAGTCGGTAAATCCCAATGTTGATAACAGTCATGATGGAGCAAGACATCTTTGGCCGCGGCATATTTTTGCACACGGTACTTGGGTCAAAACCATGGGATGGCTCGGTCCAAGGAAAGGCCTTTGTGTCCGGTAAAGCTCCTCACACGGCAATATCCAGCTTGCGCTGGCTCGCCCGAGACAGTGCAATGACAGTCAACATGGCTGTCACCTTTGTCAAATAAGACTTTCGCATGAAAGGGCCTTAGACTCTAATTCGCGGCCATAGAATCTCACCCAGCGGGAGATACTACAACGTTGATTGCGACAAGACTAGGATGGATTATGTTAGCTGGCATCCCGATGGTATGAACCCAAGTCAGAATCGTTGCCTCTGGTACGACATTTACCTTGATTTTCGTGGGAGACGATGGCGCCCCATCTGCCGTAGCCAAAATTCTGATAAAAGTGCCCATGGTGTCGAATGGTCAATCTCCATGGATGGGAACTGCCTCTGCGAACCCTGATCTTGCTATCTCGCGGAAATAGGTGTCAAACGAGTTGGTCAAGCAAAGTGCTATATCCCCCACGCCCGCGACAATGACCATACCACATTTGACGGCGGTGTTGGTACCTATTGACTGGAGATGTTGTGCGATGTCAGCCTTGGCATAGGCATTGGTAGAATGAAGGTCTGAACATACATGCAGCTAGTGTGGAAGATTGGTTTCCAGCCTATGACGAGAGCGCGGTAAAGGGGGATGGTCTGCAGCTGGCCAAGATGGAAATCCGTGCACCAGCTCTACCGCCATGAAATTGCGCTGATAAAACGAGTAGCTCGTCCCTGCAAGCCAGCCCTAGAGGTTTGCAACCAGTCATTCAAAAGGCTTATGAGCATGCTCTGCAAGGCAGGAACTCGACAGAAAACGTCTGGCACTTTGTTGATGAGCATGCTGTGGTAGCTGTACTATGTGGACGCGGCTGCAGACGCGGACGCGGCTAGCAGTGCGACCCGGCTAGCAGTGCGACCCGGCTGCACTGGCTCTTGTGATCTCATCCATGCCAGGATGCGATGCATGCTGACTTAAGGCCATACAGCCAGCGAGGAGACATGTCGCCAGCTGGCAGCAAGCGAAGGGCCACTAGAGTCGGAAGAAAATAGCGAGCGGATAAATATAGGTCCCCTAACGCAGTTCTGCAACCTCTACCGATAAGAGGTTGGCCAGCTCTTGCTAAGGCACCAGACGAATAACTGGCACCTCTTCATATTGTTTCCGATCCGCAGCTGAAATTGAAGTGAAACTATGACGGGCAGTCGAATACGAGAGATTTAACGAGAGCTGGGATCTTACCAATTGAAGTAGTGTATTGGCAGGCGATTGCCTGCAGCATGGTAAAATAAGTCAAAATCAGTCAATTGTCTCTCACATCTCGTGCTGTTTTGCGTATGCACAGGAGAGAGTGTTTTTAACAATGGTCTTAGACTCTTCGGCAAGCATAGAGATATGAAGTCATCGCACTGGGTTCAGGAAGTCTTGTTATATCGACACATCCAAGATGTCCTTCAACTTTGTGCTACTTAGTGCGTATGGAAGGGATTGGATGGTATTATTGCTCCGTTTGGGTAGGTATCGATGCGATGTTATTTTTACTTCTATGACCCATCCACTTCGATGATATCTTGTCTTGCAGTCATGTAACTTACATGTACTCTCCGGTATCCATGTTTGAGTCAATGTCTCTATCTGATAAGCAACAATACAAGCAAGAGTCATGAGTCATTAAGACCAGGATATTTGGTCTATGAGCTGTCGGGAGGGGACTCAGCTGCCTTCGCATGCCCAAACACTCCAGTCCAATTGTAACATAATAGATTAGATCCCACCCTCCTGATAGATAGCCGGGAAAAAAAGTGAAGCGAAAACGAACGTGAATCAGATTACTTTTTGCTGCGCGTTTCATGTGTGCATTAGAGGCAAATGAGAATTCTCACCGACCAGTCTTTTCTTCCTTCAACACCATCATACCCAACGCAAGTTTGCCCGCTATTCTTTTGTGAAAGACTTTTTGCTAATCATTTTCTCTACAGTTACTTATTCCTGACGATATTTCTTTTTTGTCAGCTTTGTTAGTATTTCCTAGGTTGCTCTGTACGTGTGTTTGCTCTCTGACTTTGGGCTAGATACCACATTCGACAATCTGGTGCGCCTCCGGGCCTTTCTTTTCTTCACGTATGTACTGCTTCTGGCATCCCAAGGTGTCTAATAGACATTCTAACCCAGAACAGGAAAATTCTGTCATCTTTTCGGGTCTTTGGGCCGTTTTTTTGTTGGTTTCCCCCTTTGGTTGTCTTGCCCTTGTCTATTCTAACAGTGAAGCAGAAACACTTCGTCATTGTCGTGGCCTTTGTGCCCTTTTTTTCTCTCCCGCGGTATGTACTAACTCGTCGCTGACCATTTGCACTTTTTGACATCATATTAACTAAATATTAATGGAATAGATGTCGAATACCAATGGTTACGTAGACCAAATGGTCCGCGTCATTCAAACGGCTTCACAGGCCGTGACTGGAGGATCCTTCGGCGGTGCTGGTGATGGAGATGATAGAGGAGATGGCTCGCGTGGCGGTACGTTCACATATCGACGGTGATTCTCAAGATGGACTGACTTTACTAACACATTTCACAGGGCGTATTGGTGGATGTGGAGGTGGTGGTGGTAAGCCCAACGCTCTTTTTAGCTGCAGCATCGAAGCTAACCCCAGCAATAGGCCAGATCACCATGCTGTCGTCTCTCTCCCGGAGACAGAAGAAAATTTTGTTGCAGGCCGTCGCCCGAGCTGGGGTTGGGGGGCTTTTCGCCGCCGCCAGCGCCCGAGACAAGCAGCAGCAGCAGCAGACGCAGCAGCAGATGCAGCAGACGCAGCAGCAGATGCAGCAGCAGCAGCAAATCCAGCAGCAGAGGCTGCAGATTCAACGGCAGCAGGAGGAGATCCACCAGCTGCAGGCCCAGCTGATCCAGCAGCAGCAGCAGCAGATACAGATGCAGAGGCGGCTCATCCAAGAGAGGCAGCAGTTGGGTGGGGGAGGTGAAGAAGAAGAGGACGAAGAGGAAGAAGAAGTGTCGGGAGCCTCCGAGAGGCGTAAAGACTGGTAGTTTGGCGGTTTGTTTTGTTGTTGTTGTTGTTGTTTGCGATGAATGAATGAGTGGTTGGTCTCTTCTCGCACTTTACTTGTTTCCTTCCCATCATTGGATCCTTTGTGATTTCTGTGAACTATATGTAAGCTGCCTCTTTTACTCGCGGCTCCTAAATGTTAAGATAAACTACAACATTTTTGGGCAAAGTGTATGTTTACTGTGCACCAGCGTTCTTGGCGAACATATTGGATGAGAGACAATTCCAACAACACTACAGGTACCTAGTAGTGACTATGACCCTGTTGACAAATGGCCATGTACATGTGTTTCGCGGCGCCTAATGTAGAATTCGCATTGATGCGCTCGAGAGATGGATACCTGCCTACCTGAGACGGTAGAATTATTGACATGTATCTAGTATGCCAACTCTCTTCGCTCGGTGATAGCGCCGGTTTCTGGCTATCGGACACATGGAAGTGAAATGAGTTCTGACAATCGACGGTCCATGATTTCACCCACAAAGCAACATAGAAAGCCGGAATTACATCGCTGGAGGTTCTAGTTTTCACCCTTCATGTCATTTTCCTGTCCCAAAAAAATTGATCAGCACATGTACAAGGGAGCCATTTAGGGGACTTTGTGAAGAGGAGCAGACATGATCCAGCTACTGATTGGTGTAGTAATGAGTTCTTCATCATTATATTGAGAGGTTGGGATATATTTGGCTATTTACTAGGGCCTATCACGCCATATGCATTAATGTCCTCGCCCAAAAGCCTGTACTCGTATTGAGACTTGTGGAAGTCAGTGCTTTATTTACACCTAGCACTGAAGAAGCAGTCTTCAACCATCTCATAGGATCGCGCTTCTTACGAGGATTCATCCCGCTCCCTTCTTTTTTCTATCCCAGCCAGTCCCATCCTTCGATATAACAGTTGCGCCTCACTTATGGTCAAGATACAACCAGGACCACATCCAGCAATCCAATAATCATCAGAGCCAACGCGTAATCGAAACAGATTGCCACTACCAACTTGAACAAAACGGTCAGCGTTCGTATCAAAAGAGCGACAGTCGAAAAGAAGTTGGGAAGCGAGGCGACATCGACTACGGATGAGGGCGACGAAGACGACTGGCGCGGCACCCATCTGGACCATGACTGCTTGACGGGGCTCAGATCTGCCATGTTCATCGACGAGAAGGAGGTTAACCCGGCGGTGCCGACCGTAGACTTGACAAGCCTCCACAGCGCCTCCCTGCCTCTGCTGGAAGAGCTCCCTGCCTCACCTGACGCTGCGGCCGGTCATTGCATCAAGTCTCACGCGGGTGAGACAGTGCAGGTCAAGACCCCGGTGACTGCATATTGTTTCGAACGGACGAGGTTTTGGAATGTATCTCGGCTAGCAAGTTCAATGCGGTGCCTCGCCTTATGAGGGGAGTGAGGGCCAGTGTGATAAGCGATGGGGGTAGCGAAAAACACGCCGGTCGTGTTTACGCAGCCCAACATGCCTCCGTAGTGAATATTGACCCTGGTGGCAGAATGTTGACAAGCTTGGCGGTTCTTTTAGCCTTGGTATCGAAGTTGTGTGTGAAGCTTCTGTTTAGTCGCAGCGATTTGGAGTTAGCACGCGCTATTTGAAAAGAATTCATCACGCAACAGAAAGTAGAGAGAACTTACGGAGATGGACCACCCATTCACGTCGTGCTTCCTCGCTGCCAGGCATTTTGACTTTGCAAAACCAGTTGTCAGCATGCATCAAGCCGGGGATAGAAGATCTCACATGGTGTTAATGAAGATACAATTGTGATTTGAGGCGGTATTGAGCCGATTGAAAACGTTCAGGCTAATCTGTAATATAGTGCGAGATGAAAATGATTTGGAAAAAAAAGTCCACGGGTGGCATCCCGCTTAGTAAGGCAGTGTTAACTATTCTACCTGCCCCCAATTCATTTCAAGATTTCTTCTGGGCATACTACTACCTTGGGCACCTCGCCATTCTCTCTGCACTGAGATTGCACATCGGATAGCAGGAATAGGTATGGACGGTCTGAATCACTCTTTTCTATCATCAACATAACAGTTTGAGGGCGTACCACAATCATGACTGCGCCGATACTTGTCGACTTACCCGGTACTCAATGAGCACGTCCTAGCCAGAAAGCAGAAGAGGCAGCAAGCAGAAAAATTTGCGGTGGCGGTGTGGGAAAGAGAGTCGCTTGATTGCTTCTCCTTTTGTCTGCGTTCGGAAATATGGGAGGAAGAATCCGATTCGAGAGTGTTGATCCGTCTTTCACTGTCTGAATTTGCGCCGGGCAAACTCTCGGTGTCGTCAAGTGCGAGGAGCTCGAGCAATACTTGGCAATCAATTATCTGGGTGTTGAAAAGAAGAAAAAAGCCCGGTGTAGGTAGAGCTTTTGGCGAGGAGAAGGAAGAGAAATATTTACTCAACGATTTCTCGTCTTCGTTCCTTCCAAAGCGATGTCCGAGTAGCAGGCGCGCTGCTCTGTTGTTACAGTCCTCAGCAATGCTCCTGAACCAAACTCATGTTGGTTAATCGCTGTCACCCATTCAATCTGCTTGATATTCGGACAAACGAGCTAACCGTGGTCCAACAGATCGAGCACACCACCGCGACCGACATCGAATGAGATGAGCCTTTTTAGCTTACAACCCCCGACCAATGTGGTTAGGCTCAAGCGAACAAAGTTGACTCCAATCCAGACGTCTCTCCCTACATGTACCAACTAGGTAGGTAGGCTTGCTACCTAGGCCGAGAGAGATCGCGCCGTTGGAATTAGCGGCCACATGTACTCATTGTGCTTAATTGAGACATGGTCTCGCCTCGCGCCAACAGCTGAGGTCGTCGATCCAACGGAACGGCCCGTGGCGCAAAGTGTCAAGTCAACACCACTACAGAATTCTAACTTCTGGCAATGAGAAGAAACTACCTTGGAGTTACGCACAAGTTCAGATGGTTTTAGGCAGACAGACAAATGCTGCCACCCTGTTATTCCTCAGACATGATTGCTTGTGCGTAAATTGTGACAATTGATGTTGAATTTGCAAAGAAGAATGCTCCCACAGACTTGCAACGTAAGCCATGTCTACACGCATCTCTACACACATCTCTCTCTGCCATCAGTAAATCTCTGTCTCATCAACGATGATTCGGTTTATTGATCTGGCTTTTTTGTCAATTGCAGTGCTGCTGAGATTAGCGCCGACCTCGGCATTAGGCGATGGCTGTTTGGAAGATTGATCGCGCGTTGGGAAAGCGAATTGAAGCCCTATCAGAGCAGTAAGAACCTGTTTCCTCGTAATCAAGAAGCGGCACTGTCGCTCATTTTGGCGCTCATTTTGGCGCTCCATTTGGCGCTCCATTTGGCGCCTCTCGATCGAGATCCCTCGTCATTTTGCATCGACCGGCATATGAGAGCTTAGCTGTGGTTGAAATGAGAAAGACTTGGTCCATTGACTTTGGATAGCAACCCAAATGATATTCCAAACTCTTCTAATGGCACATGCGTAGCAAAGCCCTGGAGTCGGGATGCCCAGTTCACCTTCAACAACGATTATACGCGCTCTCCATCTGCGCAATTTAGCACCTTTTTTGACCACACTTACCTCTCCGCTGCGGGATGGAGATGGCGTTTTACATGCTAGTTATAGCTATTCTTACATTCGCAGCTTTTGCTGATCTTCCCCATCATCAGACAGATGGAACGCCGTACGAGGGAATTATCACAGGTCCAATTTACAGGCATATACTCCGCACCTGCCCCCCGTCTCAATACATGTAACATTTGATCCAAGGTTTACCGAGTACCTGGTGTACGGATGCATATCCCCGCCACCTTATCAGGCGGAGGTAGGAGCATTCCCAGGCGAACTTAAGCAGCAGGACGGCATCTACAGATGTAGTTCAGGTCATGATGGTCCACGGGTAGTACAGCTACCGAGGTAGTACCTCTATGGTCGCCTGTAGCGGAGCCTCTAGCACAGCCTGTAGTGGGTGTCGGCTACCTGCCTAGTACCTGCACTAAAGGTAGAATGCCCACCATAAAAGCGCGGTACCTGCATGAACCAACTTTTTAGTGCCGGCGGCCCACCCCGCCATGGCGACTGAGTGGCTGCTTGTCAAAATTTTGACAGGGAAGATGCAGATCCGGGATGAGACTAAACGTGTGTCGTGCAAGGCCATGCAATGCAAGGGGCAAACGGTAAACTGCCCATATTGGATGGAACAATTTGTAGCACAACCAATATGTGTAATTGCATGAAAATTACACATATTTCCGCCGGAAAAGGCCAGTTTTTGGCCCTCCGGTCGCAGCCCCGATGCTCAAAGCACATTGGCAATCCTGGGAGGCAATCTGCAGGCAATCAGTAACATCTGAAAGACGCGACGCGCTCTTCGCTGTGACGTCTTTTGGGTTAGTCCGCCAGTACGTACCTGGACACGAGATCCCATTTAGGACTAGATGGACGGACCCCTGATAAAACGTAGATACCTTCTTCTTTACTTGGGTCGTAGTTTTCTCGTGGAGGTTTTTCCTCATTTTCACAGCACCAAGTATGATTCAGGGACTATGCAAGTCGGAAGCTTCTTCTTGATGAAACTGGGCAAAATTTCGTGTAGCGTTCGACCCGTTTGAATGCCAGTAGGTCAGACGGCGTCGAAGTTTGTAAAATCATCTGGAATAGAACACTGTAATAGCATCAGTCAATGCCTTTATATCATGCGGGAACAGAACGATAAAGACGTACGTTAATCCCATTTGGGAACGATTTGGTAATTGATTGACCCGTCAGTGGGCGTGCAACTCTTGAAATCGAAGTGTCGTGAGCGCGTCTCTTCCTCTTCTCTTTTCGACATCACAGAAAGTTTTGCGTCTCGCATTCGACAATCCCGTTCACATCACCACTTTCTGTTTCTGCTCCAGTCATCTGGAGCCCTTATATGATCTTTGTACCCACCTTACCCTTTTTTCTCCTCCCTCTCTCACTATTTCGAGATGCCTCGTCAGACCAAAGGACAGACTCAACTCCCGGGCCAGAAGCGGATTTCCGACTTCTTCGGGAAGGCCGACGATAAGCCAGCAGACACTCCATCGGGAGTGAAAAGGGCCATCGTCGATGAGCCGGCCGAACCAAACAAGAAGCAGATGACAATGTCCTGCTCTGACACTGGTGAAGGCTTGGCTTCTGTCAACGAGTATCTCTTCGCCCCCTCCCCTCCCAGTCCGTCCTATGAGACGAAGACAAAAACACGTCTGCCCAAGGAGGCATTGACAAGTCCGTCCGATGAGACGAAGACAAATGCACGTCTGCCCAAGGAGGCATTGACAAGTCCGTCTAAAAAGGCGATGACAAATACACGTCTGCCCAAGGAGGCATTGACAAGTCCGTCTAAAAAGGCGATGACAACTCTGGAGTCTTTCAGAGTCATTCCCAGCTCTCAAGACGAGCAGGATGATGAAGAGATGTCTTTTGAGACATCCACTGACGGGACACTTGTTAGTCCCATGTCTGCTGAAAAGTCCTCTACCGGCGAGCAAGACTCCAGCAGTACTTCCATGGTGACCGAGCATCATGGAGATGATTCTGATGAGGAGGTCACTGACGAAAATGTCGGCAATGCCCTCATCGATGATGATGAATATATCCCCTTTGAGGGTGAAGAAGAAGAAGATGAAGATAGTGGCATTGCAGCACTTGTAAATGCTACTGAAAGTGATCCTGTTGCGCAAAGCAACAATGAAACGACGTGGGACATATTTGAGCCACGTAACTGGAAACCCACCATTAAATCTGCAGATACCAATGCAGAACAATGGGTGAAGCAGTATGATGAGTCTCATCTTGTTGACAAGAATGACGAGGACCTCCAGAGATTCGATGTCAAATTCTCCCGCTTCATTGAACGTATGACTCAGTGGGCGGATGAGAGTGCAGAAGCGGGTTGGTACAAGCTCCCCAGAGGAGACAGAGAAATGACGTTGGGTTTCCATTCTCTGTTCCGACGGGCTGCAGCCAACCCTGCTGCTTTGATTCGGATTTGCCTTGACGGTATGCCGCGCAAGGTGAGACAGGTCCTTGGTAAAGAAGATCTATCTGAAATAGACTTCTTGGACCTCCCTGCTATACCGTCGGTGTGCAAGCACCGACTGGTGTATGTGGACGTGGCTACTCGCCTCCACCAGGAGCAAATCAAGAGAGAGGTGAGAAATCGTGGCGATGGCCACAAGCCCTTCAAAACTCCCATGCCTGCATGTGACTTGAAGGAAGCACTTGAAGCCAAACTATATGTTGGCTCAAGTGTGAATAAGCTGGGTTCGTACAATCGGATCCGAGAGCATGAGGCCATCGCCAACGGCCATTTCAAGGCTGGAATGAATATGCACTACAAAGAAACGTCAAAACCTGACGTCCTGTGCAACTTCCGACTGATTGGCGCTTGGCAAAACCCTTATGCCGACAAAAGCTATGACGGACAAGATCCGACCCGATGGATCGCCCCAATGGTTGAGGGGCTGATGATGGCGTATCTTGGCCTCTATACAGAGAAGAACAAGAGCTATGTTTTGCCCCAGCTCTTTCCGGCAAGTTCCTATCGACTGGTAAACCGTGCCAGAAACGGGCTTGCGCTTCCCGACTTCTCGGATGGCAGCTTGAACAGAGCTTGGTCAATCTGTCAGGGAACCTCCGGCAGTGCAAAGCTTGTGCAGCTCTGTGCAAACCCAGAATGCCGGCGCCCACGAGCTCTGTCAGAAACCACTCTCGTTGGCACCAAGCCAACAATATTCTTCGGTTCCATCAGCACTGAAGACCTCACGGCACCCTACTATTGCAGAGGGTGCTGTCTTTATTATCATACCTATGGAACCATGAGAGTCAGAGAAGGCCTTACAACTGGCAGATGGCGCCATGAAAGTGACTTCGACGTGATCAATCGGGCATGGCTTGGGGATGGCCATGATCGCAAATGTCAAAATGCAGGGTGCAGAGTGCGTATCCACTCTGCTGCTAACTTGTATGGCATCGAAAATGGCATCAAATGTTTGCGGTGCCACAGCTTCGCCCTGCTGCACCATGAAGACTATGCGCCGGTGCGCCAGGAAGACGAGCAAACTGGTGATTGCCAAGTCTGCCAGAAACAAGATGTGCGCATATTCTCTTGGGATAAGATCGATTTGCGCAATGACCCCAACCTGCCCACTGAATTGTGCGGCAGTTGTTATATCACTCGGTGTTCGTTCCTTCAAGATGAAGTTCCAGCCAACTCTAAGCCAAAAACAGTGGCAAGCTGTGGAAACGTTGCTTGTTGGGACATGACTCGAAGACAGAAGGCCGACAGATCTTCGGCGACTTTCATCGAGAACATCGAAGACCACATTTGGCGCTGCGCTCGTTGTAATTACTGCCATCAAATTGGCATCGAGAAGCCCAGCAAGCAGCTGCAGAATTTGCCGAAGCCACCTATTGGCCCAGTCGCCAGCCATAGGTTCAACGCCACAAAGTGTGTCGACTGTGAACGATACAGCTCCTATACTGAGTGGGAGAAGGTCGATGGCGGTTATCGGTGTGGTGGTTGCGCCGGCCTCAAGTGTTCGGACTGTAACGGCGACCCGGCCATCTACCCCGTTCGAGTGCGAAGTGACGGCCAAGCTCGTTGCTTTCGTTGCCACGAGGACCATCGACACGGATGTAAAGGCGTGAGAGAGGTCGTCAAGCAGAGAATCTCCGCGACCCGGACATGCTGCAATGTACACTGCAACATCACGGGAAGCGACGAGCACCAGTGGTTTTATAACCCTGCTGACAAAACTCAGTTCCGCTGCCGGCGATGCAATCAGTTTTTCAAGAAACACGGCAAAGATTGGTGCCCGGATGCCAAGTGTTACAACAACGATTGTACGGAGAGTGGCAGCGATATGAAGTGGTACACCGGTCCGGATGGTAATGTCCGATGCAGGCCATGCCAGACAACCTTCGTCATGACGGGAGCAGAGCGGCCTCTCAATGGAAGGTGTTACAACTTCAATATCTGCGGCCGTGACCACACCAACTTTTCCGGCGGGTTTACCTGCGACGGCAAAGGCGATGGTAACGTGAGGTGCAGCGAGTGCCATCGATTTTGGGTGGACAAGGGTCGGCAGTTCGAAAGGGACCCCAATCTCCCTCGCTTGACGAAAGCAGAGATCGAAGCCAGGTTCTGCAGCAGACCAGGGTGCAATGCAAGGAGCAGCATCCAGTTTTTCCGTTGGAAGGAGTACGTGCCCGACGGATGGCTCTGCAAACGCTGCTTCAAGATAGAAAAGGCTGCGCAACAGCAAGCGAATCGCGCCGCGCATGCGGCACGAATGGCGGCTGCCACAGCAACGGCTGCCAGTCAACAACAAGACCCCAGAGATCCGGACGCGTTTGACGGGCCGGCAACAGACCACGACGCGGCGTGATGAGAAAAGAGAGGACTCCCTCAATCTTTTGGGAGGTGTACTAATTCTTGAACTGGTCAGTGCTCATTCTTTTGGATTTGCATTGTTTGATGTTCGTTTTAGTACAGCTTCCAAGAGATTGAGAAGACGGAGCGCCATTTGATGGTAGTTGACGACTTACAACGCCACTACAGCACTTCTGTAGTGAAGACGAGATAAGTATCCTTACTCCCTGACGTGTTACTCATGATACAGGTGAGCCTGCGAAGCCTTGGCCGAGTGGTCGGGGTGGAGGCGCCGGCAATTGATCCATTGATCTTGCCGGTCCCGGGGCGACGACTGGCACCTCTTCGTGGTGTCCCGGATTAGTAACCGTGGCTCTCTTGTGGGAGTTATGGTGAAGCTAAGACCAGTCAATTGAGGGTTGAGCGGCAATTATGAATGTTGGAATGATGAGCTGTTTCTAGACTCCCGTCAGCGGTTCGAAGCGCAATCCCAAGCAATCGAGGCAGGTCGAAGAAGTCGAAGAAGTCGAAGAAGTCGAAGAAGTCGAAGAAGTCGAAGAAGAAGCAGTAAGAGCAGTCACAGAGGTCGAAGCAGGCGGGATACAAGGAAGAAGCCTAGCGGACTCTAGCCGGTATGAGATCAGTACCGATATTTTGCATGGAAGGAGAATAGGAACGAGAAACTAACCGGAACAGACAGCGAAGCTGATCAGGTCAACTGCCGCGAAAAAAAGAAACTCGCCATGTTGGAACACTTATAAGAGAGCGAGTCGAAAAGAGGGCGAGGCCAGTCAAAGCAAGCTTTAGTGGTAATGGAGTCTCTGTGGAATGTGAAATGAAACAGGGTGAAACCAGCGGAGTGAGATGAGGGGAAGATGAGTTGTATGAATGTCGACGAAGCTCAAAATGGATCGATCAATGGAATAATTTGCCGGTTGCCACTCATTGAGCAAATGTTTCCGACCGGAAATATAATTGTTGATTGAAAGTGGAGACACACAATAACAAACGCGGTGAAGGGGATGAACATGTGAAGGGCCACATGTAATTAGCCAGTCGAACCATATGGTCCACTTGTGTCGTTTGTAATCTGTCTCAGTGGTCACCGGCGTAAAGGAAGTCAATGGGACTACAAGACACGGGTTGAAGTAGTTTATACATCATTGTTCATACTCTCTATAAAGGAAGCACCAAAACGAAGAAGTATGGTGAGAAAAGCTGTGAGGTTAGTTGTACTCATACGGAGTATAGAATCCACAGATCTACCTAGTATGGATCTCAAATATCTCCGTTTGGATGGGTAAGTGCATGGAGAACCCCTGCACGATGGGGTCGCTAAGCCGTGATTAAATTAGCTCGGTGCCAATCCCATCCACAGCAGATCTCTGTACTACATATGTACTAAGGTACTGCTCGAGAGTCTTTACCGTCACCCAGCGGTAGAGTTCGTTCCACCATACCCCAGATAAACCTGGCCTTTTCTTCTATGATCATATTTATCATCAACTTTCTTTCCAAGATTGAGCTGATACCTTCGAATGCTTCGTTGAAGCAGACTTCTCCCTCTTCTTACCAATTTTTGTTTTCTTTTGTTTCCCTTTGCGAAAGCTTCAAGTTACTACTTCACGTCCACACAGTAGCCGCAACAGCCACCACCGCCATCACCGTCAAGCAGTACATCAACCTTAAACTAAAGGGCATGATACCAAGAGCCGAAAAGCGTTTCGACCAAGAGAACAAGATGGGGGGTGGGGAAACTACAGATGTTGACGAGGACCATGTTGAGCCAGAAAAAAGAAGAGGCTGGAAACGAAGATTTACGCCTGTCTGCTGGGGTTCTTTGACTTTAAAAACATATACAAAATTGAGACCAAAGGGAAGCGAAAGTGCAATTGACCGGAATACATCTTTTGGGACTGATCTCGATGCTAAGCTGCAGCAGGTAATATTCCGGCCTGTCTGTTCAGAGAGAGAAAACATGAACCTTACTCGACTTGGCAGCCGCACCAGCATCGACGCTCCGACCACACAGTCTTACGAAGGCGGGGATTGTTTCAGTTCCTCTACAGACAATCCAACATCTCTCGTGACCCTGTGAGCCTTTTCTTCATTGCAGACGATCCTTTTGCATTACATTCGCAGTGTCATGACTGGATAGAAAGCAACTCTTTGCAAAATTACTTGTTAGGAACCTAGATGGTAGCGAACAGCCGATGACTTCAATTGAGAACGTTCTCTCTGTCAACTCTCAATTCGAGTATGTTACTTTCCATGAACTCCGTATGAAATCTGACACCTGATTGTCCAAGAAGTTCACTGCTTAATTTGCGCTGCGATGGCCGGCTTAGCAATACGTCGATCAAGAAGCTTAACATTGAGCATCGAGCCAATATCGAGGCTTCGACTACCTACCCTTATGACTGAATGAATGGCTCCAATACCGTGCAAGAACTGCCACAAGGGTCATGGCCGGGGCTCCACGCGTTGTGTATGGCGGCTAGATGTGCGGAGGCTGTGCAAGCTGCGAGAGTAACAGTGAGGGCATTTTATCCAGCCCATACAACCAGGTATGGAAGTCCGAAGCGCTGAAGTCTTGAGCATGGAGAGAAAGTAGTCGATATCTCCCATACTCTTCTACCACTTCTTTCAATCCTGACGCTATAAGCTGATAGAGATCATGTTCAACAAACATAGTTAGATGTGGAAAACTCATAGCCGTTGAGGTTGTGATCGTGGGCACGTGGAAGCTGGTTTTTGCCGCCTCTTCCGTCGCCCTTCTCCGCATAACCTCTCCTAGAGTCGACACGGTAGGGAGCTTCACAACGAATACGCGAGATAGGAGTGATGGCTACTTTAGTCAAACTCTACCGAAAACACAAAGCTATCAAGACTCACGACCGCCAAGACCACCTCGACCACAGACACCACGACCTCCGCGGCCTCTCTGAATCCACCCTTCTGGTCTTGGTCACGTCGCTTCTTCCAGTCATCCTGATATCCAGACGCACCGCTGCGGGTGGTTCTCTTGCCAAAGTCCCTGCCCTCGTAAACCTTCTTCTGCGATGGTCCGTTTGGCGCCAGCTTTCCCTGCTCGATCAGGTCGATCTTCTCCTCGCAGTAGCTGTGCTTGGACATGATCTTCAGGTCGTGCTCCTGCAACTTGGGAGCAGGGTCCAGATCAATGAGGTGATGGAGAGGGCTACGTTCAGCACCTCTTTTATCAAAATTCCTGATGTCGACCAGAGTTCACGCAACAAATGCAACTTTTATGTCAAAGGAAGATATTTCAGAGGTTGTGGACAGAAAGAAGCTAATGTTAGACTTAGCCAAAACTCCTGTTCCGATCGTTTCCTCAAGACACAAACATTTCTGCCACCATCTCCACGGCAATGAATTCTCGAACTTAGGCTCCGCACGGTTGCGCGAGATGAAGCGCAAAATAAAGAACAGAATAATACAGAGTCGGAGGGCTGATATGACAGGCAGAACAGACTGTTGGCTAGCATCCAACGGAAGAACGATCGAATCAGCGAGACCGTTAGCCCATTGGAAGAAGCAATAAAGGAGCTCCGAGTTATTCTTCCCCTAATCTTAAGCTGAGCTGCCGAAAGTCTTTCTAAACGAGGTACCGCTTTTGGACCTGATGTTGCTGTTGTAGCTCCTAAAGCTCGACTCCTCCCACCGAGAACTTCGCGCTTGGTGGCTTCAATATTGTACAACGAGTTTGTCTGTAAAAGAATAGCCGGAAACATATGCTACTAGCTAATGACTTTATTGTCCTCCTTCTGCACCCGGGTAATATTTTGGTAAAGATTATAAGTCGTTATTGGTGGCTTTGTTCTGTTTAGCCGTAGTATTACGCTTCTTCCGACGGCAAGTTGTGACTGTAAGCATTCTCTTGGACTGGTGCATGCTGCTTCAGGCTCCTAGCCTATTAAAATATATGTATGCATGTTGGCTCATGTTCCATTAACTTCCAGCCCATGGTACGGTGGATTCACCAAGCATAGTATGATACACTCCATTTACTTGCAAGATTGTTAACCAGACGTAGTCTTTGAAAGAAGAACACAGTGCCCTGAAGAGCCAAATGAAGAAACTATTTGCGCAAGAAGGAGAAAATGGAGTTGCTGTACAGAATACTAAAAAAGTGAGTACGTTATTGAGAGGGAAGTCGGCACTATGCAGAGCTTTTGCAAGAGAAGTGTGTGTTTGAAGGAGGAAAAAGGAGGAGAGAGGACGTGAAGTCTGCTATCACATCCATTAGACTCGTCTTTCCGATGGTACGCAACAATTTGGCCATGACAACGAATCCGGCACCGCCGACAAGTTTTACCATCAGATTCTACTCTAGCTTGCCACCTGTGCCATGCAAGAAGGAGGATAATGAAGCAAAAGCCTCTATGAGCTAGCAAAAATGTTATATATTTGTCGAAAAGAAAGCCAGCGTTCTAGTCATGGAAAACTGCGGCTGCACAACAGACGAAAAAAGCACTTGTCGCGGCTCTCCGGCAGCATGAGTTCACTTGGTCAGAAAGTGAGCATCGTTGAACTACGATTAAGTAGACTTCGGCTGCAGATCCGAATTTAGACATCTAGTCCAATGAAACAGGCAATTGCATGGATGTTTGCTAAAAATAAGGGGCGGACAGTTCTGTCCTCTGTCGACTCTTCTCGTACGGCGATGCAATCGCGTTGAAGTTGCCACTACAAATGTCCATCGATTATGCCCTTTCGTCTCAGAGGTACCAGCCCATGCATGCATTTATTCTATCAGAACTGTCGCGATACATGGGAGACAAGTTACGACTCAACCGATTAGACTGCCTGTTCTCTCACGTTGAGAGCTCTCCATCTTTGAGCCAAACGAGGGACATCCAGCGAGCTTTCAATTTCCCTTTTTGACCGACTTCAAAATTGTGCTTCTAAGCCGTACTCATTCACTTCTAACACACCATCTCAGGCAATAATACGAGAGCTGGAAGAGTTGAACCCAGTGTCTTCTGTGTTCTTTGGCCACCTTACTAAGCAGAGTACTGCGGCGGCCCTTTTCAGCTGTGTTCATTCACTCTCCCCAAAGCAACATATTTTACCGTTACAGATCTAGTCGCCCATTCTCAATCAGTTCAACAAATCACTCGAACTTCCTGCTGCATCGCCTTCATCCTTTATTTGAGCCTTTCGAACCCAATCTTCGTGAACTCTGACAGCTACTCCTACGGCGCGAAAATGCCTGCTAATGCAGAAGCACGACGTGAACGACTGCTCCGCCTCTGTGGGTAACATTCCATCTATCACAATTCTCTGCTCAACAAATCATCTAACTTGTAAATAGCCACAGCGCAAGAGCAGGCTTCGGGAACGGCTCTAAATCAGGCGCAGACGCAGACGCAAACTCAAGAGCAGGCTGGGCAGAATGATCAAGCCCACAACCAGCCTGCCATTATTCTCTATTACGAGCGTGGCGGTATGTTTTCTCCCTCTCCCATCTGTGTTACTTCTCGTCTTATGCAGCCGCTAATAATTATCTACTCAGAGGGCAGTGGTAATGTGTTTCGTTTTCGCATTGGCCCTGATTACTACTGGATCGCTGGCAGTGGCCTTGGGGGTAGCTTGACCGCAGACGAAGAGGAACATTTCTATCGAGTGATGGAAGCTATTGGGGTAGAAAGAGTTTGATAGGAGAGGGGAGTTGACCCAGTTGGCCGATGGTGGAATACCTATTGAGTGGTCTTGAGGAGACCTTTGGACATCTTCCATAGGCTCAATCTATGCTAGGCGACAATATATTCTAGCTCGTTTATGCATAATACCAAATATCCATTATCTTTCGCGCGTTATTCCGCTGTGTTCTAAGTTCGTGCTACTTTAAGAAGCAATATGCGCAAGTTTTCGGAGATGTCGTGTCGTATCTGATCTTGCGTCTACGCCCCGTATTTTGCCATTATCATGTCTTAAGCACAGTTGAAGAGTCAAGCAAAAGATTGTATTACGACGAAGAAAAAAAGTAAGTCGAAAAAAAAATTAAGAAGACAAAAAAAAAAATCACATCTCCATCGGTTCTCCTCTTTCTTCTTCCTCCTCCTCACCCTCTTGGTCCAACCGCAGCCCTCCAAGCTGCTGGTCCAGCTCGTTCATTTGCTGTTGCTGCTGCTGTTGCTGAGCCTGCTGGGCTTGTTGGGCCCGCTTCTCGACCCGCTTCTCGGCCCGTCGCTGGGCCTTTCGCTGGTTTCGTCGCTGTCGGTATTGCTGCTGCTGCTGCTGTCTAATCTGTTGTCTATTGATGAGCCCCAGGCTCACAGCTTCTCTGACTTGGCTTTGGGACAATGTCCCATCACTGCCTTTGCCGCGTCCGGCATACTCTGGGAGAGTAACAACCCCCCCGCGGACTGCTCGAACAAGATTAATATCGAATACTGTATGCAGACAAAGATTGAAATAGACATACAGTCTCGCCTTCTTCGTCTTCTACGGGCACGACGGCCCCCGTTTTCAACGCCAGAGCCAGCTCTTTCGGCGTGATCTAGTTAAAAGACGTTAGCTCCAGAATCGAGCTCAGAGAATAAACAACGTACTGTTGTTGTTGTTATTGTTGCTGCTGTTATTGTTGATGTTGTTGCTGCTGTTGGTGGTGGTGGCGGTACCAGCCGCGCCATCATTGACGGAATTTGTCTGTAGTTGGTGTATTAGTGCTGATCGATAATTACAACAAAGGTATGTTGGAAGGAACTGAAGAACCTACGGTCGACATGATGATGGTATCTGTTGTGTCAAGTTAGTATGATACACAATGACTGCTTGCAACGATATTGGCCTGACTTACGAAAAACCAGGTGAATTGAGAATGGTAAACTAGAGTTGACTTGTCAGTAAATGCTCTCATCAAAAATAGAGCGCGAGCTTGAGGATGGCAATGGTGCGATAGAAATATGATAGAAAGGGAAATGGATGCTCATAGAGCTAGAGGGTATCATGAACACACAGATGGTCGATGGTGATATTTCGAAACGAGGAGAGAGACGAATAGCAAGGTTGCAGGACATGGTAGTACTCATGACAAGGAGAAAATGAGATTGGGGAGCGCTTACAGTCTGTGATGATGGTGGTGATGATGATGATGATAAGAGAAGAAAAGCCCACGCACACTCTTTTCGAAAGGAACATGTATCTACGCATAAAGAACGGAAAACCTCACTTTTAGCTCACTTCATTTTTAGCTCCACGAGCTATATCTACTGTTTCAGAGAGACGTCAGGTTTGCTTTACATCTATGGGTCTGAATATGCCCAAGTAGCACCCGGGCTGCGCGATAGCAGACATAAGTACGTATATATTAATTGATTTGAAGAACAATCTTTTCTCAGTCCATCAGACAGCAGCCAAACGTAGTAAATGCTTTGGCTTCTATAGGAGCACCAGAAGTCGCCTTAACCTAAGCTCGGCTGATACATCTTTAACCTCTAAATCCGCATGATAAGCTGCAGGATTACTATTTGGTAGTCAATGAATTGCCTAAGAAGATACCCATATCATAATTTCAAGGTCTGGAGTACCTTCTGTAGCGGCGTTCATTATATTGCAGGTAAACTGCATAATGTAAGCTAAAACTGCACATGATCTTCAATGACTGCGAGAGATAAAAGGACCTGTAGAAAGGCTGCTGGCTATGGCTGAATGGTCTTAGCAATGAAGAAGAATGCATGATAATAGATGTATATGGGATAAAATAATAGAACATATATGTTGTCGACTGAAGCGTTATTAATATCCCGCTGCTGACCATCAGCATTAGACTTTTCATCCAATTTGCTACTCGTACTTTTAAGTTATCTTGTGCTTGGGCACCTGCTTGTTCAGTCCCCAGGTAATGTACCTCGCCGGATTCAATCACCGTGCAACAGAATCAACAGCCTTGTCCTTGGTCTTGCCACGTCGACAATGCCCAGTGCACAGCAGATAGTCGATTTGCTTATATTGTCGGTATTACGGATTACCATTTGAACAGCCTTTCGATCCTATTGGTTATCAGAGTCGATACGTGATTACTGATAATGGAGAGCACGCGATAAGCACCGGCGAAACAGCGTATCCGGATCTGCGCAGGCCATCAAGGTTCTCAGCACCAGAATGCAGAATGCCTTTTGTGGTGGAAATCTGCAATGCTGACAACCAGGAGCACAATCGTTCAATCTCTCAAGTCTCTGACGGAGATTGAAGCCGGATGAAGCACCGAAGCTAGGTGAGGTGAAATTGATCCAATCAACGATCTAATTGAATGTGTCGTTTCTCTGACGCTTCTGGCCAGGGCCCTCACATCGTAATGCACAAAATCCGAAGCATCAGCGCCTTTTTGCAGCACCAGCAGCCGCGCCATTCAAGAACCGCGCCACGAGACAAAGAGATGGCTACCTTCGCATCGTTCCGCTAGCGTTGTAGCAGAGACGGGAGGACCGCCCATGCCTCGCATTAGTTCAGAGCTCGTGATTGGGCTGTTTAACTATGCACGCATATGCCAGCGAACGATACACCAGCCTTTATGAGAAACCTTAATCTAGCGGCGCCGTTAACGGCCGGTCAATAGAAGCCCGACAAACCCAACGGAGGGGCGACGTCATCTCGCCCGTTTCATCATCACCGCTACTTGGGGCATCGGAGGGAAGAGATACTCAGCCATGGCATACAACGAGCTGTACCAGTACTCCGTCGTCTCGTCCCTCATGGAGGGCATCGGGGAAACGGGGATCCCGTATAGCGAGCTTGTCACGCACGGCGACCATGGGCTAGGCACATTTCGCCGGATGACCGGGGAGATGATCTGCCTGGACAACGAAGTCTACCAGATGAAGTCCGATGGCTCCATTGTGACGATTGACCCTTCAATCGGTAACGATGTAGCCCCTTTTGCCATGGTTACGCGCTTTCAACCTTCCGTCACCACGAGCATTTCGTTCGATAGCAAGCAAGGTCTTTCCGACATCATGACCAAACTGTTCCCAAAGACCAAGAATCGCTATGTATCATTTCGATTGGACGGCCTCTTCCAGTCCGTCGCTGTACGAACCGCAGATGGTCAGAAATACAAGCACGAGAAGCTCAGAGAGCTACACCAGCGCCAAACGACCTACGAGTTCACCAATGTTCGAGGGAGTCTCATTGGGTTCCGATCGCCAGAGTTTTTGCAAGGAGTTAGTGTGGCGGGCGATCATCTGCATTTCATTTCTGACGAGAGAGACCGTGGCGGTCATGTGCTGGACTGCAAGACTGATGGTGAAGTCCAGTTTGCTGGGTCGATAATGAGCACTGTGCATATGCAGCTCCCAGATGATGATGAATATAACGAAGCAGATCTTGAGCTCGATGATGATGGGATACGCAAGGTGGAGGGCTGAGCGCGCTATTGCTGATACAATCACTACACAATTGTCAAGTGCTGGCCACGATATTTTGTTGCGCGTGCAATGACTTTATTGTGAAGTAAGATTAGATGTGTCGTCTATTGCCCATTTCTATCTCAACGGCCTACCAATCCATTATGGACCATGTTGAGACGGCCTTTCGGTCCATCTCCAAGAGCTCAAGCTTTTTGGGCTGGTCAAGAGCCAAATTGACAACAGATATCATGAGTTCCCTCCGTTTTCCACTCTCGACAGCGCCCTCATCAAATCTGTTCGTAAAATAACGGTTTGATGAATTGCATTGCCATGTCCAATTGCTAATCATAATGTGAACCCATGATGATATTAAGACGGATGGTCGCCATGCTACCCCAGAGTCCATCAGACTACAAGTAGTAGCCCACACCATGTCCAGTTGTTCTACCATGTCGCTTGATGGTCTGCACATGGCTCCGGACACACTGTTTTCCCAGGTGCTTATCGCGTGCTCTCCATTATCAGTGATCACGTATCGACTCCATGCGACATCATTGAGTTGATTTAAAGAATAAATGGAAGCATTCATGGATTACAGAGTATTCGCCTCAAAAATGGGCATCTTTCTCCATTGCAATTTGATTCATAGCTCATCTCAACAACTATAAAACAATAACAAAAAAAAAATCACCACCAACTGGTGACTCTCTGTTCTCCTTCTCCAGCTTCTTGTCCTTGTTCTTGTCCTTGTTCTGCTTCTTCTTATACTTGAGCTTGAGCTTGAGGAGCTTGAGCTTGAGCTTGAGCTTGAGTTTGAGCTGGAGCTGGAGCTGGAGCTTGAGCTTGCTGCTGTGGTTGTTGCTGCTGCGGCTGATGCCCTTGGGTGATCATAAGGATGCCCGAAACCAGGCGCTCGGTCTCTCTACGAGAGAGAGCACCCCCTCTCCCACCGCGAAAACGAACAGGGCCTATTACAATGTCGTTAGTTTGTTGAGATAAAGTTGGAAGGAATGTGATGGGAAATACCTGCACGTCGGCCACGGCCACGGCCACGGCCACGACCTCGGCCACGTCCTCGGCGGGCATCCGCTCTTTCGCGCGCTGTTGGCGCCATCAGAACTTGAAGCAGCTGCAGAAGCTGGTCGATGACGGGCATTCTGGTATCATTTTATTAGCTAAAGGCCCTGAATTTCAAAAATGGACATGCTTACTTTGATGATGGTGGTGATGGTGGTGTTGATGGTGATGATGGTAGTGATGGTAGTGATGATGATGGTGATGATGGTGATGCCGGTAGTGGTGCTGACACAACTTGAAGAAAAAATTTAAAAACAACAACGTGACTATACTCTCTCTCGTCAGTCAATTGCCAAATGATGCCAATGCTTATCATGACGCTGGGTGTCCGAATGCAAATAGAAATCGAAGCAGAGGAAAAGGAGATGGGGGCTCACACTGGATGATGATGTTGTTGAAGAAGAGAAAAAGGAATCCCAAGAGAGCAGTGCTGTGAAGAACTAATTGAGCTCGCGCATATGCTGTTCAGCCTCAACGTTTCACTTCAGTAATTGGACTGCATAGGTATCTGAATCCAAAGTGAGAGCCGAGTGAGGCCGGTTGGCCGCCTCTTGCAGCATGCGTGCGTCTCTGCAATCCTAACCATTGCGGCGTGATCAGTGGTATTAGAATATTTTTTTATGTCTACAGCTGTAACTGACGGAATGTCGACCAACTTGTGATCCCCATGTCCAATGAAGTCTGGCCTGAATCTACCAGTTGGATCGCATTTACGTCAAGGTCCTCAAGCGGGACCGTGAGGCTCAAGTATGCATTTTGTACCCTTATCCAAGTAGTTACGCTTTCTTCGGCCAATGTTATCGTTTGTATCTCATACAATGGACATCTTGTCTTCTTTACTGCATATCATTCGGCCGTGACAGGTCTGTCTAGAGAGGCAGACCGCGAGGGGATGATGCCTATTTCTATGCTCTCAGCACTGAGAACAACCATAGAGGCGCAGAGTCGGCTGAAATTGGCTTTAATTTTCCCTTCAAACTTCATCTTAGTCTCAGAAGTTTCATTGTGTGTAATGTGGATATCATGCTGGATGGTGTAAAATGCGTCGTATACAAAGCCTACCTATCGGCTGTTCCTTCATGGTTATGGTTACCTTTGTCTTTTAAGTAGAGTGGACACTGGTTGGCATCAAGTTCAAGGAAGAGAAACATGTCAGACAGCAGCAACTAATATTGGACATGATGACACAATTCATTCATTCACTTGTCAAAACGAAAATAAACAAGAGTCTTCCTATTTTCACCATAGAATATTGCTGTTTTCACCGTAATAGCCCGTGCCCGTACAAAGGCTATTACGCATATACCACAGTTCTCACGAAGCCACACCTAATTACAGTATAATGCCCTGGCGCACTACGTATGTTACAGCATTATATAAGATTATGATCTTGTAATTTCTACACAAATTAGCAGACTACGGGAACTATGGAGTGACAATCGCAAAGATCCGCAACAGCCTCTTTTACGAGGCTGGCCGTAACAGATCATGTCTCTTTGGCATTCAACAGACTGGCACTGTTGAATTAGGCTTTCAAACGGTTCGCCAGACGCGCGAAGTCGACGCGTTACCAAGCGTAGGCGGCGGAGTGACGCGCCAGGTGCCTACCAAGCGTGCACCGGACTTCTCGATTGGGGGTTTCTTTCTTTTGTTCTTTCTTCTTCAACACCATCAACATCAAAGCAAGCCCACCCATAAATTTCCACGAAGCGGTCATTCTTCTTTATCAGTTTCACTCTGTCTGCCTGCGGGCGCATTTGTGTTCTCTTGACATAGATATCTCAACGAACGTGAAATAGATGCCGACAGATCGAAGAGCCAACGGGGTGCGAGCCGAAACCTCGTTTGGTGGAGACGGGCGTGGTGGCAGAGGCGGCCGCGGCGGTGGCGGAGGAGGTCGTAGGGGTATGTCTGATATCTGCTTCCATTCATAATGCTATCTAGACACTGACGTCACAAATAGGCCGTTTGGGTGGTTGTGGAGGAGAGGGGGGAGGAGGGAGGAGGAAGAGTATGTTCTCCACCTAGTTATTCCCTGGCGATCGAACTTAGGCTAACATAAGTGACATAGAAGAGTACAGCAGCGACAATATGCCATCTATATGTTCAAGGTTCTTTGATCTCACCACTGACAATGTCACAGTAGGCAAGATTGCGGTTCCCGGGGGGAGGGGTCCAGGAGGAACCCTCTCCAGAAAACAAAAGCGGATGTTGGCCCGGTTTGGCCCTTCGGCTCGCATTTTTCGTTCTAGAGCCCCTGAACATCAGCCGCAGCAACAGAAGCAGCAGGTCAAGACCCTGGGCAGCGCCATAGCTCAAGTATTAGCTCAGGCCGAGACTGAGGCACAACCACAACCACAACCACAACCACAGGCAGAACCACAGGCACAAGCGCAGGAACAGGCACAGGAACAGGCTTACCAGTGGACTTACCAGCAGAAGGCTGAGGAAGGAGAAGAAAGTGAAGACATTGGTGAGCACGATGCATTTAGAAAGCAGGAAGAGGAGCCGTTCCCTTGGTGGCTCTAAATGAATCTAAGGGTGCCAAATACGTACCGGTTGGCTCTAGACATATGTCCAGTATGTTTTATCGGTAGGGGCTAATAAAACACGCGATATAATCGGAGATGGAAGCTGGGCATGCATGTTTGATTGGCACCTTTGCAGGCTATGGGACATATTCGATAACCGTCCCCAGATCGCCAAAGTAATGTCGTATTCCATCATCAGTCAACTAGACCAGGCCTCTTTTCCTAATCATCTCTCTCCACCCCAGCAACCTCCATAGAAATGTTTCTCTTCACCCAGGGTCAGACTGCCAGCGATCCAATAGTAATCAGGGCTTATGGGGAAGCGGAATACATCACCACTACTTTCCGAGTATATATGTTTATCAATAGTAGGAGAGAAGAGAAATAGCAAACACTGCCACAGCCCCCCTCCCCCGAAAAAAAGCGCTCACCTCTGCGGTGGCAGTAGAGGATGTTTGTAGGGCCTCGATGAGTTTAGCCTTGCTGAACCTACTCTTAAGTTTACATCTGCTTCTGATTTAGAGTCGTTCCCGATGCCTCCTCTTGGGGCACCCGTTCATGTCGTGCTTCTTCGTTGGTAGGCATTTTGGCCTACTTCTCAAAATAAGAGTGGATCGATCTTTGATTGGAAGAGCCCGAGCTAATGACAGCGATGATGTAGATGCAGTTGTGAGTGGTTGGCGAGTCTGATTGAGGTCGTGAATCAGTTTGCAGTGGCACATGATGTTGTTTTGGGGATAGCGAACACAGCAAGGGAAAGGACGGCACGTTGTATCCTGCTTTATAAGATGCGCAAACAAGGCCGACTATCTAACCTAGATACGCAGCGGAGATATTACACAAGATTGTGTGAACGAACCTCCGAAGATTGCTCCAAGGGGGCAAGTCAATCGATTGTGGAAAGTTCATCACGTCTAGGCTGACGCGGCTATTGTGCTGACGGCGATATTGGGTTGGGTATGCAGCGGCGACTGAAGGGTGTGTGATACTACATGTACCTAGTAGGCACATCCTATTGTGAATTGCAACTCGACGTCTCATTCGCTGCTAACTTCTATCTCAAATACGCCGTCGTAGTCTCCAGGTTGTTCTGCAGCACGCTGACTCGCAGAGTGGACTTCTTAAGATTTCATGAGCTGTGCCTGCTCTCCCGCGGCTGTGATTTTGCCTTCGTACATGTATTCTGACTTGATAGAGCCAGCTTAGCTACCTCCCAGACTTCCAGTGCCTTGTGCGACGCCTCATTCGCAGCTGCCTCAACCACCTCGTCGCAGTCTCGAGCTTGTTATCTGCCGTGCTGATTGGCAGAGTGGACTTCTTAGGCTCCGTGAGCTGCGCTCCCTCCCTCGCGCGGTCATCTCCACTACCCCGGCGCAGTCATGACACACGTCGACACTCTTTTCAGCATAGATTTGGCTTACGGACACATTTTACAGGCCGCGTGATGCAGTCTGTCTCCCGGAGACAGAAGAATATTTTGTTTCGGGCCATCCTCCCAGCCGGCCATTGCGGCTACCACCGCCGCCGCCGCCCAGCCCATGCGCTAGCTAGGCCTGTGGTTCAGGAAGAGGAAGAAGGAGAAGAGGAAGAAGGAGAAGAGGAAGAACAAAACACACTTGTGGGTGTCGAGCTAAATCGATACATACCAAGGGTCAACCCCAGTCCGTGAGCAGCTGAGTCTCCTCTCCCGAGGCTGTAACATCCTCATCGGAACTCCTGGCCGCCTCAAAGACTTCATCGGAAGCCCTGACAGACGAACTCTCCGCCGAGTTAAGTACATGATCATCGATGAAGCTCATGAGATGCTCAACCAGGACTGGGAGGAAGAGCTCCGAGCAATTCTCTCTAGTGGAAGTATATATCTTTTCCCTCTATTATTTATTTATTTAATTTACTAATGAGTGTGCTATATAGAACAAGATGAAGGCAACGTCAAGTATAATCTCTTTTCGGCCACTTTCCCTCGCGCGGCTCGAGCCCTTGCCAAGGAATATCCGTCCGCTTCTGACGCGCGCTTTCGCGTCGGCCGAGCCGGAAGCACTACCGAGAACATCAAGCAGATTGTCATTGAGACTGGCCGAGAGAACTGGCCATAGTACCTACATATACACATGACCCAATCACAGGGAAAAAGACACAGTGGGTGCTGCATACTCCAAAGGCACTCTATCGAAGCGCACATCGGGCATTCTTTTTGAACACCCAAATTATTAATTGCCAAGAATTGCTCGAGCCCCTCGCACTTGACGACCCCCTCGCACTTGACGACCCCGAGAGTTTGCCTGGCGCAAATTCAGACAGTGAAAGAAGGATCAACACTTTCGAATCGGATCTTTCCTCCCATACTTGTGCCTAGCAGGTAGATGAAAGGAAGACGCAAGACGTGACACTAATGGGTAGGATTTGTGTCTCGCAAAGGCGGTCACAACAAAGACATACCTAGGTACTATAGGTAGGTAGGTACTATTTGAAGTTTGGGCAGCAACCTGTTTGCTACTTGGCAAAGCACAGGCGCGTGCTAATCAAGCATGGAACCGCGCCTAGCTCCAGAGACAGGTAACCTTCACCCCTGTAAGTACCTGTATTTATAAGGCAAGTACCACTGCCGCTTCGGTATTCGGCACCTAGAAGAACGGACCGTTCTTCTCTCACTCGCCCTCATCAACATCACCACATCCTCAGGAATCGCAGAGACCGAACTTCTGCGTGAGTTTGGTCGCGCCCGGAAAAAAAAAACTTGACTCAATTACTAACGCGACAACGCAGGTGTCAGGCCGCAACCACCCCATCTACTCTAGATCTAGACAGGTCGACTGATCTCTCCCAACTGGACGATCCCCCTATTCGACAATTCTTGGCTTCAAACGTCGGAAGATGGGTGCGGAAAAACCGGGTATCATGTTATGATACGAGCGCAAAATCACGGCCGCGCAGAAGCAATCGCAGCTCATGAAGTCCGAGAAATCCATGCTGCGAATCAACATGGCAGGGAACAGTCTCAGAATTGCGACCACGTCGGTTAGATTAAGCCAAAATATGAAGGCAAAATCACAGCCGCGTGTGAGCAAGCACAACTCATGGAGTCTAAGAAGTCCACTCTGACTCCGAATCAACAGGGCAGAAAACAAGCTCATGGCTGCGCCGGGGCGGTGGAGATGACCGTGGTTGTTTTCTCTTCTCGCTTCTCTTCTTTATTTCTTATCCTTTGGGAAATCTCATTCATCTCCCTCCATCTCAGTTACAGCACTCCTCTCCCCGGCTTCGAGAACTTGGGCGATCGAGGACTCGATCGAAAATCCAAACCATGGCGAAACCAGCAGATAACCAAATTCCCCCAAAGTTCGAGATTTCGGATCTAAGCGTTCAACTTGGTAATCCGCTTTACCCCGGCGCTGTTCGATGTGTCCAAGCATACTGGAAACAGGCAACATCAATGACTCCCGACCAACGTGATCAATACATATTGTATTTGGCAACATCAATGACTCCTGACCAACGTGATCAATACATATTGTATTTACAGAGCATGGACCAAAGGGACTCTTTCGTAGAGCCTTTGCTGGGGGAGAATGTGACTTCATTAGTGATGTTTCAGCGATTTTGCAGTTTGAGTGATGGGTTTCCCTCCAAAAGACTGTCATGGCCAGCTTACCTGTTTCTCTCAGCCTGGCGACTCGAGGCTAAACTTTGACGGCATGGACGAAGGCCATGGCGTAGCAGGGAAACGGGCGATGCAATCTCTATTATCTCTACCATCTGCAATCTCTATTATCTCTACCATCTCTACTACCGCTACTACCGCTACTACCGCTACTATTACTACTACCGCTACTACTGCTACTACTGCTACTACCGCTATTATTAATACCTTCTTCTCTTTAAACTGGACACTTCCAAATTTGCTCAGTCTGCACCGGTATCTTCGAAGCCGCCTACCATCCATCTCCAGCTCTCACCCAGCAGCAAAATACTACACCTGCGCAGAAGAAGGCAGATACATTACCAGTCCCAATCATCCACCAAGAAGATAATCCACCAGCAGGAACTCAACTTGCGTCCACCTCGCCGACAACTGTGCAGCCTGTGGGACCTAGGACGTGGAACATAGGCAAGTAAAGAAGAACCACAGATCTAGGTCAAGAAGAAGCTCATATGTCTTCCCAGAACAAAGTCGTTGTGCCAGCCCCAAGCGGCAAGCAGAGGCAAGATATTACGCCCCTACAGAAGGATAGAAATGCGCTGCCAATCTCAATCATCCCAAAAAAGAACAACCCATGTTCAGAAGCTCAATTTACATCCATCTTACCAAAAACTAAGCAGCCAGTGGAATTTAATGCGTGGAACATCAGCAATGTTGTCTATGTGTTAGGTCACGCAAAGAAGAAGGGACTGTCCTCTGCCCCTGGAAGTTTCCAGAAGAGACTCAAGACAAACGACAACGAGTTGTTGAGACTAGGTCAAACAGAAGATCACAATCACCCAGGCATGCGGAGTGAGTTACGCGAGTTCATGTCGGCAGTCGCGTCGACGCTACGAGATATCCAAGAGCGTCTAGAGGAGAAAGACTTCTGAATCAATTCAACCAGAATATTACTGTCACCCAAAACATCCGCAGACGAGCTGCGATCCATTATTCAAGACCAGAGTGCCAATTGCGAGAAGCTTCTGGAATGGTATCTCTGGCAAAGAACTGTTCAGGAAGCATATTTTCGTAGTACACGTGGAAAAAATAAGATCAGTTCAGTCTCGGATTTAGAATGCTTGACATTGTACTATTGCCATCTTACTCTTAATTTCCAATCCACATTTATCAACTCCCGTTTAGCACACCTCAGCATATACCTTCCTTTAGTTACTTTACTTCTGCTGTATCTCCTGCTACTTCTACTGCTTCTACCGTTTCTACTCTAGAGTCGATTTTCTTTTCTCACTCACATGCTCTTCATTGGTGTAAAGCTGGTGAATTTTAGACCGCAAATGCCGCGATGGCCATTCAAAACGTCGCAGACAAAGATGGTGATATCGGCACTGCGAGCTTGTCTGTACCGGATGAGGCCATTTGATACACTTTAGCCCGACGCAAGCTGCGAAGCTCGCCTCTTAATTCTCTGCAACATCAAATGCCGCTGCTACGCAGCAAGAAAACAATTCTCAAGTTTCATTTTAACCCGAGTGCAGGATTATGTCCGACCCAGAGATAACATCGAGAGGCAGGCTGAGTCGCATTATTACAGCGAAAAAAATGGACGGGGCGATGAGGACCAAAAAAAGGAATGAGAAGATTACTAGGATACTGGAAGGAAAGCTGAGCCTATGACCTTGGCCGAGCAGGCATAAAGCCCTCATCGCAGTTCGCTCTCTCCCCTCCTTGAGGAAGAGAGGCTGGCGCGAAGTCCAAATCTCTGGCTTGATGTTTTCACTCTCTGATGAGGGATGCCATCATCTTAGGTATCTTAATTCCCAATTGGCCCACCCCAGCAAGCTGTTTCAAGCATGACGTCCCGATTATGAATCCACCCACAGCCGACAGCATTCCGAATCTCATCTTTTTGACAAGCAGAAGCTAGAAAAAGGGAGCAAATCGTCATGTGCTTATACAAGAAAGACGATACGTTGCGAACGTTGGATGAAAAGCCGGATAATAATCCATCTACAGGAACTCGGGTTCTCCACCCCTTACCGACGACTGCCTATTAACACCGTGACAAAGAGAGGGGGGGGGCGGACTCTGGACAGTCTAGCAAGCCTAATCTCGTCTTCCGCAAGACAACTGATATCCAGATAGCTACTCTCCGGGCTTATTTGGACAGATGGGTTCAGTTCAACAATAGACTCCAATAGAGGCCCAGCTTCATAGACCATCTCAATCGTCAGTGACCATAGGAGCACTTGCTTGCGTTCAAAACGAATTTCTGTAGGCGAAATATTTTCATGCCAGGTGTAGTCAACAAAGTCCACGAAGGGACTTATGCTTTTCTGAAGCTATCCAACAACAACCTTGCTATGACCTAAAGCCGATCTTCTTTGACGATAACAGTGGACGAGGCCATCGGGTTCCTCTCGTCGTGCGATAAAATTAAGTAATGGAAAATTACTGGTGGATCATTTGTCCATAGACTTTCGATCTCATTTGCTGGAACGGCTCGGCCTGTCTTTCAGCCCGACCAGTATGCGTGTCTCACAAATTCAGGTTAAGATCTACCCCGAAAGAACTCATGTGCTCGTGGTAGTGCTTTAATCGGTTTAAATATCCCTTATAACTTAGGCAAAATATCCCTCTAGAACTTCCATACGTTGGTCTATAGCATTGATTTTGAGTTGTCCATCGTGTCCAGGTCTCTGCCACCCTACGCGGGCGTCGACACGCTTAATCGAAATAACGGAGGAAAATCTCTCCATTTGTAGCAGTTGGTTTTGGTTGCCGTCGCATGTATCGTTGCGTCTCTGTCGGCAGATATCGTTGCGTCTCTGTCGGCAGATATCGTTATAGCCGCCAAAGGGAGAAATGATCCGTAAAGCGCAGCGCAGGATGGAAGCGTCGACACCAACCATCATGGTAGGCCTATCTTTTGGGAAATAACTCCCCCGTGTCCTTTTCCATGGGAGTTGGTGCGAGATTTGGCATCGCCAGGCTCAGCATTGACCTTCTGGCTCACCTTATAGTGATGTGATCTGTTGTTCTGGGTAACAGAAGCTCCATTTACAACTTGAGTCAGGATGCCGAAATGACAGTCAGCGGAGTTCTTAAGGCGCTCGTTGAGGCCCCCTTTTGCTCGATCACGACAGAAGTCGGTGATGTGTATCGAAAGAGATGGTCCAAAAGGGCTTTCAGTCAGTTGTAATGTGGACTGGTTTTGCGCAAGGTAGAGACCAAATTACCGTCACGTTCTCAAGAAGCGGTCGGCGAGATTCATTCGGTACTCATAACGCGGGTTGTTTCTGCGCTAGACAGCGATAAATATTAGCAATTTATTTTCTCGTTAATCCATTCAACGTTTGCTTCATCACATTTACTTTACTTACAAGAGGTAGAAAGCTGATGAACACCACAAATGTTCCAAGCGCTCGATGGTAGGATAGCGGGCATGCTCGATGTGCGCATTTTGTTTCTCCTCGTGACTTGCTGTCAGCGTTGATACTGTATGCCACAATCGGTAAGCTCAGACTTGGGTCATGATCTTCAATGACTACGAGAGATAAAAGGGTCTGTAGAAATGCTGCCAGCTATGGCTAAAAGATGTTAGGAAGGAAACAGAATGCGTAACAATGGACGTGTAGGGGATGGAATAATGGAAGACATACTTTGTTGACTGAAGCGTCATTAATATCCCGCTGCTGACCAACAGCATCAGACCTTGCATCCAATTTGTTAGTCGTATTCTTCACGATGGCGAAGAAGAATACTGGCCGATGGTTAATGACTCAGTTCCTGCTATGACTTTTATGTCTAAGCTGATGCACGCATTGGTTTCCAAATGAGGCTTGGACTAAAGACTTTGTTGAACCGAAGGCTGAGCTACAAATGGTGGTGCTGATGCTGCTACTTCTGCGGTCCATACCACTGCCAGCCAGCGTTGAATGGCCCATCTCCTTAAGAAGGAAGGGCCCAGGGCCACCGCCGCGATCTCGGCACGCTTGTACTGCCCTGATAGCATCTGCTCGTAGGAGGGGGGTTGAAGGGGATTAGAACGGACGTACCACCTCAACGGCCGCACGCTATATTCAAGGCGTTCAGCAAGTTTCTGATGAATGACGTTGGCTCCTCATGCTGAACATCAGTCAAGGCACCGCTGATCCTAAATTCTGCCCGTTGGAATCTACCCAGCAAGAATTTCTCCAAGCAAAGCCAAGCAGCCATAGCGAACTAGGACCCCTTTAGCAACAGACGGTTGTACTCAGCTCCCTCGAGGCTAGCGGTTCCTCGGTCTATCCAAATCTGCGGGAATTGTGACACCAAATCGGTTCTATTTGGACTAAATGTTGAGCACAGTTCGGTTGAGAAGTGCTAAACGCGTGGTGGGCTGACTGTTGGTATCATCGTCTCGAGAATCCTTTGACGTCTTCGACGCCGAGACGCTTGGAGGTAATGAGACGTCTATGCGCTCTTTGGTTAGTGCATTACGGCGAGGCGTCGGCGACGATGAGACCCTTTTTGAGAGAAACTTGCGAAAACGAGAACTCACAATCACGGAGCGCCTGCTTAGTAGTTTTACCAACATGAGTCAGTTGAGTGGATTCTCAGAGAAATGTGGATCGCTTCTGTATCAAATATGGCGACTGATAGTAAGAAGAGCAATGGAGGCGAAGGGGGAAGAAAAGGCGTCGCGGCAGTGTGTGGTGTTTGGTGTGTGATGTTTTGGAGGAGACAAGATTAGGAGTGTATGCATAAGGTAGCATCTGGTGTTAGGCAGTTAAATTGAAAAAAAAAAAAAATTGAAGAAAAAAAAAAGAAAAAAAAAAAAGGAAAAAAAATTAGTATCGGTCGAAACCGGCTGTAGGAGCAACGACCGTTTGTCCTTGATAGAGAGACGGAAGCAGGCTGGCTGGAATTTATCCTGTGCTTGGGTAACTGTTTGTTCAGCCCCCCGGTAATGTACTTCGCCGGATTCAATCACTGTGCAATGAACCAAGTACCCTGTCATTTATTCCCGGTGATGGCCATTCAATGCTATTTTGATCTCGGATTGCGTCAAAGAACCCTCAATCCCGTCGTATCGCTGCTATTACACAGGGCGGAATGGCCGCCTGTACCGTTTGCCTACCGTGGCCCGGCATCTTGCCAGCGGTGAATTATAACTCGTCTGAAGCCTTGGCTAATCCCCATGCAAAAGCTATATGGACAAAGATTGACAGAAGGTGTATGATCTCTGATGACCATCACTGAGGAATCTACACCGTAGTTCAACGATACTGACACAAGGAAAGTCGAGATAGACAAGGAAACCGGCCACCCAAGCACACCTTTAGCTATCCACGAGCAGCAGCAACTCTTCTAGTGCCAGTTCCTGTTTCAACTGCTAGACCGATCCAACCGTTAAACGTATTCCGACTTGGAAGTCGACACATCGATTATTTCGACTCTTAGTACATGTCGACACAATTGTTTTTATATTATTTCGGTCCGTGACGTTTCATTTTGTTCTTCAACATCCTTCTTGGACCCAGCGGGGACGGCGTCGAATCGAATGTCATCCGTCGTTGCAATTCTTCTTTCTTCCATGGTCATGCGTAGCAAGACATTTATTCGGGACATGTCGAAATACAACGGAATAGAGAGAAACATCATGTGTATATTGGCGAAACGTTACACTACCAAGCTTTTATAGAATGAGTTGCGAGATCCACAACGTCCCAGGCATTTCTCAAATAAATCCCACAGTTCCATTCATATCAACAGCTCACTATTATGCCTTCATATTTCTGAAGCATCATCCAATAATTACTCACACGTTGCCCATTAATCCCCTCCCCTTCCCCTCTCTCGCGGGACCAGAGTTACTCAAGTCGGGTACATACTCTTAGCAGACTATATCTACGCCGTAATATACACTCCACAGCTGTTATCAGTATACCTATAATTACATAAGTGATCATTTCAGATGTTGAATTCTTGTTGTAGTTCATATATTGAATATCATCATGCCATTGGAAGGGAAGTGGGGCACCCCCAGTCATGGTCATCCCAAAAGTGAGTTTGATCTGAAGAAATTAATGATGCATGGCTATAGCTCAGCTGAAAGTGACAAATGCTAGTTCTTATGCATAAGCATATGTAAATTTTCTATTCAAATCATATCTACGAGAGTTTTCTTCTCCCAACATCACTATCACCATCGCCATCACCATCATCAACATCATCATCACAGACTGTAAGCAATCTCCCCGTCTTAACCCTTTACTACCATCAGTAGTATTACACCTTGCACTTTTTCTTCCATTTCATACTCGTCTCCGGTCACGTCTTGGTTATGTCTCCTCATTCTCACAACTTTGTCTCCATATCCTGCTAACAGTTTGTAATCTAGTCTATCATCTCCATTTGGGACTCTTTTGTAAGTCAAACCCGGGTCTCATCAACACATCGCCGATCACCCAACTAACTGAATTGAACAGAAACCCTCATCATGTCGGCCGTACGTTTTCCCTTTGCAATTACAATTTTGTCGTTACGCGTATTTGTCCGTTGTTGTTAATACGTCAAACCTAGACAAACAACGGAGAAGCAGCTGGTGATCTTACCACCACCAACACCAGCAGCAACAACAACAGTATGCCAATCACTTTTGACACTTTGTATTGTGGCTAACATCTTTATAGCAGACAACCATGTACCAGCAGCTGGCTCTGGCGCCGGGAGTTTGGGCCGTGGCGGTAGCAGAGGAGGACGACGACGACGACAAGGACGAAGACAAGGGCGGCCGGCACCCTGGAAAGATGGTATGTTGTCAATTGACCCTGCATTACAATATGTAATATTCTAGACTAACACTTTCACAGTGGATCGAAGAATTCGCGGCGGCGTGGTCACTGTCCCAACCATTGCGGGGCATAACAACGACGGGACATTGTCCTGTAAACAACTAAGAGAAGCTCTAAAGATGGGCACCGTGACCCCAGAAGAGTTGATTATGCAAAACCAGCGGCACCAAGCTCAGCAACAGCAACAGCATCAACATCAGCATCAACAAGAAGCTGCGAAAGAAGAAGAGCCAGAGATGGTAGAGCTGCAGGAGCAGCTTGAAGAGCTCCAACTAGAGCCGGAAGAAGAAGAGGAAGTACGGGATGATCTTTTGTCAATTGCTTCGTTAAATCTTAGTTAAATGTCGGCCCATCGGTTGTGGGATTTTTTCTCCCGAATTACAAAAGTATGCTTGTCGCTTCTTCATTATTGGCCAACTTGAGGTTATGATGTGACATTCATCTAAGTGTATGGGTTATGTGATATCATACTATTAATCGTTTTGTTTATTGACGATGCCTTCTCATCTGCCCACGCCACAATCCTTATGCCCAATTGCAGTATTTCTTGACGCAAACGTATGCACCACGTCTAGCAGCGCCCGATTGTGTTTGACGACGGGATCGCAAGGCTGTTCAAATGGTAATGCGTGAAACCAACGATATAAGAACACGACTATCTGTCGAAGCGTCCCTGGGTTGGGCATTGTCGCCATGGGAAAAGCAAGGGATTTTTGTCTCGAGACCCAACGCTGGGAGATGTTGGATTCACATATGAATTGATTTGAACAAGTAGAAATGGGAAGTCGAAGTCAATTATAGGAAGTTTCTGTCGGAGAGTTTCGAATGAATGGTGACCGTTCAAAGCTCCCAAAGGAGTTCACTTGCCGTGGGCTAAGTAACTGCGAATATGCGTTATACTCGTACTGTATCTTTCGTTGCGGTGATGATCTTCGCGCTAGTTTATGCACATTTCCTTTACCAAGAGCAAAGGGCTTGAAGGTTATTCTACTCTAATTAGAAGAATGCAAATCCTGTGAGAAAGCAATCACTTTCATGGGGGTTTTCCTCAGCCCGCGGTGCTGCTGCCAACAAAGACCTCGGGGTCGGGGTCGGGGTCGAACAGCATTTGCGCCTGACAGGTGCGTCGTCAGCGCCACTCCCATCAAAGCTGGGGACTCTCACAGTTCCAATGCCTACATGGAAGTTGAAGTTGCCATTGGCCACCGTCTTCTTCCTCGTCTTCTTCCTCGTCTTCTTCCTCGTCTTCTTCCTCGTCTTCTTCCTCGTCTTCTTCCTCGTCTTCTTCCTCGTCTTCTTCTTCATGGCCTTCTACTTGCTCCTGCTCCTCCCATTCTTAAGCAGCAGCAGTAGTGGCATAGTAGTGGTGGTGATGGCGATGGCCGCAATGGGTGCTGCATACCGTTGTCATTATATTCGTAGACAAAAGATGCGCAATGCTTAATATCCTCCTCACCCTGGCATTGGCGCAGGGTATAGGTGATTGCCTCGGCGCCGTTATCCATCAAATACGATAGAGAAGTGCTTTCTCCATCATGCTCGTTGATGGCCCATTGGCCACCGGGGCGTGGCTCTGAACCTTGGCGAAGGAGGTTTGGGTGTTGTGGAGAAATATGAATCTATTTCCATCTCTTGTAGTCTCGCGGAAGCAGGTATTTAGAAAGCAGGAAAAGGAAATAAACAAAGAAACAGACGACATTGTCTTCAATGACAAACCGCCAACCAACGGGGCAGTCGCGGCCTGCAGAAGCAGGAGGATCACGTGGTAGCCCACGTGATTCTCAACCTCTCTTTGCTTAAGGTACCATGCTTATGCTACCAGCATGCTCATGGGAAAAGAGGTGCACAGTGTTTACGGATGTCATCCTCCGTATGGCAGTGGCGCAAAGTGTAGGTGATGGCCTCGGTACCATGATCCATCACATATGATAGAGAAGTGCTTTCTCCATCATGCCCATTGATGGCTCATTGGCCACCGGGGCGTGATTTCGGAGCTTGAGGTGAGCTTTCGGGTCGACAGGTGCACTGAATTCACTGTTGACGGGAACTTATAGCACTTAAACGACCGCCGGGCTCCAACTGACAGCCAGCCCTCTATATGTCCCTCCACTGCTACCTACATCCTAGTAGTATCTGTAGTATCTCATAATATCTTATAGTATCTGTAGTATCAGTATCTATAGTATCTCATAGTATCTGTAGTATCTTATAATATCTGTGATATCTATATTGCATAGATACCTTCACAAATGGTGTATATAGCGTATGCTGAGCGCTTACAAAGGCGTTCAAAAGCTACCTAGGTACTCTGAAATGCGGTTTCAGGGCTGCTCAGGATGCTGTTATTCTTCAAGGGACCAATATCCTCAGTCTTGGCGAATGAGATTTCCAGTTGGACTCCATAGTGCCTGAGATAGATATGGATCTTGAGGTAACTGAAGATCTCGCGCGTTCTTTATAATGTCATTGTTGCGAACATTTGGGTGCGTAACGGCGATTTTGATCATTGCTGCGTTTTGCTCGGGATTCAGCTTGAACGCATACCGTTGCATCGGCTCGACCGGCGCATGATCATTGCTGCGGTTTGCTCAGGATTCAGCCAAAAGCATACCACTGCATTTGCTCGACAAAGGCGTATGATCATTGCGGTTTGCTCAGGATTCACCTTGAACGCATACCGCTGCATCGGCTCGACATGGTCATTGCTGCGGTTTGCTCAGGATTCACCTTGAACGCATACCGTTGCATCGGCTCGGCACGATCATTGCCTCGGTTTGCTCAGGATTCAGCTTGAATGCATACCGCTGCATTGGCTCAACAAAGGCGTATGATCATCGGTTTGTTCGAGGCTCAGCTTAAAGCGCATACTGCTGCATCGGCTCAAAAGCATAACGTCGATTTTGATCATTGGTGCGGCTTGTTCAGGATTCAACTTGAAAGCATACCGCTGCATCGGCTCAACAAAAGCATGACGGCGATTTTGGTCATTGGTGCGGCTTGTTCAGGATTCAACTTGAAAGCAGACCGCTGCATCGGCTCGACAAAAGCATGATCATTGGTTTGTTCAGGATTCAGCTTAGAGCATGCCGCTGCATCGGCTCAACAAAAGCGTATTTCATGGGGGTAGGGGAATGTCTATTCAGCCAGTGCCCGAATTCTACAAATAGTTACAGTAGTAGTTAGTAGAGAGATATAGATATAGTAGCAGTTGCTAGGGAAATGTAGATAGAGTAGCAGATACTTACCCAGAAAGCAGGCGTATAATTTAACGCGTGGGTGTTCAAAATCTTCTCGGTCTCGGTTTTTCTGTCCTCCGCTTGCTAGGCTTGCAGTCAGCAGCTAGAATCAGGCTGCATTTGGCATTGGGCTTCAAAATCTTTGCACCTACCCATTGGTTGATCCTGGCAAGGCAGAGTTGAAGCTGGAAGATGGCGTCGATTCGCTTGGAATTGAGTGATTGGGCCACTTTGGTGCGGACGAAGGGATGTACAGTCGGGAGAGATAGCCGCTGCAATGGAGGAAAATGGATATGCCTAGAAATTCGAGCTCGGGGTAAAGGATTTCGCGTAAACTGCGAGGCTTCACATCGTCGTATTTCATCTCCTCCTCCGTAACATGTTTGATCGTGCCTCCTTTGAGTAGTATGATTTCTGTGGATGAAAGCATCCGTCATCGCTTTCTCGTTTTCTCTTCTTGCCTCTGATGCCTGACAACCTAAACATTCGG